TATCCAAAAACGTTTTTTTTAATAAACGCAATATTAATATAAAGTATAATAATATACAGAGAATGCAATTGTTTTATGTGAAAATTTAGATCTAAATTATGTCATTATAAGCAAATGAACAAGCACTACATAAAAAAATTATAAAGTCTTTTTGCTTCAAACATTATTTAAAATCTATACAAATGATGTTGTATCTCTTTGCATTTTTTATCGCATATATCACCGAGAGTGTCCTGAAGAATTTTTCGGATTGATACCTGCTGCAGAACTTCACCATGGTACATTTTGTCAAACCGCCAATTACCAATATTACCATCGACACCACTTTGATGGCTGGCGGTCCACTACGGTGCGTTTTTGACGCAACTTTCTTCCCCGCCCAGCTATTTTGTAGAACCAGTTGTCGCCGGCGGTATTTCCGGACCGATACAATTTAGGGACCTTCAAGAAGAGAAACTTCGCCTACTTAGGAGTCATAAATGTGTTGCCATCCTTTAGGCAACGCCTTTGTGACTCCTCTGTTGTTGTTTGTCTTTTTTAACTGATGTTAACGCTTTTAGTGCCGAGACTATTAAAGGGTTACTATTAAAGGTATTTGAACGCAGAACCGGTGGGCTAGCCAGAACCCACGGGTTGAGGCCCTCCACAGTTAGTAGGGCCACGCATGTGCTATTAAAGAAGTTGTATGTTGCCATTGCCCATGGGCGGCGGTGATCGCTTACAACAGGTCAACCGCAAACTCGCTGGCCACCTTCTCACATTAAAAGAAATTCGAACCCACGTCCAGACACACCGAAGAGAATCTCAACGCCTTTTATTTACATTGTTTTTTCGCATTTCGAGCAGTGTTTTTCGTATGTATTGATATATGCTTTACCGTCGGATGCTGGGGGCTGGTCTTACAACATGGCCTGGGGCCTAAGGCGGCCAAGACTGGAAATCCGCCACTGCGTTTCGGATCTTTCGCCAGGTTCATTTAAGAAATGAACAATCATCAGTCACTGCACTTTACGATCATTCGCAGTATTTTGTATCATTTAAATATCGGTTGAATTCATATCGGGGCAAAATTCATAACAAATAACAAATGGGAACAGTTTTGAGAAAATGAAATCGAATATGTACCAGTTTATGCCAACAACATAATATAAGAAGTTAAGGAAAACAGGGAGAAAAACGTTTACATTAAAAGAAAATTTCATATGGATCAACTTGTAGCATAATACCAAAAGATGTTTAACTTGATACTAAACGTGATCTTGTTTAAATATTGACAAAAATGATTTTTTATAAAAATTTCGCATGTGATAATTGATGACCGACCGATATAACTTGCATAGTTGAGGAGTTTACTATTTTATATGGCGTTTTGAAGAGTAATCAATCATGTGCGTATCAACGGTTTACGAACATTTGATAATTTTTCTTTGTTAATCCTTCCCATATAAAACACTAAAGTAATCGATCACAAAGCACATGAATTGATTAAGTGAATTTGAAGGAGATAAAACATATAGAAGGAACACAACTCTGTAAAGTTTTGTATGTGGGTGCTGAATGATGTCGTCGAACATGACACTTTTACTTCTCCCCGACTGGCCGTAGAGGCGCTCACCTTTAATTTAATATACTCGAGCAAACTGAGTTAAATCCCGGTGCCGGCACCAATGAAATTGTTGATTTTAAGCGCTCACTTATCACATGCTCAGCAGTGAAGGAATATATCGTAGAAAACCCGCATGTTTTAGAAATAATAACAAAAAAACATATTTTAAAGAAGTGTGAATCCGCCAATACGCAGTGGGACCGCGTGGTGGACTATACCCTGATGCCCTCTGTACAGAAGAGGCCTTTGGCCAGCAGTGGGACATGTAGAGGCGGTTACTTTACTGCTTCTTCGCACATGCACTTTGTGGTTTTGATGTTAATTCCTTATTCAAAACTAACAGTAAATTCCGGTGGCCTAGTGCTTTTAAAGAAGATTAAATTCTTGTGAGATTAACCATAACACTTTATGTATTCATCTTATAAGAATCCTAACGTTACATTGTATTTCATCACACATTCAACAGAAGATGACAAATAAGTTGGAAGTGTTTTAGCAAGTATATTACATTGGCCTAGCTTGGTTTCGACAGAAAAACGATTTCTATTTTTATTACCGTCAAAAATTTACTTGGGTGTTATTCATTCGTTACTGTCTGGATCTTTGACCATCAAATTAAAGGAAGACTATGGGCTTGCTATATATCTGAGACAGAACGGTGAAACTTTATGGGAAGCTTACAATAAACCTGGTTTTATGGGTAGCAATCACAATAAGAAAACCAAGGTTGGAAATGATTTTCGGCCAAAGCTACTTTGTGAAGTTCGCTTTTATCTCAATAGTTCTAGGTGTTATTTCACATTACCTATATTTTTATTAAAAAAATAATACATATCTTATAACTCAATTACTTTTGTACCTGTAAGTCTATTATGTTTTATAATATATGTTAATATAGACCACAGAGTACGTTTGTATATAGGGAAACTTTTGATATAGACGACGCATGTCCATACTGCGTGACGTTTAAAAATTGTTCCGCTTCACATTATAATTATTATTATGACATGTTTATGTGAATGTGACAGATATAGAATGGAAGAGATGACGTATGATACAGAAAGAGATAGCAATCTACAGAATTGCAATCTAATTAAACAAATTGGTGTAATTTGAGTGCCTCAGTTTCGGGGCGCTAGTGTCATATCTACCTCTTATTTGTATACAGCGTGTCGTTACCATCGCGACAATAAATGAACACATGTCTAACGCTACTTACCAATAATCATAAAAAAATATTAACGTTAAACAAAATCCATAATTAAAAAAAAAATTCAAACAAACTAATTAAGAAAAAAAGAAACAAAATTTGTAACATCCTATACAACTCGCGCCACAGCGTCGCATTACAAGCCTCTCCTTCTAACAGTATGTTTTGTCTCTTTTATATTCATTCAACCCATTCATATGCTTTGTGACCTTTACAAGTGAACTTTACGTTACGCTTTTATAGGTAAGGGTGTTCTAAAATTCTTTGTTTTGGAAAATTTAATAACTCTGTAAATATTGATGTTTAAAGAATTTAAATGTTTAATACAACTTTAAAAAGTTATCCCCTATGTGTGTTCATTTATTGTCACTATGGTACATTACAATAAAATTTAAAAAATTGCGCTGTAACAAAGCGGAAATGTTTCTTTCCTTTTTGAATTTAGTATCCTACTCTAAGAATTCTTCCACTTGCTACTATAGCGCCACCTTAATTTGCTCCCTTTCAACGGACACTTTTTAATAGACTGAGATGGTCCTCCTTATCTTCTACCCTCCATACAAGAAATACTAAGAAACAGATTAAAACAAAAATTATTTAATGGGGCCTCCATACAACAGACTTGATTTTTTTGCCGTTAATATGCACTTTTACTAACTCGCACTTGACCGGTGTTATTATGATTTAGACTCAAATAATTGGAGATTTTAATTTAAGACTTTATTTTTAATTAGAACCCAAAACATGATAAGTGAAAATCTTGTAACTTGCGTTTTTGCTTTCGGCCGTAAACTATGAAAGTTTCATCGAACAAAGATAATGAAACTTAGTTAAATGTTTAATGAAATAGCGACCCGCCTCGGTTTTGTCGGGGACTCGATCCCCACAACACCACACATTACACTATTGACAACTATTTATGTCACCCACTGATAATCGTTTCGGGTCTGGACGTTTGTTTCCGTGAATTTTATGTATGGTATGTAAAACTTGAACAAAATAAAACAAGGAAAAATTGTCAATTTACTGATTCATATTATTAATAACATTAATGCTTTTAGTCTTCTTCATTCATATACGTCAGTTTATACCTGTATCCTTATTTCTTCTTTTCACCTAGGATATGTTTTGATATACTAACGCCCGGTTTCTAAAACACTGATCATCGTAGATCAACTAATCAGCTGTCAGATGGATTTTAAAATGTCATTTGAGTTGTCAAAAGGATAAACTCTTTAAATTGATCATTCTCATTTCTGATCATTAAAAAGATCATTCTGGTCAATTCAGTGTTTCAGAAACCGGGCGTAAATAAAGACCTACACACCCACAAATATGAAAGTAACGAAAATTACAACTTTTAGCAGATTTTGGGGACTGCCGAACAATATACTAATATAATTGTCAATAATTATTTTTATGTTAAAAATAATTAACATACAATGTGGGGCTACAAACGCGACCATAAATCTAGGCACATATAGAGGATAACTTTTTAAAAATTTATTAAACATCCGAAATCATTTACCGAAATAGCTAATAACAAAACAAAAAACTCTTACACGTAAAACTGTAAAGTTCATTTGTGAAGGTCACAAAGCATATGAATTGGTTGAATGAATTTATAAGAGATAAAAAATATTGTTAGAAGGAAAGACTTGTAATGCAAATTTGTGGCAATGGATGAAAAAGTTTCTGAATGTATGACTCAGTCACTTAGTGTTATAGAATGTTACAAATTTTTATTCTTCTTTATTTAATTAGTTTGTTTGAATGTTTTGTTTTAATTATGGATTTTTTAACGTTTATATTTTTTTATGATAATTGGAAAGTAGCATTTGTGTTCATTGTAACGCCACGCTGCATATATTAATAGTAAGAATTTAAATAAATAAAAAAATGTTCAGTAATGATGATGCAAGTTCTATGATTTTTGTTCACCCAAAAAGTGCTCAATGCGCCTAAAGAAGTTTACACTTCGAAAATGTTTCATATCTAAATTATATTTAGATTGATAACATTGTCTTAAGCTTTTTAACAATATGTTCATCCGTATAATAAATGTACTCATCAGAATTAGTACCCATAGACAAATTATTTTCAATATGTAGCATCTGCTTGAATTGTTTGCATGAACTGTGTACAATTTTGCAACCTATGACCATAAATTCTTTTGCATTATCAGCATTCACGCCAGCACCTGCCATTATTTCAATTTTAGAACCATAATGAGATAATAGTTTTCTTAACAGCTCAATAGCATTTGGATCTCCAGCTGAAGATTGTTGCCCACTTGTTAATACCCTACTAAAACCAAGGTCAATGATTAGTTCCATTGCACTATAAGGATTTCTACATATATCAAACGCTCTGTGAAAAGTAACTGGCACAGGATGTGCTAAACTTAATATTTTTAAGCATATTTCCTCATCAACAGCCTGAGTTGATGTTAAAGCACCAAAAACAAATCTATCAATCCTTAATGTTTTGTAATACTCAACATCTGAGAGCATTGTGTCAATTTCTTCCATTGTGTAGCAAAAATCTGAGCCGGTACGGCACCTTATCATTACATTTACTTTAGGCTCCTGTAATAACAAATCATCGTGTACATGATTACAACAATTGACATGATTACAAACTATATTACAACAATTTCAGAAAATTATATTGTACCTTTATTAAGCTTTGGCAACTACATTGCAAACAAGTTTTGTAGATCGATTTCTTGCAACCTATATTGTCGACCTGCGCCGAAAAATGGTAGTTAATATATCAAACAACAAATATCACCTAGAAGTAATAATTTAATAAGGAATATAGACCATTTTTATAATTTCTCTAACAAGTCCTGGAGACGGTGTCAAACCACCTTGTGATAAGGAGCTGCATACTTCCAATTCATCAGCTCCACCATGAATAGCATTAACTGCAGATTCTAAGCTGTCGATACACACCTCAAGCATTTTCATTTAACGATTTCTTAACTAATAATAAATTGTTTTAAATTCTAAGCTGTGAACAGTTTATATGTCATAACTATGGTCAAAAAGTACTTACTTTTATATGTGTAGTAGAAGTGGGCGATACAAATCGTATCAGATATGAAAACTAGATATTAGTACAATATCCGAATATCGCTTACTGGCTCGTTCAATATCTATGTATTTTACAATATCTGATATTTCCGAAATCTGATGTACCGTGCTCGCTCGCTATACCGACACGAATCGCGATATCATACGCGTTTGCCACAATAACTGATTTTTAAACAGATTTCGAGAGACAAAGCGCGTGAGATACAAATACTCACTAGTTAGAGCGCAACGGCAAGCAATGCACGATATCAGATATCGAGCGACAAAGCGCGTGAGATATAAATACTCACTAGTTAGAGCGGGACGGCAAGCAATGCACGATATCAGATATCGAGCGACAAAGCACATGAGATAGAAATACTCACTAGTTAGAGCGGGACGGCAAGCAATGCACGATATCAGATTTTTAAACAGATTTTGAGCGACAAAGCGCGTGAGATACAAATATTACACTAGTTAGAGCAGTCGGCAAGCAAGGCACAATATCAAATTTTTAAACAGATATTATGAATAAGTTAAGTAATTTTGAATCTTAACACCATGCAAATAAGATCCGTTTTAATTAAATACTAATCATGGTATCAAAGATTACTACAACGATATTGTTATATTTCTGTTGTTTTGTTTAGCCTTGAGCCGTAACGGGCGACAAAGCGCGCAGTTAAGTAATTTTGAATCTTAACAGCATGGAAAAAAATCTCTGTTGCATTTAAATACGAATTACGGTATTAACGATGTCTTTAAATTTTGTTTAGTCTTGAGCTTGATTGCATTGGTACCAAGCACGTAATAGTAAGGGATGCCAACTTACTACTTAAGAATTTTCTGCCTAAATTAAGGAAGAAAAATATAAATGGAAATTTTTTAGGAGGTAAATTTTTTTGAATATTTTATTAGTTAACTTTTTTTCATATTTTTGGAAAAAAAATAAAAGTACACAAAAAGAAAAATATAATTTAATAGTGCTGTGCTGCTTGGGTGGAAATCAGACCAAGGCTTATGTGCTTTGTGTGTATATTTTAAATTCTTCCGCCCTAAGTTATAATACTGAATGTATTATTTCTTACACAAATTATAAAGATATTGTCACTCATGATTGCGTGTGTTTTTAAAAATATGTTAAAGTCAATTATTAAGCGATATATAAGATGTTAAAATAAATCATTTTTATATTACTTCAATTTCTATTTTTAATGTAAATTTTTAATTTTATCAGGTAATGTTTTAATTTTACCTTAATAGTATAAAAAATCGTGATTCAAAAAACTTACTGAATTTATTCAATTTATAAGAATTTTTTGAATCAGTAAATTTTAGTGGGTTTTCGAATTTATTTAGAAGTATTCTTTTTGAATAGTTGGTATCACTGGTAATAGCTTTAGTTATGTATAGGTATTTTTAGAATTCAAGGTGGATACGGGACCGTAAAATATCTAGATATAAAAATACATAGTTTCGAAATCTGATTCAGATACGGTACTCAGAAAAAGCGATACGACCCATCTCTAATGTCTAATGTCTATGGTTATGGTAAAGAACAAGAACAAAAAACAGTGATAATAAGGTGTTACCAGTAACAGGTCATTCTCAATGTCATAGTTAAAATACTTTCAATTTCAACTTGACTAAGTGACGTGTAGACTGTGTATGTATGGAATACAGTATATTATTAAAGATTTAGATTTTAAAGAAGGTTATTTACCTTGAATATTAATATTATTATCCAATAGAAATTCTCGATACAACAATGTACAAAAATCTATGTTCATAATTATATGTTCTATATGCAATGCATCGATATATTTATTTGGATAGATCGAATTAATAGGCGTATTATTTGGGCCAGGAAATATTACATTTTAATGGAAAGAATTCTCATTTTATAATTTTTTTTAAAAATTTTGCATTTCGTGCTCCGAGGCCACACGCACAAAATCACATTAATCAAATTAAAAATTTCCACCACGCAGTACTTCAAACTCCTAAAAAATGCCCCTATAATCTAATTGAAATATTCATAAATAATCCTAAATGCAATTTTCAAAACCCTTAAAAAACCCTAAAGTTGTGTTCCTAAAGTGGAGCCCACGCCCCAAAGGGCAACAATTTGATTGTTGAAGAGACCAATTCGAAAATGTACTCGACACGAGTTTAACCCTTTCACTCCGGCCCATTTAAATGCAATGCTTGATTTCAGTTCCAAATTTAACGTAAAAAAACAAATTCATAAACAATTTTTCTATTTAAATTTTTTGAACATTCCCAATTTAAATTTTCATAAAAACGCACTTAACTTTTTATTAAATTGAAATCTGAGTGATGTAAACTCCTTACTTGAATCTATCAGCCATAAGCCGATGTCATTGTCAATCTGTTTTGTTAGTGTCTTTATCAACGTCTTTAATGTAACTAAAACTAAAGTAAAGTAAAAAAGTAAAGTAACAGCCTATACATGTCCCACTGCTGGGCAAAGGCCTCCTCTACAGCGTGTCGTTACCATCGCGACAATAAATTAACAAACGTCTAACGCTACTTGCTAATAATCATAAAAAAATATTAAAAATTTAAATTGTTTATAGTGCTAATCTTTGCACTTAAGATTTGAACATTAAAATATGTAGAAAAAGTGCGAAAAGATTGTCGCCGCTGCGGGAATCGAACCCACGTCTTCGGCATTCGTGGCCTGTGAGAAAACAATGTGGAAGAATGCGTTAAGATTTTCGTCGGTGTGGTAATCAGCCGTTTAGCTCAGTGGCTAGAGCGTCAGATGATGATGAAGGCTAGAGAGTCAATGCCGAAGACGTGGGTTCGATTCCCAGAGCGGCGACAATCTTTCGCACTTTTTCTACATATTTTAATAAAAAATATTAACGTTAAACAAAATCTATAATTAAAAAAAAATATTTTTCAAACAAACTAATTAAGTAAAAATCTTATACAACTCGCGCCACAGCGTCGCATTACAAGCCTCTCCTTCTAACAGTATGTTTTGTCTCTTTTAAATTTATTCAACCCATTCATATGCTTTGTGACCTTTACAAATGAACTTTACGTTACGCTTTTATAGGTAAGGGTGTTCTAAAATTCTTTGTTTTGGAAAATTTAATAACTCTGTAAATATTGATGTTTAAAGAATTTAAATGTTTAATACAACTTTAAAAAGTTATCCCCTATATGTGTGTTCATTTATTGTCGCGATAGTAACGACACGCTGTATATAGAGGGTATCAGGGCACCTAGTCCACCACGCGGACTCACTCCGGATTGGCGGACTTCACATATCTTCGAAATATTTTTTTTTGTTATAATTTCGAAAATATGCAGGTTTCCTCACGATGTTTTCCTTCACCGCCGAGCACGTGATAAGACAGCACTTAAAGTTAAAAACTTCATTGATGCCGGCACCGGGGATCGAACTCAGGTTGCTCGAGTATATTGAATTAAAGGCGAGCGCCCGGACACTGAGCTATCACGGCTCTTGGCCTCTTAACTAAAACTAATTTTACTTTAATTAATTTTAGCTCTTTAAAACCTTATATTCGTTAAAGGTTTTCTCTTATTTAAATTTTATAAGCTAAGTAAAGCAACATGGATAAATATCTTCGCCCTGAAATGTTTGATATCGACCCGTCAGGTAGCTCTAGTTCGAGAGCTAAGATACACTGGCGTAAAACTTTCGAAAGCCGTGCAGAAACCGACCGCTCCAGAAACAGATGCACAGTCGGTTCCTCCGCCAGAAAAATGGGACAACATAATGTTTCAGCTTTTGGTAAATCATATATCACCAAATATCTACACATATATAAGCGAAGCCACGAACTACGAAGAAGCGATCACAATACTGCAAAAACTGTATGCAAAACCTAAAATTCTGATTTTTGCTAGACACATGTTAGCAACAAGGAAACAAAGACCAGAAGAAAGTATCGCCACATATTTACAAGCTTTGAAACTACTTTCTTAAGATTGTGAATTTGCGACTGTTGATGCAGACACAAACAAAAACGATACCGTGCGTGATGCTTTCATATCCGGTATATAGTCGCATAAAATCAGACAAAGGCTTTTAGAAAACTTAACTCTAACACTTGATCAAGCTTACAACCAAGCACTCCCTCTAGAAACTGCAGAGATCAACTCTCAAAGCTTCAATACTGTGCATTTAAATGCTGTTGCCCCAAAAGAACCAACATTCCGAAACCACAAACTGTGCACGACGAGACCTCTTCTGTTAATAATCCTCGACGACGAAAATGGTTCTTTTGTGGGGGACAAATACATTCTCGTAAGAGCTGCCCTGCCTTTGAAAAGACTTGTCAGCTCTGCAACAAGAAGGGGCACTTTCCCACTGTTTGCAGAATCTAAACCTACAAATTCTGTGGTAGTAAGATCTTTCCGCTTGTATCACAGCAGCGTCACCTTCTTCATTACGTAAAGCTACTGTACCTACTTATATTCGAGGAATAAGAGCAGAAGCACTTCTCGATACCGGCAGCTCCATCAGTTTTATAAATGACAGCTTTGCAAGACTATGCGGGTTAAAAAGAAAATCCTGCAAACAGACTATTTCAATGGCCTCTCGTAATCATACTTCACAAGTAGAAGGTCAAACTTTGCAAACCCTGAAAATCTTATCGTGAAAAATCTTTGTGCTGACATAATTATCGGCCATGACGTCCTCTAAGAACATTCATCTCTATAGTTCTCTTTCGGTGGGCCAAAACATCCACTTCAAGTATGTAACGTAGCTGAAGCATCAGTACCAGCTGTACCGCTTTTTGCGAATGTATCTCCCAACTGCAAACCTATCGCTATTAAGTCCCGAAGGCACAGAAAAGAGGATAGTGAATTTATTGAAGAGGAGATCAGAAACCTTATAGCAGAGGGCGTGATTGAAGAAAGTAAATCACCGTGGAGGGCCCAAGTACTAATAACAAAAAGCGAAACTCATAGAAAACGCCTTGTGGTTGATTACTCTCAGAAAATTAATCGTTACACAGAACTCGACATGTACCCTTTACCAAACATTGAGGACTTAATTTCGAAAGTGGCAAAGTGCGTACCATCAAGTACCTATACTACCCGAAGAAAGGAAATTTACCGCTTTTGAAGCGCTGGGAAATTTGTACCAGTTCAGACGTATTCCTTTTGGAGTAACAAATGGAGTTTCGAGCTTCCAACGAACAATGGATTGGCTATAATATTGAAAACCACATAATTAAACCTGACAGTGAGTGACTCAAGCCACTGATTAATTTACCTCCATCAAGCGATTTACGGACCTTAAGAATGACACTCGGCATGTTCGCACATTATTCTAAGTGGATTCCAAACTTTTCTAAACGGATCCACTCACTTGCTAATACGACAACTTTTCCGCTGACAAGAGAGCAAATTAAATGTTTCGAAGGCCTGAAAAATGATGTCGCAAAGTCTTCTATACATGCAATTGATGTAAATATACCTTTTACCGTCGAAACTGACGCTTCCGTTCATTCCATTGCAGCAGTACTTACGCAAAATTCTAGACCAGTGGTGTTTTTCTCAATAACTTTGAATTCAAACGAACAAAACCATTCCGCCATTGAAAAAGAAGCGTACGCCATAGTGGAATCATTGAAGAAATGGAGTCATTTCCTTATTGGTAGACACTTTTAATTGGTAACTGACCAACGCTCGGTTTCTTTTATGCTTAATATGAAATATTCAAGTAAGATAAAGAATGAAAAGATTCAAAGATGGCGACTGGAACTAGCTCCTTTCAAATACGATATTATATACAGACCGGGGAAAGGAGAACTATGCTGCTGATGCACTATCCCGAGTTTGTGCCACTGTAGAAATACGTACTGCAAAATTTCTCTCGCTGCATGAGGCTCTTTGTCATCCAGGGGTAATGAGAATGTTTCACTGGGTTCGCTCTAAAAACCTTCCCTATTCCATTGAAGAAGTCAGAACAATGACAAAATCTTGTCGAACCTGCTCTGAAGTAAAACCTAGATTCTTCATACCTTTGATGACCAGAGGAAACTTGTTAAAGCGACGTCTACTTTTGAACGCCTTAACATAGATTTTAAAGGACCAGTTCCAGAAACAATTATAACAAATTCATACTAACCATGATTAACGAATTTTCACGCTTCCCGTTTGCTTTCCCATGCTCAGATATAAGCTCAAAACCAGTTTATTTACACCTTTACAACTTGTTAATGATATTCGGCATGCCTTCTTACGTTCATTCGGATAGCTGAACATCATTTCTTTTTGCCGAAGTACAGGAATTTTTACATGTTCGAGGTATTGCCACTAGTAGAACTACAGCTTATAACCCTCAAGGTAACGGTCAAGTAGAAAAATTGAATTCTACTATTTGGAGAACGATTCTTTTGGCGCTGAAGACGAAGAATCTTTCGGTAGAAAAATGGGAGCAAGTATTACCACAAGCCTTACATTCAATTCGATCATTATTTGTACAGCCATAAATTGCACTCCACATGAAAGAATGTTTAGACACCCACGAAGATCTACTAACGGCACTTCTGTTCCATCGTGGCTTACAAATTCTGGACAAGTCTTGATGAAGAAACTTAATCGTACAAATAAATATCAGCCATTAGTAGAAGAGGTTGAATTGATACACAGCAATCCTGACTTTTCATACATTCGGTTCCCAGATGGCCGAGAAACAATGGTGTCGAATCGTCATCTAGCACCATTGGATTCAGAAAGGGTAGATCTGCGTATAGATAATGAACACACTACTGATTATCATAACGTCGCAGAACCACTTCCGGGAACGGGAGACCAAAACTTGGAGATTCCTTCATCTAATGAGACGGGACCTGTGGTACTTGATAATAGCAGAGAGCTAGAAGCCGCGTTACCATCATCACCACCGCCGGAACCAACACTTCATAGATCTGGCCTTCTTACTTGAATCTATTAGCCATAAGCTGATGTCATTGTCAATCTGTTTTGTTAGTGTCTTTGTCAATGTATCTAATGTAACTAAAACTAATTTTAGTTTTAAACTTGTGACTGAGGCTAACCAAATTGGAACCTTATAATATAAAATCTCTGCTCTATCTCGCTAAATTAAAATAATTAATCTAATATATAAAATTCTCGTGTCACGGTGTTTGTAATTGCCTCCTCCAAAACGGCTCGACCGGTTTTTGAGTGCATATCGGCCTGGGTGGAGAATTAGACAACATCTATTTTTCATTCACCTAAATGTTAAGGGTAGTCCACCCTAAACAGTTTTTTCTACCCTACAAATTCCCTAGAAATAATTTATATGGCAGAAAAATGTTTTATATGGCAGCTAGTTAATATATAAAAATCTTTAATATAATGTTAAATTATTTGAAATTGGATTTAAGTTTTTCATTATATGGTTTGAAAATTTACTGTGTTCGTTACATTTTCCGAAACATTTCTTCCTAAATCCTATCATTTAAGTTTTTTAAGGGAACAATTAAATTTTTTAACATTAAAAATACAAATATACATAATGTTATATAGGGGGGACTAGAATTTTAGGAAGGCTAAGGTAGGGCATGGCACAAAAAAGGTTGGGAAACACTGCCCTACAGGATTTTCAAAGATACTGTCTAAATTTTAATAATTTTTGCACCTTTCTTTAAATGTTCAATCTTAAGTGCAGAGATTAGAACTATAAAAAACTTAAAAATTTATAAAAAGCAATGGCGACATCTCTCGTTCGAATTATCGTTGTAAAACGATTTTCGAAACTGTGTGTATGCTGGAAAGGATATAACAATAGGTGCGCCAAGCATTGCTTCAAATGCTAAATAACAATGTAGAAAGAAGGCGTTAAGATTTTCGTCGCTGTGGCTATCAGCCGTTTAGCTCAGGGGCTAGAGCGTCAGGCCGCGAATGCCGAAGACGTGGGTTCGATTCCTACAGCGGCGACAATCTTTTCGTAATTTTTCTACATGTTTTAATAAGAAAATTTTGTTTAGATAAAAGCTTGAATATCTTAGATGCAAAGACGAATCGAAATTCATCCTATAAATACGGATCCGGAGTGCACTAGGCAGGTATTTAGTTCAGTAGAGGAACTCAAAGAAGGAAAGAAAAGAAAAAAAATGAAGTGAGAATAGACGTAGGCGGTTGCGGACTCGTGAGGGTATTCTGTGGGTGAGAACCGTGATATCACGCCTTTTCAGTGAGAGGGCCGTTGCGCAAGTTTATAGTGTAAATAAAGTGAAGATTGATTCGGGATTGGATTGAAACAACTGGCGTTTCAATCCAATCCCGAATCCCTAACTCGTAGCAATATGTTTAAGTGTCATAGGGCCCCAATTTCATTAATTCTGTGTTTTTTAATAAGGTATCAGTATCGAAATTAAAAAAAAAATATTGCTCTTACAGGGCAGCTGTAAACAATGTGTCGAGGGAAGCAAATAATTTTCTAGTTTACGATGTTTATCGCAAAATAGAAAAAGGTTGCATTTGAGCAAATTCAATTTAAATAATAAGTACTATAATTGCCTGTTATTGAACAAAACATCGATGCAACGATTCAATGTATTAAATCGAAAAAAACATCGATGTACTGTAAGAACGCATATCCCTTTAGAGTTAGCATTTTAACAAAATATTTACAAAATCAAATACAAACTTTAGGAGGAAATGTGTTCAAAAATATTTGTCTAAACTTGAGAACCGACTGTCCCGTGACCATGAATTAATTAATTACATTTTTAAATTCCAGAAATTTTAAAATCCAATTAAACGTGATAAAATCCGTAAAATAGTTTTATGTAACAATGTGTACTATTACTTCATAATTATAAGTACGGAATTTAACTAAAATTAATTTTATCATTTGGAAAACATCACTTCAAGACGAAAGTGCCAATCTGCCATATCATGTAATTGTTGCCAGCCTCACGTTGGTGGTTCCTTTTGACATTACGAGATTTAGGACACGCGAACGTAGGCAAAGTCTAGCCTTCGTTCGTTTTATTTTATTAGGTATAGAGTAATTTTTTGTACCAATTTTAATAAAAATACTGTTCTACATAATATCATCAAATTATCTTTCAAATATACAGCGTATAACATTCAAAAAAATAGTTCCATATGATTTCCAAAGAGGTTATACTAAATTACTGTGCCACATATTGAAAGAAAATTTGACTGTATTATTAATAAGAACGTATAAATAATTGCTTTCATTAATTATTAACAGATATGTCTCGTAATAAACAACATGAGGAGACTGATAAACTTACACGTATTGCAATAGTAAATGCCGATCGATGTAAACCAAAAAGATGTAGACAAGAATGCAAGAAAAGCTGCCCTGTGGTCCGTATGGGCAAGCTTTGCATTGAAGTAACACCCAACGATAAGATTGCTACCATATCTGAAGAGCTTTGCATCGGTTGTGGTATCTGTGTCAAGGTAAGCATATCAAAAGATTTTCATATTTATTATATCGTCGTATTATTGAATCATTCTACATATTAATGACTGCTTTTGACAGTATTCATTTATTTATAATAATTGTTACAGAAATGTCCTTTCGATGCTATTACTATCATAAATGTACCATCCAATTTGGAAAAACACACTACACATCGTTATTCCAAGAACTCATTTAAGCTTCATCGTCTCCCAATCCCTCGACCTGGTGAAGTCTTAGGGTTAGTAGGCCAAAATGGTATTGGAAAATCTACTGCATTGAAGATTCTTGCTGGTAAACAAAAGCCCAATTTGGGTAGATATGCCGTAAGTACTATTCCTTTTCTTCATTCTAAACATTATTATGTTCAGCAGTGGACTCAAATAGGCAGAATTGATGATGATGATGAAACATTGTTATTATATATTAAAAATAAAACCCAAGCTAAATATAAGACATTGTATGAATCTGATAGTGTCCAACCAAAACTGAATTTCGGCAAGTCTCAGTTTCGACCGAAACCGAAACTTCTATAAAAGGATAATGTTTTGAGGAAAAAATAAATATCTTTTTATCATACAGTTATGCAGTCTTTGATATTTTCACTTATTGGTATGATAATCAACTTAACAACCCCATTTAAGAAAAAAAATATTTAAACATTTAAGACTAAAAATAGGTGCCTTAAAATAGGTTTATTTGAGTAGTTAGATTCTTCTTTTAAATATTATTTGTGATTATTTTAAATATAGCATGGTTATTTTGAACATGCTTAAGGTGTCTTTTTTTGTAACTTTATTAGTTTGTAATTGTATAAAGTGTTTTTATTAATTAGTAAGCTGTCAGAATATTTAAACTTGAATGACGCAGCGTCAAATAAAATCCGTTCATTCATTCAAATTGACAGCATCACAATGACGAACATGAATCGACGTAGACGAAGAAAACCTTCAACGTCGTATCGCTAGTCTTCGTCGCTTGCTTGCATGCGTGGAATTTAATGCGCTGATCATAAACGATCATCGGCAGATTTGGCGCCGAAACCGAAATTAAACCGAAATTAGTTTTTTTGCCTAAACTCGACCGAAACCAAAACCGAACATTTGGTCGGACACTAGAATCAATAATTATGATAGCTCAGTTTGCATATACGTTAAGCTATTGACTGTAGCACTGTGAGTTGATTCCCTTACAGTACTTGTGTAACACACAGATAATTTATTTGGAGTTCACATATATTCAAAATATTTTTTATGCTGTTATTTCGAAAATAAACAGGTTTCCTCATGATATTTTCTCTCACCCCTGAGCATGTGATAAGTAACCAATAGAATTGCAATTAACAATTTCATTGGTACCAGTACCGGCATGAGAATTTGAAGTCAGGTTGATCATATACAGCGTGTCGTTACCATCGCGACAATAAATGAACACACGTCTAACGCTACTTGCAATAATCTTAAAAAAATGTTAACGTTAAACAAAATCCATAATTAAAAAAAAATATTTTTCAAACAAACTAATTAAGTAAAAAAGAAACAAAATTTGTAACATCCTATACAACTCGCGCCACAGCGTCGCATTACAAGCCTCTCCTTCTAACAGTATGTTTTGTCTCTTTTAAATTCATTCAACCCATTCATATGCTTTGTGACCTTTACAAATGAACTTTACGTTACGCTTTTATAGGTAAGGGTGATCTAAAATTCTTTGTTTTGGAAAATTTAATAACTCTTAAAGAATTTAAATGTTTAATACAACTTTAAAAAGTTATCCCCTATATGTGTGTTCATTTATTGTCGCAATGGTAACGACACGCTGTATACTTAATTAAAGGTTCTCCCAGAGACTGAGCCAGAGTACTTAATTCAATCAGGATGTAATGACGATGATTACTTTCACTAAAATATATTTACCATTTCAGGATCCTCCAGACTGGCAAGAAATCTTGTCCCACTTTCGTGGTTCTGAGCTTCAAAACTACTTTACTAAGATCCTAGAAGATGACCTGAAGGCTCTTATCAAGCCTCAATATGTAGATCAAATTCCTAAAGCTGTGAAAGGAACAGTGGGCCAACTACTTGATAAGAAGGATGATAGGAAAAATCAGACTATAATTTGTGAAATGCTTGGTGAGATGAACTTTTTATTAATTTTTTTCGATAATCAAGTATTTATTATGCCATAATTCATTATATTGTAGATCTACTACGACATTGATTATCATATACCTCTCTAAGTGTGGTTATATGGTAAATTCATAAAGAAATTAAGCTTTTCCCCATTAATAAGTATGTACTGTATAAAAAATAAGTTTTATTTAAAGACTGAAAACAGCATGCTACTCATACCAATTTACATATTATGAATGTTATACAAATTATATCTTTTCAGATTTGTCTCACATTCGAGATCGTGAAATTTCGGCATTGTCTGGTGGAGAACTGCAACGTTTTGCTTGTGCTATGGTTTGCATCCAGAATGGCGATATTTTCATGTTTGACGAACCCTCTTCTTATTTGGATGTAAAGCAGCGTCTTAACGCGGCTCGGACTATTCGCTCCCTTATACATCCCGATAAGTATGTTCCATACTACTGTTCTTCTTACTGTATTCAATTTTGTTACGTTTTAGTATACACAATGACTTTATTAGGGTTTACTGCTTTGTAATGACTAGTTGTAAGACATCAATACTGAATAATTACTTATCTATCTTATAATAGATCTCATGGTGATGTAACTATTAGGTATCAACTACTAACAAATCTCTCAAGTGTTACACAAGCAAACTATTAATGATATTACTGTACTATGAACACCTTGTTTGAGATGAAGTCATACAATCATCATAATTATATCAGAAATTCCATGTACATCATATCAGAAGAATTTTAGTTTTGAATATCAAAATATTAAGAAATCATAATCTCCAGATTTAGGAATGTCAAAGAATATACCACGGATATACTTCGGATTATACACTTCTAGTTCTTTTTTCACAAAATCACTCCCATAGATTGCAGAGGAAATATTTCATATAAAAAAAAACAAAAATAAAAAAAAATGGCTCCACAATCTCTAGTTGGGTTGCAAGTAGGACTATGTCCTAATACCACATAGGTGTTATTGTTAAAGCTTTTTACTTCAGCAGTTTATGGACTTGATGCTGTTACTGTTATCAGACGGCAACACAACTTTATTCTAAATTACCACTATAATACTTTTACCATCCCTACATTCAATAAAAAACATCTATTGTTACAGGTTCATTATTGTTGTTGAACATGACTTGTCCGTGCTGGATTACTTGTCAGATTTCATTTGCTGTCTGTATGGTGTTCCTGGTGCTTATGGCGTTGTAACTATGCCCTTCTCAGTAAGGGAAGGTATATACAACTCATTTATTTACTGCAGATAACATAAACATATTATTGATTAGTGGATAAAAACAATTAAATAAAACAGAAAAGTATCATAAAAGATTTACTGTACTAACAGAACTATTACTTAGTTAACTTAAAGGTATACACAAGATTTCAACATGAAACTCAAAATTAGTTATTAAATTAACAGATTATAAAACGTAATATAAACACATACACTATTCTATGCAAGAAAATGCAAAAGTTTTCTTTTGGAGTAACTTTATATGTATCTTTTATAATTATACATGTGACATTTAATATTGTTAAAGGTATAAACATTTTCCTTGATGGGTTTGTACCCACTGAGAACATGAGATTCAGAACTGAATCATTAGTTTTTAAAGTTGCTGAATCTGCTACAGAGGAAGAGGTAAGTTTTACAAGATATTTACAATTTTTAAAGGTTATTATCATCACCACCATCAATAGTTGTTATATACCACTGTTGAACAAAGGTCTTCCAGTTAGAATACCATAATGAACATGAATCCGTTAACCTACATTATGATGGCGTCTGCCCATCTAGTACTCCTCTGGTCTCTACAAGTATAATAAAAACGAAAAGTCTCGTATCTTTTATGTGGTTTAAGAGATATGAGACTCTTACAGAAGAGGAAATATATATTATTATAAGGAGGAAAGAACATCCTCTTGAAGGGGAAATTCGCCGAAGAACCGGAGACACTGACTTAGCTTTCCGTATTTGCAAGTTGAAGTAGTAGTGGGCGTGTGGCCACATTGCTTGAAGAACTGATGACGGAAAGAGAGTAAAAGTTCTCGAGTGGCGACAATTAACCGGAAGAGGAATAGTTGGAGGGCCTCCCTCTAGGTGGATCAACGACATCGTAAGAGATAGAGATAGTCGTCGTAAAGATCGATCGTAAGAGTCGATGCAAATGGCAAAATGTCGTTATTGGCGTTGTGGCGTTCTAAGGGACCTATGTTCAACAATGCACATCTTGCGTTTGTTGATGATGACATGAAGAGAACATTTGCTTTTTTTAATAGCTTTATCAGCTTTTACTTTTATATTTGTAGTAACATATTAGTTAATTCTTATAATTATTTCGGAACAAAGGGTAAAATTTAAGAAGAATATCTACGAAAATGTATCTGACAAATTCATCAGATACTGTTGCACACTATTGCACCCCTTAATTAGCTCACATGAATTTACCACAATACATAGTTTGTGTAACGATTTTTATTTAATACAGATAAAAAGAATGAATCACTATGAGTACCCCGAGATGTCTAAGAAAATGGGTGACTTTAATCTTAAAGTGATGCCAGGGGAGTTCTCAGATTCGGAAATTCTAGTATTACTTGGTGAAAATGGTACTGGAAAGACTACATTTATTAGAATGTTAGCAGGAAACTTAGAACCTGAAGAAGGTAAGATTCTTTAACATTTTTATTTTGACGATATTTCAGTTCAATCTCAGAGTAACTTTGCAAATAAAATTATAATAAATTAAAATTGACTCAAAATACCTATTTTTAAACGCACTTCAGCTGGCTTTTAGTTTTTATAAACCTTTAAACTAAAACGCATAAACGCATTAAAACGCAATGCATATTTTGCAAAAAAAATAAATGTACCACTCTAATTTCCGAACGTATTCAACATGTGGCAACACGAATTTAATTTGTCAAACAAAAGTGTTACTTGTCACTGTCAGATCGCTCAAAGTTGACAAAAATCACGATCTATTTTATAGCGTTTCGTAAAAAATATTTATAATCTCGGTTTGAATGTTTAGCTAAAATACGGTTCTTAACTCTTATTGTCATTTTTATTAAAAATGTAAATGATTCTTCGGTGTTGAGGTTATAGGCTAATAGTAAAATTAAGCGTATTTTAATGAACTGGAATCCATACCCAAGTCTGGCATGGCTAGAACTGAGCTATTCGATTTGTTTTTCCATCCTGTATTTCAAAAGTGTTTGAAACATGCTGAATCTTCTGTATGTAACGAAGGTATAGTCATATATGTCTACATACCTTATTCATGGCCTAGTTTAATAGTTACGTATATAATGGAGCTGCTATTATTGCAATGCTTTTTTATTTCAATTTAAAACCTAAATTTATAATGCAAGACGCACCAATGAATATTTAATTCTATATCCACAAACAGTTCACTAGGCCTTTATAATTATTTATATTACAAAGTAATTATTTTCCTTAATTATTCATTCTTAACTGTTTTAACTGTTAATTTTGGATATAGAACAAAGCTTTTTAATGTAATCTTTATCTTAACACATACATAGTACAAAGTTACTTTCATATGTTGGTCTCTTTGTGATGTTAAATACCCTGAATTTTTGTTTATATATGTGTAGTGACTGATTTATCAATTGTTATGCATTGGTGGAAATCACAATGAAACAAAAGTTACATAGCTTATTAATTGCTTTAAGTAGACCACCTACTATACAGCTTTATTGAAAAAAAAACAATGTTATAAAATCACAATAAATAAATAATTTTAAAAAGGAAAAAAAAAACCTCCCAATATTTTAAATACTCTGCAGCATTTAGATACTAAAAGTCCATCCCAAATTAAAAAGTCTCAAGTTTTTAGTTTTTCATAAATGCAATTTTAATTATAGCATTATTGGTTCATTTAATAAAAATAAGAAATTATTATTTATGAAGTCTATTTCTGCAATACCGAATGTATGAAAAAAAATTCACAGGTTCTGGCCAGTTGCCGCAATTACATATTAGTTATAAGCCCCAGAAAATATCTCCCAAATGGCAGGGCATGGTTAGAAACTTGCTACATGACAAAATAAGAGATGCATACAGTCATCCACAGGTAATATTTTCATATTGACATATTCTTCTTTTTTGAATAAAATTGTATCAAACAGCAAGTATAATTCATTATCAATGTCAATATTACAGTTTATAACAGATGTTATGAAACCTATGAAAATCGAAGAGATTATGGATCAAGAGGTGCAAAACTTGTCTGGTGGTGAATTACAGCGAGTAGCCTTAGTTCTTTGCTTAGGAAAACCGGCAGATGTGTATCTGGTTGATGAGCCCTCTGCTTACCTTGATTCTGAACAGCGTTTGGTTGCAGCTAAAGTTATCAAACGGCAAGTATCTTATTAGAAAAATATTATTTCACCTCATACTACTAATAAAATATAAATCGGCAGGTTTTGTTATCAGAGATATAATAAAAGTTGTGTATTAAAAGCAATTCATAAATTTGACTTTGTTTGTTTTTGCCTTCATGTCTAATTAATTATTATAATAAGTGAGTGTTCATATATTAAAAACCTAAACTATATTCACAGGTTTATTCTGCATGCAAAACGAACAGGTTTCGTTGTAGAGCACGATTTCATAATGGCAACATATCTTGCTGACAGAGTGATTGTCTTTGAAGGCACACCTTCAACAACGGCAACTGCACACGCGCCGCAGTCGCTTCTTAATGGGATGAACAAATTTCTGGAGCTTCTCGGTATTACTTTCAGACGTGATCCAAATAACTTCCGACCGAGAATTAATAAACATGCTTCGGTCAAGGTAATTTAAATATATTTACTTGTTTAACTTGGTCATTAGATTCTATATTAATATTAGAATCTGTATTAATTTAAGCAGTAATACAATTTGTTTTTTTTTTCATTCATTTTAGAAAAATTAGGTAGGAATGGTTTCCTGAAACATTGTCCTAATTGAGAGTTGCCAATTAAGAATTGCAAAAATTAAATGTTTATTATTAAAGTGTTTGTGAAGAAAATTATGGAATTTAGATTTGTCTGACAATGTTTGAAACCTGTGTTACCATTACCCTAAAAAAACTTACTACTTTAAAATGACCTTAATTACGCTCTAAAATCACATATTTTACATTTGTTAAAATTTCAGGATATGGAACAGAAGAGAGCAGGCCAATACTTCTTCCTGGAGGACTAAAAGCGCGGTTTATTTATTGGACTATTGTAACTGTCACAACAACATGGCCTGCAAACAATGTATTTCCATTTAATTCAATGAATCCATAACTGTAATTAAATCAGTTTTATATATATATATTGTTACTCATTGAAACTATATGATAATAATATTTATATTTTATGAAAAAAGATTTTTTCTACATGATATACAATTCACTACCTATAAACATGAAGCCCCCTGATTTTCTTTAACGAAGTAACTTTATACAGTATACTAAGCGATATTATGCTAGGACATTCCAATCCTATTTTTACTTTGAGACATTTATTATAAGGCAAATATCTAAGAGTAAATAAGATTCTATTTAAGATATTTAATATAACATATTTGAATTTCTATTTATATTTAGCAAGATAAGAATTCTTAAAACTTATTAAATAAGAAAATGTGAATTGATTAATTTCACGCGTAATTTATTTTGTCCTAAACCGTAATTCTTAAAAGCCTACATCAGGGTTGCTTAAAACCGCAATCACAATCTATCGGTCAACTGTGATGTCCATTAGACTACTTGATAAACAGTAGTTTTAATTAAGACTAATATGTACTTAACTTTTTTGAAATATAATGCATATCAATAGAGGAATCTCGATAGCATGAATTTCAAAGGAAACATTTTTTGCTAATGTTGGAAAAGAGGGGTAAATTCACCTGAGTGATTACTAAGACCTAAATGACTAACGATGCCCAACTATACATAAGCGATAATATACTACATCTACAACAATTTGTGATAATATGATACATCTACAACAACTTGTCAAATCGCGCTTTTGGCGTTGCCAAAATAAAAAAGTGAGGCCCGACTACCTAATACGCAATACGCCAGAAAAAAAAATATATTAGTGAAGAGTTACAGAAATTTGTTGTCTTCTTTAGCTTGGAGTGCAGATTTTTATTATCAATTATCTTTTCAAGAGCATACATTGGACTTTGTTGAATTGTTACAATCATTTGATGATGGTTCGTAGTGTTTAGCTCTGCTTTGCTTTGTTTATTTTATATGAGTGATTCAAAATTTGCTGGATCAGTACAATTCATTTCAATACGATTAACAGATAATATACATTTTGATAATATACGTTTTATATGAGCCGTGATAGCTTAGTGTCCGGGCGCTCGGCTTTAATTCAATATTCATATTACATATATATAATCATTTCACGGTGGTAGGGCCACGCGGGCACGGTGGTAGGGCCACGCGGGCACGGTGGTAGGGTCACGCGGGCACGGTGGTAGGGCCACGCGGGCACGGTGGTAGGGCCACGCGGCAGCCTCGGCTGTTGCCCGAATGGGCAGGCCCGTCCGGGTAAGTACCACGACCTCACAGAAGACCAGCGTAAAGTGGAAGTATGACAAATAATTTCGCGTTTCGTCTGGTGAGTGAGGTAGCCGGAGCCCAATTTTCAAAAGGTTGTCAACGCATCTGTAACCCTCGGGTGTAGCAGATGTCCATGGGCGGCGGTATTCACTTACCATCAGGTGAGCCGTCTGCTCGTTTGGCAATTTTTCACATAAAAAAAAATATACACTCGAGCATCCTGAGTTCGATCCCCGGTGCAAAAAAATTTGTCAATTTTAAGTGCTGAATTATCACATGCTCAGCGGTGAAGGAAAACCTCGTGAGGAAACCTAAAAAAAACCCTTCGAAATAATAACAAAAAAATATATTTCGAAGATATGTGAAGTCCGCCAATCCGCAGTGGGGCCGCGTGGTGGACTATGCCCTTATTCCCTCTGTACAGAGGAGGCCTTGACCCAGCAGTGGGACATGTATAGGCTGATACTTTACTACTTTACGTTTTATAATTTTTATGTATTTTTTTTATTAAAATAAGGAAGTTTACGCAAGCAGTTTAAAATGTACGTTTACGAAACGATGGAACAAAAGCCGTAAACATTTCTTTATTTGTTTGAGTTATTTGTAGTAAAACCAAGTACGATGTCAGTATATTTTATTTCTTACCTCGTTATAATGATATTTTACGAATTAGTAAAATATAAAATAGTTAAGCAGTCATGCTTCATGGTAGAAGAAATTGCCTCAATCCCTGACTGAAAGTGTGACATGTCCGAATTTTAAGAATTTTACCATTTCTTTAGATTATGTACACCTTAGAACTGTGGATCATCTTGTACTCGAAATATCCACGACTGCATCGCCGGCTATCAGGTGGTACGAACCAAAAAAAGTGATACATTTATTTTATTTTTCAACCGACTTCAAAAGGAGAAGGTTCTCAATTCGACTGTATTTTTTTAATGTTTGTTACCTCAGAACTTTTGACTGAGTGAACCGATTTTGATGATTCTTATTTTTATTGGAAAGCACCAGCTTCCCATATGGTCCCATTAATTTCATTGATATTGCATCTTGGGTTCCGGAGATGCTTAGGGAACTCATGAAAATCAATTATAAAACGAATACAGAGCGAGATATTTGAAGTCGGTTTTGTTTTTCGTTAATAAAAATGGTTATTATTTATTCATACTTTATTGCAACCTTTAAAAAAAGGATTACAAAGGGCGAACTTAATGCCTTTTGGCATTCTCTCCCAGTCAACCCGGGGCGTGGTGAGCAGAATCTCTGGAGCAGAACCACCACATTCCATCATGTAAACCATTTCCGTATCTATTCGAAAACAATGTGATCTGTAACAAACTATTAGACACTAATTGTTTACTCAAGCGTGCGTGCGAAAGTATGGCGACATCACGCTATATCCATACATTTCGTGAACACATAGGGAACTTCATACTTTCCAGAGCCGTCATTTTTAATTTACGTGTTATTGGATAATCAAGCTTTAAGTTAAACAGTTAAACGAATCGAAAAAAACGAAAACGAATCTTCGAAAAATGTGATATTTGTGACTACATATTAGCCTACATATTAGGTATAGGTACCCTTTAACCAATGATATTATATACAAATAAGAGGTTTATTAAACATCATTGTCTATAACATGATAAAGTAATCTCTGATTTGAGTACAAAATCGATTTGTGCACCGCAAGATAAAATTATTTTTGAGTGTTGTCGATTCGGTTGACGTTGATTGTGGGATTAGTTTACTTTGTGTATCCTAAGTAAATTATTGTCTGTAGTAAATTAGTAAATTATGTATTAATAAATAAAAACCGATCGATGACTCCGTGGCGCAGTTGCAACGCTCTTGCCTTCGGCACCGTCGTCTTAGGTTCTACTCCCACATCTAGTTAAATATCATGATTCACAAGTTTTTCTGTTAATAAAATGTTTGAAAATCTTGATAAATTTTACGAGGAACTAAACCATTGTTACAGAGCAATGGATGACATTCCCAAAATATTTTGTGTTGTCCAGCCTACTAAAACTGTGCTCACGTCAAGAAGAACATATAGCTCTATATTTGACAGAACATAGAGTTCTGTCAAATATAGAGCTATATATGAATGAATGAATGTAATGATGAATTTTCTGCAGAAAGGATGGAGATTTTTCTACTGAGGTCTCGGAAGCCGCCATCATTTCTTTAAATGATCCAATGGACCTTGGAGCTTCAAAATTCATGGTCTAATAGGTTTTTAAGTCTGTTTCGAGTCTAGCGGTGTGTCTAAGATTTTTCAACTAAATATGTTAATCAAAATTAAAGTTGATAAAACCTTGCTTAGAACACCACAATAAGCCAAACACGACTTACCAATATTTCTATATTGTCCATTTAAAAGGACAGGAAAGCAAATTTTGATATTGTGACGTGATCGAATATTTTAGCAAACTCAAGACACGTAAGCACGTATGTGTTATTTTGGAGGAAAATAGCCCTGCACGCCAACATTGCCAACCCATGCTACATCACCATGCAGTATGTTTAAATTTAAAAAAGAAATTAATCGGTAAGGCTGCGAAGTTTTGCATCCACACTGATTATATTTTTAAGATTTTTTAAAATTACTTTATGTGATATAATAGCGGCCAAATGTTTTTTCCAGCATTATAAGCAACCATCAACCATGTGACCAACGCAGGTTAAATGTTACATTTATCTTCTTATAGCTATGATGGTAAGATCTACTAACCATCAAACATAATTATAATCACTACGCTAGCTACGATAATTTTTTTTATTATCTTTATTTTTATGGGGTTTTTATCTATAAAGATACGCCAACCCCATACGGAGATCATGTGATTGTGAATTACTTAACGCTATAAGGTTTTTTTTAATAAGCAGAAAGCGATTGATTCTTAGAATTCAACTAAACAAATGCCAACAATGATAACGAGTCCGATTCATGAGTGTAATCATCGAAAAATCTCGGACATGTGCCCAACGTTTCGAATGCTAAGTATAATGAATGTCTCACGCCCGGTTTCTGAAACACTGATCTTAAAAGTCAACTAACTAATCAGCTGTCAAATGGATTTTCAAATGTTATTTGAGTTGCCAAAAGGATTGTTAAACTCTCTGAATTGATCAGAATGGTGCGATGATCAGTGTTTCAGAACCCGGGCGTCACAGTCTCAAAGACCGTTTAGGCGACATTATTTACGGATAACACAAACAAATTTTTTAATTGAATAATTATGAAAATAACTATATCTCGTAACTAGCACTAAACTATCCATAGTTTGAGCATGGAAGTTCACATCCTACTAAAAGTAGCCTGCAATCGTTTAAGATCGATTATTCACCAGCAGGAACGCCAACTCCACTCATTGATGATTCATTCTATTAGACATCATTGTGTTGAACTTGATGAAGTCATTACATTATGATTGTTGATCTTAAAACTGGTGACGATATGTACGTTGTGACGTATTTGCAGAAACTCATGCTTTGTTTATTATGAAAGTACTATTTATCAATAATTTAAAAATAATCTGTGAATGTGTACGAATAATTTGAAGCTATCCTGTTTGGTTTTAATCTGGTTTATTAATGATTATATTTATTGAAAGGGTGGAGGAATAGTTTGTATTGAAATGCAAACGAATTTTTCTTAAAAAACAATTTCATTCTTATCTTATATTTCAAAAGTACAATATTTGGTAAATATATGTAAATATAACAATCTGCTTTATATAAAAAGTATGTTTGTAAGTTAAGTACTCTATCTAACTGAATTTTTGTTTCAGAAGTGAATGAAAATTTAAATTAACTTAGTATAAGCACCATAATCTTTAATTTTAAACTTGTCGTCAAGTATATAATCAAAGACCATTATCATGTAGATTGTGTATGAAAATTTCATTATTCAGGACAGTTTATTGGTAATACTTATTACCAAAACACAGATATTAAAAGTGCGAGCCGGCTTTCTAATGTTTCCCGGCCTCAACAAGCCTCGCTCGCTGACCGCGGTACGTCGGCGTCGCGTCGGTGGCGTCGCCCGCTCGCCTGGCCGCGCGATGACATCACCACTGGCGCGATTACGTGGCATTAACAGAGGTCGAGAACCTTTGCGTTTCATAGTTTTGAAATAAAAACAATTTTTTTTTTCCCCAAAAAAAATTGCAATTCTATTCCTTAAAAAACAGAACTTGTTGACAATGCGGTGCAATCATAAAAGCGTCGTATACTTTTGAAACAAACTTGTGTACGTGTTAGTTATGAATGATCGCGCGTAAAATGAGTTGCCTATAAATCACGCACTTTTTGAGATAAGTTCAAATATATTTAATGAATTTATTACGAGTGATTTTGAATATTTATCATTTTTATATAACATTATTTATGTCTAGAATTTAATAAAAAAAATGTATACACTTAGAAAATCCTCCCTGTAACTACACACATACAGGCAGTTACGAATAAATAACAACATAATAAATAACAATATAAGTAATATCAGACTAAGCAGTAGACACATTTATACTCGTAGCTGGTAATCATTTTATTCAAATAAAATATGTTATTGTTTTTACTAAGTGATAAACTGTAGCTTTAAATACTTCCAATCTATAATCAATAATTAAGTTTCAATTAAGATAGCCTTTTTAAATTACGAATTTGTTGAACTATTTTAGGTAAGAATTGGTGATGGTCGTTTTGGTTTTCATTAATGTCATTTATTTGCGAGTAATGAAATTTTTCTCGGCACTTAAGATGAAACATTAAAATTTGTACAAAAAAGGACGAATAGATTCTCGCCACTGCTTTAACCACGAAGTTGAGGAGTCTGTACACGAATCCGAAATTCGATTCCTGCAACGGCGAGAACCTATTCGTCTCGGTTTTCTACGTAGTAATAAGACATAATTATATACTTCGTTTTATTTACACAATAAATGGTGTATAATTTTATCAAAGGTTTCCAATACCTGAATTATGCAAGTGAGTGAGAGGGCGAACAAAACGCCACGAATCTGACCGACCTCCTCCTAGTCGCTTCGCTCGTTTCATTCGTGTTTATTTCGGATTACGCTCTGTAGTAGTTTGGTTGGGTGTGTCGCTGTAATTTTTTGAAAACAGTACGTAAAGTATTTCATTCCCTTTTTATTTGTCTTATGATTAAGGTTTTTGTATTAGTGCCACTGTGTGATTTACAATTATTATGGTGCAATTGATCACAATGTTAAATGGGCGGCGGCTATAACGTTGTTTGCTAATCGGTAAAATGCCGGTCCGCGTTGATAGCAATGGAATTTTATTTTTAGCGCAGCGAATAAAACAGATGTTTAAGAATTAACGCAATAACGTTGCATTTTTGGTTGTTACAGCAAATATTCATCATGAGCGGACAACAATACTACCCGTACAAGGTAAGTTTTCCTCCTACATTCTGTAAGGCCGTACTTACCTACCCATAGTATCGATTCTCAGGAGATGATGTCATCTTTCCGGAGCAAGGTTGACGATATACACTACTCATTTATTTACCAAGGCAATCAGTAAACAGGTTGTACTTCGGATATTTTAATTTATGGTTTCGTGTATTTGTATAGTAACCAGTATAATTTTTTCTAGGTTAATTATTAGTGTAGTAAACACTCAGGCTATATTGTAAATGTTTATGCTGCACTGTTTCAGCATAATGAGAAAGAAGTACGTCCGTACTTCATTCCCATTTTATTTTTTATTTTTACACAACTTTACCATGAGAGCAGTGCTCGACTTTCGTGGCGTCATGAAAATAATTGAATGCCTAAATATACGGTAAATCCCTTCAGTTAAAGAGGTTAGCAAAACCCCACACGTATAATTTTTTTTTATTTAAATACGTGTAGCACTTAATTATACACTTCTGCAATACAAATAAGCCAATATTGACCTGGTTTCTCGATATACCGACGAGGGCGCTCGGAAAATTTAAGTTACGCACAGCGATGAGTGAAACGCTTTCATGAAGTTTTTTGTAAACTTCGCAAATCTAACGCTGAGTGGAAACCTTTTTGGTGCATGCTTACTTCTTTACTATCATTACTAATATTATAAAGGCGAAAGTTTGTATGTATGGATGGATGTTTGTTACCCTTTCACACAAAAATTACTGTATGTAATTACTGTAAAATTACTGTATTACTGTAATGAAACTTTACAATAATATAGCTTATATATCAGAATAACACATTTGTATAATATATAAAGATATTGAGTGAATTGTCTAAAATATAGGTAATGATAAGTGTCAACTAAGTAGGAAAAAATTCACCCACCTGCGAGATATTCCAGTGTATAATAAAAAACTCATTCCCTTTGGCCGCGCGGGTGAAGCCGCGGATAACAGCTAGTGGTATTATAATATTTACTTATTTATCATTTAGGATTGTTTTCTTTTTTGTAAGGAAACTATTGTATTCGTGTACCAAATAAATATATTTTCTTTCTTTGTTTTTGTTTCTTTTAAACGGGTCCCTCTGTGCAGTGCACTCCTACGGTGTACCCGGCGGAGCCATTCGACCCCGCTGCGGACGCGGAGACCCTCCGCAAGGCGATGAAGGGCTTCGGCACAGACGAGAAGGCAATCATCGACGTCCTGTGCCGGCGGGGAATCGTCCAGAGGCTCGAAATCGCGGAAACCTTCAAGACCAACTACGGAAAGGTACGCAATATCTGTAAGCAGTTTATTTATTTAAGCTTCATTGCAACATCTTAAGCTAAGGGCTACAATCGGCTGACTTAATTCCTAATGGCATTCTCTATCAGTCAACCCTTGATATGGTGAAAAATACATGGCATGTGCTAAATTAAGATTATAAACATGAGATGCAGTTTAAGATTTTCTCATGTTATAGTTGTTTTGGAATCTTATTATGTGTAAACGTTATTATTCGATAGATAAGATTACTACATAATACAGTTTTTGACCAAAGAGACAAATCAAAAACTCTGTACATTTAACTGCAAGCACCACTATTAATTCGCAAGAATGCGTCACAATTTTTTAATTAATTAGACGTTAATAGGAATGTGCATTATTACAATTTGTCCAATTATAAACTATATTGATACGAATATTTAAATGTTTACTTCAAAATCAATATAAGTAGGCAGATTATTTACAAGCTTGTATGAATAATTGTTTTGGAAGAATAAAGTGGGGTTGCTGTCCCACGCTCCCCTCTGTCTGTACGTCCACTTATGGTATTTAAGCTGATTTGTGGGATAAGGAATAAATACATTTGGTGTTGCAGTAATTTTATTTTAAGCGGCACGCCCAACCGGTTTCGAGCGTTCGTAAAACTTACTCAAGTGCTGTGTAGTTCGTGAATACTCGTTACGGCGTGCCATTTTTTAACTTCGAATGTTAATGCACAAAATTGCGTGCTTAATAAATGTTGTGATCTAATTTTTTTAAAATGGCGTCCTGTAAAAATGGTTTAAAACTATACTTCACTACTGATTGTGTTCAGAGTGCCATAATTTTCCTTGGCAAATAACAAAATCATAATTACACCTTATGAAATTGACGAGTTCCCATTTGTTGCATCGCTCCATTATTGGTTTTCTTCTGTAGTTACAGCAAAATGTTATCTTTGCTATTTCTAGGTAATTTTGCTGTCACGGATATCTGTTATCTACTCGTTAACCTCTCGACGCCTTTTTGCTATCTTGTAAATTTCTTTGCCATTTTATAAAATGAAAACAAAACGTAAGCACAGTTAAAGAGGCCTCTCTATTCTCCGTCATAGTCACCGGTGTACGTAATCCCCTTATCTATAACTAGCTGAAAAATTTGCACAAGATCAATTTCCGAATACTTCTGAGTTATTAGCTCAGTTTTAAGTTTGTGATACCATTAAACATATTTGAATATGCAGTCATTAGTTCACCATGATTCCTAGTACGCTAAAAAATTAATCAGGATCTCGTTGATTCAGACCTTGAATGTTTCAACTTAGTTTCGTAGCCAACTCGACCTCGCCTGACGTTAGTCATCGTTGATTCATTGTTCTTTAATATAACCGAGGAACTATTTCCACGTTTCCTCTAAATAACTCGTCCTCTTTAATGTTTAATTATGATAACTGGGAACACACGTTACGTGACCTTTACTGTCGTGTTGCAATCGGCTCAGTTTAAGTAAAACGCGCTTTGAAAGCAATAAAAAGTATGCATGACTATTTTGGTTTCATCTTTTAGTTCGCTTTTTGCGAGTTGTTCGTCAATACTGATAGAAGTTGGATTAGCTATTTATTTTATTTATTTAGTTGCACCAACAAAGTTGACACCATCCCAAGTAAAAAAAAATAAACCAAAACACAAGATTGGTGCTACTCCAATTATAGGTACAAACAACAGAAATCAACAACAGCTGTTATGATTTGTATGTTGTTTTTCTGAGATGGTGTTTCTCTCACGTTACGATGTGAATTAGTATACCATAACATATAACCCTAACAATAATAATCAATAATGTATATATTTTTAGGTCCATTTATCATCAAGTAAATCATCAATATCTCTAGAAATTATTAAAGCGCTACCGTTTTATTTAACGTACCGTTAATACTACCTAACTACCTACTCTTGTAACAATGTAGGTACGTTCGAAATTCTTTTCGCTATTTCTTTCTTAAGATTTGTTATCTAATCATAATATTTAATTATTTATTAATTATAAGCAAGTCTTCATTTAATTTAATTACATATTTTCATCACACATGTTTACTAAGATTTATCATTATTTTGTTTTTTTTTAATATAAAAATTTATTCTCTTAAAATTGACGTCTACAGGTTGAGATAATTAGTTTTTTTTAATGAAACCTACGATTTTAAATAAAAAGAGGTAAATGAAAACCCAGAGAGTGTACCTTTATAATATTTACGTTGTTTTATCGCATATTCGATAGCGTAAATAAATGTAACTTCATTAACGATTATCAATTAATTTCATTTCGAATGATTAAAATAATCTGACTTACGGTGTTATTGTTACAATAATTGTATTCGATAATATTAAATTTTTTGTTACATGTTGCAACTGCTTACTGTACCTACTATAAAGTTTAACAAGAAAGAACGCTTTTTAATTATTTTGATGTACCTTCCAAATTTAAAGATGTCCAACCTCACAGCTAATATATTTTCGTTCCACACGAAATGGGGTCATTTCCTTAGAAGCGAATTACGTAATGGAAGCTTTTACCCACATCAATAAACTTCCGGTCAATTAAGAGTAGTCCGTTAAAGGATAAAATGCGTTTTAAGTAAATGGTTATTAGGAGTATCAAAGCAAAACTGTTGTGGGTGAATCTAATTAATAAATGTTAGCCTCTTATCAGCTTATTTCTTTTGTCATATCGTAGATTTCGACCTGAAAACTTTAAGAAATGGTATTAAAAGTAATGTCCTATACTTGATTATTTTTATTATTATTATGTTAATAATCCTTGCCTTCTCCGTGGTTCTAAGTAAATCAGAGTAACTTCACACCTGCATTCGATTGCAAGTAGTTCGTTTATAGATATTACTGTATCATGTTGTTCATGAGATACTGTAGTAATTGATATGTGGCGTAGTGATTTCTTGAGTTTACTGCAAACACTACACATAAGTAGTTAAATAAAAGTAATATTACGGAATTTTTCACATTTAATATTCATTTTAATTAACTATTAAGTCAACTTAAAATAGGGTTCATGGTCCGTAGGTTGAAAATCCGCAAAGATAGTTTTATTTAACTAAAATATATACCGGGTACACCTGGCTATTATGCCTAGAATATTCTAAATCCATCGTTGTTCTATGTTACTTTATCGTTAAATTTGCTACACTGTCCCATTTCATCATACAAAAAGGCTACAATTATAGGTTAATGTCTTTGAATTTTGTTCAAATTATAAAAAATTGTAGCCATACAAGTTTGTGGCCTACGTGACTTTTAGCGCTGATTTACCGCCAAAAACCAGTCACGTGAGGAGTTATTGTGCAGGACCTCATCAGCGAGCTTAAGAGCGAGCTTAGCGGGAACCTGGAAAACGTCATCGTAGCTCTGATGACCCCGCTGCCCCACTACTACGCCAAGGAGCTCCATGACGCAGTGGCTGGAATGGGCACCGACGAGGAGGCCATCATAGAGATCCTCTGCACGCTCTCCAACTACGGAATCCGTACCATTTCTGCGTTCTACGAACAATGTGAGTGAGCTATTTTCTGTAAACAACTTAATATGGTATAGATGCATTAGAATATTATTATGAAGTGATAAATTTTGTACGTTTGTATGTCCGTGTGTGAATTTGTGAGCTTGGAGACGCGATAGTTTAGTGTCCGGTCCAGGCGCTCGCTTATAATTGAATATACTCAAGCAACCTCAAATCCCGGTGCCAGCACAAATTAAATATTGTGTAAATATTCCTCATGACTCGGAACCAGTATTTAGGACATGACACTCATTTGAAGTATGTGCTGACGAAAGTGTATGCTAAGTATCTAACATGCATTTTTATGCAAGTGTGAACACTGGCATTGGCACACTTGATCCAGCACTTCGTATTTGTGGCAAACACATGTTTCGTTAATATAATGCGATAACAGTAGCATAAAATGTGAATATTTTTATTACCTAACAAATAATTACGACTGCACTCACTACACATATTCTATTTAATTTTGGGGATTTCCCTGATGTATCATCTCTAGTGTAAAACTAATCATTGATTTAATTGGACAACATGGGAGCTTAACCGAACCCAATGCAGAAAAAAGATTTTTTTTACCGACTTCAAAAAAGGAGGAGGTTTCTCAATTCGACCGTATATATTTTTATTTTTTTGTATGTGTGTTCAGGGATAACTTCCTCATTTATGAACCGTATTTGATGACTCTTTTTATGTTGGAAAGGAGATATCCTAAGGGTGGTACCATGATAAGGAAACCCAGATCTGATGATGGCATCCCAGAGAAATCGAGGGCAATCCTCAAATGTTATAGGCGTTTTATTAGTTATTAGTTTCCTGTTTTAAGTCGGTTTTTTTTTTGTTGAAAATCGGTTATTAAATGATGGAGTTCTGAAGAAACAGACAAAAAAGTATACCTAAATCGAGAACATCCTTTTTTGACGTCTCTTTATAAAATTCGGGTAACCCATGAATTTTATTTTAATTTTTTTTCTCAATCATGAGTAATGTTTCACTGATACTTAATGTTTTACTAAGTGGATGTACAATGTGCCGATATTTTATAAACTACCAGTTGAACACGAAGACATTATGAGATTTATATTAGATATTTTGTTATACAGCGTGTCGTTACCATCGCGTCAATAAATGAACACACGTCTAACGCTACTTGGCAATAATCATAAAAAAATATTAACATTAAAAAATATCCATAATTAAAAAAAATATTTTTCAAACAAAGTAATTAAGTAAAAATTGAAACAAAATTTGTAACATCCTATACAACTAAAACTGACTGATTCATACATTCAGAGAATTTTTCATTCGTTGTCACGGCGTCGCATTACAAGCCTCTCCTTCTAACAGTATGTTTTGTCTCTTTTAAATTCATTCAACCCATTCATACGCTTTGTGACCTTTACAAATGAACTTTGCGTTACAGTTTTATACGTAAGGATGTTCTAAAATTCTTTGTTTTGGAAAATTTAATAACTCTGTAAATATTGATGTTTAAAGAATGTAAATTTTTGATACAATTTTAAAAAGTTATCCCTTATATGTGTGTTCATTTATTGTCGCGTTTGTAACGACACGCTGTATATTTACAATTAATATGCTGTGCAAAGTTCGTTCTGACTTTTATTATGTTTCTTACCACAGATTACATTTTTTGTTATTTAAAAAGTTCTTTCGACAAATAAATTAATACGTTTTCCGAGCCCTTTATAGCCTGACAAAGCAGCATTCATCCTTTAGGAATACGAAATGAATTACGGCCAAGGATATGAATGGCAGCTGTCCAATTCTTGATAACTAAAGGGAATGGGCGGAGAAACAGCCTTTATATACGAAAACATTATTTCCAAAGCGGTTATAAATATATAACTCGGGTATAGCGTATACAGTACAGAACGTAATCGTGTCATATGTTCTAGCCACACCTGAACGCGTCAAAATGACGACGATAACTTAATCGGCCGCCATTAGCAAATGGACTTTTCTTTTTAATGGCAACTTTATGGGTTTGACCTCAATCCGAAAAAAACTATGTGAACGTAATTTTGTCTAGCTATGTTTCATCTCAATGAGTTTATAATTAAAACTTACTTTGTATATTCGATGTAGTTATTGGTGAACTACATTTGTTGACAATTACGTACTTTAAAAAAAAAAGAAAGTACTGCGTAAAGTTAAATTGCGTTACATGTGTGTTGAAAGGTCGTAGAAGGGCCACCTTGCATTAAAATTCTTTGGAAGAACTGTTATAATTTATTCGTCGCACGTATGCGCTTCAGGGATACTCTTTATTTGAACTTGAATAGAATTTAAAAACAGTTAAGTGAAGATTAAAAAGTATAATAGATCACTTCTCATAGGGTTTCAGAACAGTATTATTAAAACCTTTATTACGTACAAGTTATGGCTATCAAACTTATATTAGGTTGACGAAATTGTCTTCAAGCATACTAAAATTTGCAAGGCATGTATCTGTAGGAAAAAGCACTCTAAAATAACATGATAAAGTTTGCTAATTCCTAACCTATTATATGAGAACTTGAAATGAGACAGAAGGGCTTTTTTACGGATTTATCGCATTTATTTTGATTCGCGTAAATATAAGAAAGCATCATGTCACTGGTATAAAACTTGGCAGCCAAAGATTCTTGGATATTTTACTACTTGAGCCGTCAGGGGCTTTACTATTGCTATTTGTTTGTGCCGTATCCTAGTATAGCTATTCGCCAAGGTCAAATCATACGAATATGAGTGAATTTGACCTCAATCGGTCAAATCACTCGGCTGCTACATGATGAATTAAACGCCCTAACAATAGCTTTACCTACGACTGTGCTCTCGTAGATTACGTCTTATGTCTATCATAGAATATTGCTATTGAAAAAGTAATCGACAGTCAACTACACCTACTCTGGGTAACGAAGATATCTGTAAGGTTCGTGGAAATTGATCTCTGAAACTGTACACATTTTGACACAGACACGAGTGTTTATAACATGTGTATGCTTCAAAAAATACAGGCGTTTTGGAAATAATTTACACACACACAAGACGTACAAACAGAGACACGTTTCATAGCATTTATAACATGATTATGTATAATTCAACAAATACAGAAATTTAGAAAATCATTCACAGTCACTCGGGACGTTAAAAAGTTTTTAACCCAAAAAGAACCGACTTCGAATAAAATGATCTACGTAACTATTACAACGTTACGTGTAAAACAATTGATATTTATGCGCAGCAATCGCGGTTGTCATATTTCGAAGAGTTCCGTTACTATCTCCGAAAATCATCATCAGATCTATATGAAATTTATATGGGGCCATTTCAGAATGAAACCCTTTCGAACAAAATAGAATTTTGCAAATCCAGTCTATATATCACGAAGTTATGCCCGAAAATACATTAAAAAAATATAAACATCCGAATTGATAACCTCTTTCTTTTTGTAGTCGGCTAAAAACAGAGACACGTTTCATAGCATTTATAACATGATTATGTGTACTTCAACAAATACAGACATTTAGAAAATAGTACACTCACACGGGACGTTAAAACAGAGACGCTGTTCATAGCATTTATACGTTCGGCGTTTAACGATGGCATCGATTTCAGTGTACGGCAAGAGCCTGGAGTCTGACCTGAAGGGCGACACGTCGGGCCACTTCAAGCGGCTGTGCGTGTCCCTGTGCATGGCCAACCGCGACGAGAACCAGGGCGTGGACGAGGCGGCTGCCAAGGCGGACGCCGAGGCGCTCGCCAACGCCGGCGAGGGCCAGTGGGGCACCGACGAGTCAGTCTTCAACTCCATCCTCATCACGCGCTCCTACCAGCAGCTGAGACAGGTGGGGTCGACGACCTTTTCTGACATACTCGTCCGCCACGTTCTGAGAGCACGGCAGTTCCTAGACGCTCGTAACCAGGGCCGGATTTAGGGGAGGGCAGCCGGCGCTAGAGCAGAGCCCTCCACGCACGAGGGGCAGACTAGTAAACAACTTTTTATGTTCTGATTTTTCGGCGATAAAACCTCAGAAGGTTCTGTTCGTTAACGTTAAAATTTAATTTTAGATAATTCTTGTTGAAAATAATTCGATGTCAAGGGGCCTCCACTACTTTCTTGCCCCGAGGCCTCCAGACCTCTAAATCTGGCCCTGCTCGTAACTGATATACTTATGATTTATAGACTGCTAAGTTTATTGCCTATTGAGTGTTATGAGAACACGGCAGTTCCTAGACGCTGATAATATACTTGTGACTCGTTGACTACTAAGTTTATTGCCTATTGAGTGATAAGAGATAGTGGTGAAAAGGGAGGGCGTTAGATTATCATTTATTATAAGATGGTGTACGTGTGATGGCTCGGACGTGGGTTTGATTCCCACACGGGAAAAGTCGCGGCATCTGGGTGTTTAACCAGATCCCGCGACTTTTCCCTAATAAACATTCCGAAGGAGGGTTGACGTCGGGTAGGCGGCCGCTCTTATAAAATTAACCAATACCATTAACACAATGTTGTACTGAATTCACAAAGGTTGAATAAAGGAAGGAGAAAGAGAGATAAGAATATATATCAGATTATGAAACACTAAACAGATTCAAAAAGACTACACTTTTTTTTTATTTAGTATACATTTTCTTCTATATGATTTGTAGGCGTTTCCTCATGTATATCGGGGATTTAAATTCCAATCTCAATGGAAATAAATATGGGACCACGTGGAGCTATACATAACTTAAGCAAAAATAATAATTTTTAATTCGGTTAATTAATGACGGAGTTCTGACATAACAAAGATTTAAAAAAAACCTGCAAAGTTCAGGTCGTACTCGCGCACGCATGGTCATTTACCATTATCTATAAAAACGGCAAAAAAATCATGTCTGATGTATGGTGGTAGTATTTATTGTTATAGCGGCCACAGAAATACGTCATCTGTGAAATTTTTTACCGTCTATCTAATCACGGTTCATGAGTTACAGCCTTGTGACAGACGGATAGACGGACAGACAGACAGACAGACAGCCGAGTCTTAGTAATAGGATCCCGTTTTACCCTTTAGGTACGGAACTTTAAAAAAAACCAGCCAAATTTACGGGGAATCCCACGCGCTGTTTATCGAGTAATTTATTGCGTCATAGACCGCATGAATAGAATAGTAGAATCAAACAGTTTAGACCGCAAAATTTTTCGAATTCTTTAAAGCACGGTGCCGGTGATACTGTACGAAATGCTTTTAATATTTTTGCGCATAAAACGCACCCAATGAAAATGTCACTGTACACACGTTCCTAAGTATTAAAGGTAATATTTATATAAGGCAATAACAGGCCAGTAGAAAGCTGGTCTGGTGCATTTGTCACCTAAATTACTTCACTGCCTGCCCTGGGTTGGTGAACGGTGCTTATCTCTGTAATAAAATATAACAATACGAACGTTCGTAATAAATAAACAAAAAAGAAAAAAAATGTCACCTTGATACAAACAGACGGTTTTGTTATTCGGTGGCTATATAACAGGTGTTTTAATATTGTAGGTACCAAAAACTTAATGGCGTGTGACAGATCGCGTCGCGATGCCGCCATTTTGCTATCTATATATATAAAAAAAGGAAAAATGTTACCTTGACACAAAAATACAGTTTTGTTTTTCTTTTGCACCAAAAGCGCAATGATGTGTGATAGAGCGCGTCGCGACCGCGCCGCCATTTTGCTATTTCGAAGATTCTTCAAACTTTGCATACTGATAATAATTGTACCTTTTAACAGTACAGTTCTACGACATTTCTATTGGTTAACATCATAATTGTTATAATCAATTCATCTGAATGCTTTAGCTTTATCTAACCTGATTATTATTAGACCAATTAAATTGTTTTCTAAAAGCACGCTGAAAATCATGATAATGATTAAAAAAGAGCTTTAATGAAATCACTATACATTTTACTTTTGGATCTAAAAATGAAGTTTGAGTTGCAATTGCGCCTTGAAGTGTTTATTAACTTCTGTTAACGTGAGCGTAAACAATGTTTCACGAGGTTAACTTGTTATCAGTTGTTTTTAACATAATACTTTCGTTTTAATTATAAATTTATAGCTCAATACAGAAATACCTATAACGAGAACGAATTCATGTATGTTACGACTAAATTGTGTGTGAACATAAACTTAAGATTAGCCGGCTAAACTTATGTTTATCTTCCGGCATAAGTTCGATCAAATGTTAATTTGTGTCGAGATATTGCAACTTTAGCCGGCTAAACTGCGCTTTAATAAATCAACGAAGCAGCTAAAAATTAATTGGGTGTACCATCTGTAATTTGAAATTTTATTAATTCATTTACAATACTGAAGAAGTTTTATTTTGTTGCTGCTGTTTTAAATACTGGTTATTTAAGGTACTTTTCCGTTAGCCGGGCGCAATGTGTCATTTAACTTTTTAAATATCAAAGTATTGTCCGACCAAGGTTATTAGTGGATTAGGTTAGGTTGAAAGTGAGTCACAGACCCGACAGAGGACCCCGATTCCATATGGTCTTGTGGTCTCCACCCCTAGTGTGAATATAAAAACACTGAATCAGAAGCTCGCGTCGGAGCCCGCGAGGCCAAGTGGAACGAAGGGGTCAGGTGACGAGCGAAGCGAGCAGGCGAGGTCCGTAGCGGAACGAAGGTCAAGTGGTTGAAGCGACATTTACGCCCGGTTTATGAAACACTGATCAGTTTAACCATCCTTTTGGCAACTCAAATGACATGTGAGAAGTCATTTCACAGCTGGTTAGTTAATTTCTACGATGATCAGTGTTTCAGAAACCGGGCGTGTCATAGGCGAGAGAACTAGAAGAAACTAACATTAGCCGATCTTGGAAGATAAACGTTAGTTTAGCCGGCTAATATTAAGCGTATGTTCACTCTCAAGTAGCCATAACATATAAATATAGTGCCTCAATATTCGAGAACTCTTTAACGTCCTCTCAGGGTATAAATCAATTATTCACTATAACGTCGTGGGAGCGACATTAAAAACAATCGCAACAATTACAGCTCTTCGCCGAGTACGAGGCATTGACCGGTAAAGACATCGAGGAGACAATCAAGAAAGAGTTCTCCGGAAGCATCGAGAAGGGCATGTTAGCTATTGGTAAGTAAAGTTAAAACACGATATTAAAAGTAAATGAATAATACTTACACCAATTTTTCTAATTTCGAAATTTAAGCTACTTGAATATTTTAGTATATTTATAGTTTTTAAAGATAACCTCGATAAGAAGCTGAATGAAAGCCTCTCATGCCATAGAACTAACCATATAAATTAACCTGTGAAGTTACCATTTATCAATTATAACACACAACATAAACTTTAATGACCTTTTGTATCCGCTGAATGCCAAGAGTATAAAAAAGTTCACACAATGCTCAGATGAAACACGTCACGAATTATGATTGTATTTTCATCTAGAACCCATGATACGGGTGCCACGCTAGCATCAAGGTTAAATAATGACTTGCGCGTATCAGGAAGTTAGCACTCGTGCAACCTTGAGTATTTTTTACCCAGCGAGTCTATATTGTAAATCATCTGTAGTCAACTTTTTTTAAATATTATATTTTTATTATGAGAGCTTACTTTTAGTTAAAGATATTCCTATTTATTTTTACCATTATTACCATCACGATTTTGGAAGTTGAATTACGTATACATTTTGTCTCATATTTTTTAACAAAGTATAGGCAGAGATAGCACATACAATACTCAACAAACTTTGGAGTTTTCGACTGCATGTAATGGCCAAGCCAAATGGTGTGGTTGGTGGTCACCTTGTCAACTGCTCTTGCGCTCTGGTCTAAGTTCCATCCCCACTCATTTAAAAAAAATTTGTGCTCCATAAATGTTCCGAGTCAAGGTGTGCCTGTGACCACGATATCATACAATTACGTAACAACCCGCGATTATGCATTAATAAATGTCGTGGGATACTTTTTTTTTTAGAAAATAATAAGCTCCAACGGGGCATAAGCAGGCGGTTCACCTCATGTTGAGTGAATACCATGAACATGTACAAAAACTGAGTGCTTTTAGATGCGTTGACAACTTTTAAAAAAGCGGACCCCGTTGAAAAAGTATAAAAATTCCATTTCTCCCCGGTCTTCTGAAAGGCCGTGGAACTTCCCATAAATAAGCTTGCCCATTCTTGCAACAGCAGAAGCTGTTGCGTGGCACTACCAAAATTTGAGGAATGATGAAATTTGATCTTAACCATTCGCAAACTAATGGATTGCTTGCAATTGGAATTCAAACCGGTTATCTCGTCTCATAATATTGTTATTAAATTTACATCACATACAACTTAACGTGTGACTTGTTAATTTCAGTAAAATGCGTCAAGAGCAAGGTTGGCTTCTTCGCCGAGCGCCTATACTACTCAATGAAGGGACTCGGAACGAATGACAAGACTTTGATCAGAATCATCGTGAGCCGTTCCGAGATCGATCTTGGCGACATCAAGCAGGCGTTCCTCGAGAAATATGGAAAGACCTTGGATAGCTGGATTGCCGTAAGTCTTTTTATTCATTGTCAATTCACTGGAGTGACGTAACTAACCATGCTTTCGTCTTTTGGCACTGTTTATCTTATGTATCTATTTATATACATAAATATACAGTATATAGTGTCCATAGCTATATCTTTATTTTATATTTTTTTATTTATTTATATCATATGTGTAGCTAACAATCATCAAGCATATTTAAAAAAAAATATGTTCCACAAAATTCCCTAAGAATTAGTATTTTTGTTATGGTCTTAATTTGCACGATAGTTAATAGTAGATTAATTTCAATTGAATACTTGTTGTTACTGCCCCTAACAGCATGGATGTAAATATGAATGTTTTAAGTATACTGTAAAGAAACTGACCCATTATTTCTTTAAATATATTATACACTTTCTTCTATTAAACAGCATGTGGCCCAAAAATGCAACATATAGGTACAGTGCCTTAAAATTAATTTGAGACTCATCAATAATCTACATAATTATGAATTCATTAAACAATTTCTGTTTAACAGATTATACAGATCTCACATATTTTAAATGTCTAAACAATTTAGTGTTAAAAAAAGTTAAGCATAAAAATTCTCCAACTGTTAATATGTGTTCGTTTTATCAGTGTCATTTGCTGTGTCTAACAATAAAGTTAGTTTGAATTTTTCAAAATCCAAGCAGCCAAATAAAACTTAATTATTTTTTGAGATTGTGTTCGAAGTGATGAATTTTGCTTGCAGGATGACACTTCCGGGGATTACAAGAAGGCTTTGTTGACACTTGTTGAATAATTCTGGGCTCAGGAGTCAGGATAACGGCGTTGCGTTACCCACTATAATATACTTTCCTAAGTTGTGTTTTATCAAATGTTAGGCTCTAAGTCAATTCGGGATGCCTATATAAACATTAGAAACAATTCATTATTTTGTTTGTAATGTTCAAATAGCTGTTGGGTGTAAATTTTGTTCACAAAGATCTGTATATTTTGCTTATTACGTCACAATCACTGTAACTTTCCTTGCACCATGGCTAACAGCTTACTTTGTTACGAGTGCACGGGGCATGGTGGACCTGTTTAGTTTGGTTCGCTTTACAAGTAGTTGCCATTTTTTCAGGAGGAGATAGGAGGTCCACTCGGCGAACTCCTATCGGCAATGTGTTACTAAGTCTCCGAGATATTTCTGTTTATATTAACACTCAGTATTACAATCGTCATGATGCTGTGTACCGAGTAAACTGAAATACTTAATTATTGATGTACCCAACATATATATCGTTTGGGTACAAATGTTAATTGCATTTCGAATATTTTATAAGAAATTATTTTTAATAATACGAATCTTTGTGTTGGTATCTTACAATCTCACACTCTTTCTCATATGCATGTTGTTTATATTAATCTGAAATTATGGGCCAGTTTCTGTATTATTGTTTTTATTTCTCTAACATTACAGCAAATGGTATTTTTCGATATTTGTTTACAGGAAGACCTAACTGGTGACTTCAGGAATGTGCTAGTTACACTTTGTGCTTAAGATCCTGCAAAATAGATTTTATCTTTGTAGCATTACGTAATATATTTAATGTATGAGTAATTGTTAGCTTTGCATGTTGTTCCAATTTTGGATAAACTCTGTGTTACAAGATTCGATGTAATATTTTGCAGGATGATACGAAAGGGGACTACAAACGCGTGTTACTCACTATCGTTTCCTAAGAAAATGCATAATAGTAAGACAACAGAATATTAATTTAAGATATGCCTTGTACTCGCAATGAGTTACGATCTGAAACTGCCTTTACATTTGTATAACTGTTGAGATGTAGAAATCAAAGCTTGATATTTTGTGAAAATGAGATATTTATTGGTGCTGTAGTTTTGTTTATGATATTTACATTAATTAATAAAAGTATGTATGTTCCAGTGTTTTGTTTTAATCTACATCCCTTATACCCTCCTCTGTTATCTGAAAAAAAATGTATATACTTATTACTTGTTATATTAAGGTGAAACAAACATTTTGAAAACATTTGGGAAGACATATACATATAGAATATTTATCATATTGCATATGTTTTCAAACGTATACAGCGTGTCGTTACAACCGCGACAATTAATGAACTCACATATAGAGGATAACTATTTAAAGTTGTATTAATTAAGCATTTACATTCTTTAAACATCAATAATTACCGAATTATTTAATTTTACAAAACAAACATTTTTAGAACACCCCCTTACGTATAAAACTGCAACGTAAAGTTCATTTATTTGTAAAGGTCACAAAGCATATGAATGGGTTGAATGAATTTAAAAGAGACAAAACATACTGTTAGACGGAGAGACTTGTAGTGCGACGTTGTGGCAACGAATGAAAACGTCTCTGAATGTATAAATCAGTCAGTTGTAGCTGTATGGGATGTTACAAATTTTGTTTCTTTTTTATTGAATTACTTTCTTTAAAAAATATATTTTTTTTAATTATGGATTCTTTAACGTTTACATTTTTGTATGATTATTGGCAAGCAGCGTTAGACATGTGTTAATTTGTCGCGGTTGTAACACGCGTTGTAGTCGACACGCTGTATATTAGATAGATTTTCCATTGTCCATGTTTGATGACTCCGTGGCGCTGTCGCCAAGGTATTGGCGTAGGCGACGATAATTGCTTGCTTGTGGGTGTTTATACAGGTGAAATTTATGTGTGTAAATCTTTACAACACAGAATAATGTTATCATACAGGAAGGGGCAATGTTTTCGAAGGCAAACAGATCTATGTCGCAGTGGTTGTTGACTTCTACCCAACCATTTCCATATAAAATACAATACGAGAGTGTATAATATGTTCAATGTAACACCTGGAAAGGTGCAACTGCTTCGGGAGCAATATTACTCTTCAGTATGAGCGCCAATCTGTCTCCATTAGGATCGTCAGGAGCCGAAAGTAGCAATCTGACGTTGCATCTATGTGCCCACGCGTCTCCAAACGAACCCACCACGGCGCCGGTTGACAACCCTAGCCTAGTGCTCATTTCGTTTGTAAGAACCACCTGCGAAAAAGATAGATGACTGATGATAATGGGACGATTGTAAGAAAATCTAATCAAGGTTAAAAAAAGGAGCAAATATTTATGCCTTTAACTGTAAAATAAAAGAAGTGTGTGTGTGTATACTTATGCACCCACGTAAGAAGTTGTACTTCTTTAGCGTTAAGAAAGAAAAGTAACAAAATTTTTATCCCCTGTGCCAGTACTCTGTTTGTGCATAAAATGAAATTGTTAACGATTATAAATTTGAACTAAAATTATAGGTTAATTAGCTGACCCCGCAAAACGTTGTTTTGCCATATAAATTATTTATAGGGTAGAAAAAATTGTTGGGTGTGGACCACCCTTAACATTTAGGGGGATGAAAAATAGATGTCCGATTCTCAACCCTGTCCGATATGCACACACAAAATTTCACGAAAATCGGTCGAGCCGTTTCGGAAGAGTTCAATTACAAACACCGTGACACGAGAATTTTATATATTAGAAGATGTCAAAAAGTTCAATAACAACTTTTTTTGCCTTGCCATGGAAGTACCGTGATCATCTTCATCATGTTGGTTTTTGGGGGGTCGATGTGCGCACGCATCGTAAAATTTTATCCTCAAAATTTTTCCCAAACGCGCCAAAAAATATATGTCAAATAACAATTTTAAATAGAATGAGGAAAATGTACGTACTGCAATTCGATTTTGCACGGCCAGTCTTTGCAACTCTGCCATTTGTCTAAATAGCAGGCCCGTCCGTTGTTTCGCCGTAATGCCTTCTTTGAATGGGAATGCTATCGAATCTATCACAATTAATCTTATCTAAAAATACGATTATATTACAAGTCATGCCATGACAATTTTATTTATAATACGGTAGTATGAAATCTTAAATAGAACATGTACAGAGTTTTGAGGCATGTTGTGAGGCTGTAAAGGTGGTAACAGGTTTTTAATAACCAAATGGAAATCGAACTGGCGGATCACCTCGATCAGTACGGTTGTTAATATCTCTAGTAACTTTGATAGATAACCAGTAACCTTTAGGGCGAATTCACGTTAGGTGGCGGCAATGTGCAAATATCACAAGTGCTGTATATTGACTGAGTTACAGTTTAATCAAAATGAAAAAAATATAAAAATGTATAAAAATATTTCAAGTTACTTGATCAGGCGCACTTTACGCAGGCTCTTGAAGGTTAAGAAAAGCAGCTGTTCCCGGTTGAGTTGGCCCCTTAATGCATCATTAGTACACTTATCACCCTTACTAACTAATGTTTTAACTTTTAGTGCTAGGCTCCGCAATTATGTTTTTTTGTGAAAAGATGATCACCTGATGTTAAGTCACTACCACCGCCCATGGACATTTACAACACCCGTTGGGTTGCGAATGTAACCTTTAATACTTTTGTTAATGTTGCTACCTTTTAATAATGTGTGCCCCGGTTATCTCACTCACGCTTGTCGTTTGCGAAATCGTAGTACTTCCCCAGACGAGCCTTGCAACAGCGAATTCGTGCAACAGCGAAGACTGCTGCATGGCCATAGCACAGAAAAAAAACCGCCCAATTTCGAGTCGGACTGGCGCACGAAGGGTACCTGACTTCTTTAAGATCTTTAAATCTTCTTTAAGATCTTTCTTCTTCTGCGATCTTTAAAAACAGCAAAAAAAAGTCATGTCTGTTGTATTGAGTCCCACTTAAATATTTTTTTACTCTATTTTTTGTTAGATTAATTTCATAGAGTTCATCCTAGTACAGATATCGTCCATCTTTGAAAAAAACCCTTCATTTAGTAGTTGTATTGACAATTTTTTATAGTTTATAAATATTTACCTACTTAGGGCAAATACCCAAAGGTTTATTAGGGACAATCAACAGATGTTTATGTTGTACTTCAAGATTTTTAAAATAAATGGATTTTTTGTTGTTTTTTTGGTGTTTTATTTAGAGAAAGAATAATATCATAATCATGTTTTATTACTTTTGTTTAATGCAGCTTAAAAAGCAAATAATAATTCATAGTATACTCAACACTATTATGCTCTGCAATAAATTTTGGCAACTGGTGCATAAAAGCACAAAACTTCTCAAGACCAAATGCATTTACATAATGTAACTGTTTTAAACTTTGTTCTTCATTTTTGTTGTTAGCCTTACAAAGTAATTTTTGACATTTGGTTGAACAGGCAGACAGTATTTCTAAAAAAAGTAATCATTATTTTGTTATTAAAATATATGTTTTCTTGTAATTTATATTTTTTTACTGAAATATTTTCACCTTGAAATCTGTTAAGAACAAAATTTGTGTTGGTATCTATGTAAAGTGCTTCTGCATTTAATCCACCTAGTGCTTCTGGTATTTGAACTGATGCACATAATTGCAAACTAAAAATTAAATATTTAATCTGTTAAAATAATTGTATCAGAGCAACTTATATTGAATAACAATTTAGTTAATAGTGTCTAAAGATAAACATTTATATATTTCATAGATCAAACAAATTGGAACAGTGTTACAATAATGTAATAATGCATACCATAATTGTGTCTTGCCTGTTCCTGGTAAACCTAGTATTTCAATTAAGGAGCCCAATGGAACACCATCAGAACCTAAAATATTATCCAATTTGTGACTGAATGTAGGAATAGACGGCAAGCTTGCTGCTCTCTAAAGAAAAAAAAAAACACTTGTTTTGCAGTGGTAATAAAGTAATTTAAACTTAAGGAAGTATTACATACTTGCCAGAATTGAACACCATCTAGCATTTTTAATTTGGTCTCCATCATATAGCCACTATTCAGCTCAGGGTAATGATAATGAACATTTTATTCCAATTTAATTTTTAAATTACAATTTGGATTGAAATGATTACTTATAAGTTTAAAGAAGTATTATATTGCTTTTTTAGAAATTACAGGACTGAATTTTCGATGGTAAGGTCAAATTAGTTGAAATAAAAACCTGAAAGTGCTAACATATATTTAGAGCATAAATAATTAAATATATTTGATATTTTAACGTTATTTAGTATTAAAGTATTATTTCCACTCCGGTCTCCCGAAGAAGCTGTCAAGTGTCAATGTCAAGTGTCAACTCAACTGTCAATTGTCATTTCATTAACTTTATTATTTTTTATTGAACATATCTAATTTGTGCCATTTGCTGTTGAAACTTTAGGTCCGTGGGTTACTCGCACATCAATTTTTTTTAAAAAGTTTATGTCCTAGGCTTAACGCCGCGGCTAGTGACAAGAGAGTTGGTTCTTTTCTCGCTCAAAGGTTAAGCATAACTATTCAATGAGGAAATGCAGCTAGCGTTCTTGGCACCATGTTGCGTGGATTAGGTTTATTAGATAATATGTAATTAAAGATAGATTTAATCTTGTAAATATCAATAAAGATTGTATATTTGTGTTTAACTGATATCTTCACAAACCAGGCATTACTAGCAAACAGCAAACTACAAAAATTCCGAAACTTTATAGTTATATTATATTTGAATAAATACGTTATGTTATTGTTTAGTGTAATTATTTTAGTTAATGTCATATTAAACATCACTATTATATTTTGTCAATGCCAGGTCAAGCATGACTTAAATTGAAAATAATGTTGAGAAATAGGCTGTATGGAGAAATCCCTAGCCGTAAAACAGTAATATTTCACAAAAACAATATTTACTTTTTGTATTCGTACAAAAAAATCGTATACAAATCGTAAACGTAGTGGTTATATTCTCTTTGATCGTATATATTTAACTGAAAAATTGTTGTTGTTTACAAAATGAATCAAATGAATATGCATGTTCCTATGAACCCCGTAGGAGCTCAGCCCAATGTAGCAATGCAAATGCCGGTGTCGGGACCCATCATGCAACAACCTTCACCACAACAAATGCAACCAGCTATGCCACAACAAACACAACAAGATAAACTGGATAATATATCGAAGGTTAAAACTTTGATGGGTTCACTGCGTGAATCTCTTCCTGTAAGTAATTGGGTTATGTTTAATTAAAAATAATAACCTTATAATAATATGTTGTTTTTGTTATCATTATTTTTTGGATATCGGTGCGTATAAAAAAAAAATAATTATTTAAATTAAAGAATAAATTCCTTCTTTATAAAAAATATATCTACAGAAATTTAATAATTTTTTTAAGCTAATTTATTTTTATACTCATTTTCTTAAAAACATATTAATTGGGTTTGTTAGATGCGCTGATAATTACGAACTACAACTACTAGCTAAACATCCAATTAACACAGGTGCTAGATCAATAAACATATATAATTTATCTGGTTATATATTCTCAGCTTTATTATCTGATTTTTATATAAAATATATATGTTATATTTAAATTAGTTAGGATCTAATATTTTGGTTAAATTTAATTAATATAGTTAATGACATATTTCACTACATTTAGATTATTTATTTTTAGATGACATTAAAATCAGCTGCACAAATTCTACACCAAAACCATAATATAGATTCTAACTCCCAGTAAGTATAATATTTTCCTTATATGCGGTATGGTCTCTACTAGAATTTTTCACTATGATGAATAATTATTTAATAATTGTGACTTTATCAAGGGTAGTCTAAATATGGCACCATTGGACCATTTGAAATACTTGGGAAAATATGTTGACTGATTAGAAAAGGATGTGTTCACACACTTTTTAGCTAAACTAAGTACTGCAGTTAAAGGTACAATACAGAAAGTAATTTTGCTTTTAATAATCAGTTCCATAACTCAATCCCTGGAAAAGTTTACACCAATTTTCTGTTTCAGAAAAGGCATTGACAACCCTGTTCCGAGGTTCGATAAGAACTTAGAGGAGTTTTTCTCACTGTGTGACCAAATGGAGTTGCATTTGGTGAGTAAAAACAACTTAATTACTTATACACAAATTGTAATGATACCAAGAAGATCTTTGAGCTCCATTTGGTTCTGTGTTCAGTACATCGTTTTTTTATGTGAAAATTTTTTACGTTTTTTCATGGACATTTATAAAACCCATAGATGCAATGCTATCTTTTAATGAAGTGGGTCCCAGTTATCTCATTCATCAGACGAAAAGCAAAAGTATAACAAATCTACTTCATGCTAGTCTTATGTAAAGTTTGGTTTTATAGATCTGCCCATTTCTTCAACTACCACAGTTAAATTTATACAATTATTTTACATAAGTAATTTCTAGGCATTTCTGGTTCATACTTGAAAGCTAAAATTGATTTGCGGTAATCAGTTACTATGTAACACATTGAAGTAAACATCGGATGAGAGGATGAATCTGAGTGCAACAATTAACTTATTGACCCAGCAACTGCCAATCAGCATTGCTTATGGACACAGTCAATACAATTTCTTAGCGCTTTATCAAATTGTAAGCAACATTATATGCATTTCTAGCTTTTATAAAGTTTATGATGCATGTCAAGATATTACATAAATATTTTTTCCTACTTGTTATCTACAAGTGTTATTGATTAACATTAGGACTGCTTACTCAAAATTTCATTTGCAATTATTTGTGAACCGAGACTCAATGCTGTTACTAGGTAAACCGCATACAGTCTCAGGAACAGAGGTTTATCCTCATTTATAACCTAGTTTACGTAGTAAATGAATCAAAGGGCACAATCATTTTCTTTTACTTATAAGGTTCGAAAGTTACTAAAAATATTTAATTTATCTTTATTTTATTTTAAGTAATTATTAAAATTTTATGTTTTTTTTAACAACGTATAATATGTATTTATTTACAAAATAAAAAGTATGTTTAAGTATGTTTATCAGTTTATTTAGTGCCCATAGTACAAGCTTTGCTTAGTTTGGGACTAGAGAACGTTGTGTAAAAGATGTGTCCGATATTATAAAAAAAAATATATTCATGAATAAAACATTTCTTTTGCTTTAGCGCACTGCGATTACGTGCATTCAACAAGCCCAATCAGCGGCCCACTACCTGCCTCTGACGGTTAACACGGCGCGACTCGATTCAGGCCCTACTACCCAGGTAAATAATTGTGTGTGATAAAAGTAAACTGAACTGATAAAACTTTGCAGATAGCGCCATAACTTCTATGGAATATTGAATTATTTTGTATCCAATTTTATATGATTCATTATAAGATTGTTTGGGTTCGAATCTCCACAATTAGCAATGTATTTATTACAAAGTATTCTGAAATGGACCACAAGTTATGAATATCGTGCGGATAAAATAACATTTAATATAAAGTAAAAGCAATAGGAGGTAATTCTTTTTAACATTAACCGCAAATTGTGCTCACGCCGCCAAAGTGGTTTAATTTTATTAATCCTTATCGATTTTTAATGGATCGAAATGCGTACATATTCAAAAACTACTACAGAAGTACTTTTCTTTGTATGTATTACTTTCCTTTGTCAAGGTAACTTATTTGAATATTTACTAATTTTATATTATTATTTTTTTTAACACATAATAAATATTCTTACTACATATTGCTCAAAGTTCCTAGCGTGATGTTAGGGAAGGCGTGAGGGAGTATTACTTTTGCATTTCGTCTGATGGCTGACGTAACCGTTAGCTCGTTTGTCATCTTATCCCGAAAATGAATACAGTTGGTTACTGTAGAATCTAGTTAATTTCTCGCATGAGAGTTCCATCTTAAGTTTTACCAATATTTGCTATTTGCTTTCTTATGAAGCAAGTCTGTGTTGACCTACTTGTTGGCTTCCATCAAGTTTTGAATTCGTAAACAAAAATTCAGAAGCTAATTTGGCGAAGTGGCGTTCTACTCGTATGAATGTGAAAATGATGAAACTGTGTATGAGGTCGAGACGAAATATAGCCGATTAAACTTGTTCTATAATCACTATGAATCTCTCGTGTAGCAGTCCGTTCCATTCCAAATGCTCTAGTGAATATTGAAGGTGTGCCCACGTTGTTTCGTAACCAAGATGAAATTTATCTCGAAGAGAATTATTGATGTCTCTGTGGCGCAGTCGCCTAAGCGCAACGGTTCGTGGGTTTGATTCCCACATGAGACAACTATTTGTGTGACCCACAGATAATTGTTTCCAATCTGGGTGGTTGTCCACGTGAAATTTATGTATGCAAAACGTCCTGGCAACACAGGATGATGTTATCGTACAGTAAATGGGGAAAGCTTTCGAAGGGAAGACTGTAATAGATCTTTCTTGGAGACTTATTACCCGTTATTTGGAGACTTATTTTCGTCCACAGGACACGCAGCTGACGTACCCGCAGTACCTGAACACCGTACGATTACAAATCTCGTATGCGAAAGACATCCACGACACCTTGGTAGCGGCCGCGCAAAACATATCGCCGACCGAATGACCGGAGAGGGATTGAAACCATTCTGCGTCGGGTGAATCAAGTGCATTTAATTGAAAATAAGTGTAAAATTGTCGTAGCGTAATTATTATAAGATTGTATATTAATGTTGTATATTAATGAACAATTATTATCCTATAGATTCTTTGGTATAACGAAACATCTCGCAACCTATGTCTAATCTTAAGAAGAAGTTTGTGCTTAGTTGACTTATAGCTTTGAATAAAAGTTGATTGAATCAATGGGATTGGATATGTATTATTTCTATCAGTATTTACACAAAAGCACCCCACACTATCGAGAAAAAATTAAAAAATACACTAAAAAGACGACACCATTTTATATTTTCAATCGAACATTTGAGATCACGATTTAATTTCGATCTTCATAATACATTCTATTACATTAACATTCATAAAATTAAGATAAAAATAAATTTCAACATATAATCGAACGTTTACATAAAGCAATTAAGATTTGATCAGATTATAAAAACTTAACATTATCCTTAATATGTTAAATTGAAAACGCAGGGCCTGCCTTAACAAATATGTTATAGTCGCGGCACGTCCAATCTTGACGGTGTCAGCGATATTTAAAAAAAAACCCTAATATTTAAAACGGAAGTAAAATACTATCAGTCTTTACATTAGCAGTAGGAATACCAGTGTTTCCACTGAACTGGACCAGGAGAAGTGTACCTGAAACAAAGACACGCAGTTTTAGATTAAATATCCCAACTATAATGGACGTTTAGCGATAGGGAACGCTGGCAACAATAACCCCTAAGGTCGTAATGGATCGGAAATGGTGTATTCTGTGAAAAAAGATTTACGGCAACTTTATTGATAGATTAGACTTGTTACGCTACTTATTAAACTTCTCACATCTACCAACCCTTCTGCTTGTCATTAGAGTGGGCACAGATAATAGGTTTCCGCTTTTTGCGGTCTATAATAACCAATTGCATTCTACATTGGACGTTTGACATATCGGTTTCTTTTACTTTTTAAAGGAATTGAAAGGCCGGTATGCTTGGTAACTCCGTAAAAGCTTGTTTAAATCTGCTTTAAGATGTCCACATTGTATGTTATAACCAAAATGTTTTTATTAAATCTTATTTACAAGCCTTGACTTGGGCTAAAAATATATTATGAGACGGCAAAAGTTAGAAGCGCTTCGACCTTCACGCATTTGATGAATGTAAAGTTCACTCAACTGCATATCAATAAATAAGCAAATTAAAACAAAGCAATCTGACAAATTATGGAATAATACTAGAGACGATTTGATATGATTCACTAAGAAGCCGCGGGGGGCTGTCGCGATACCAATGTAAGAGGACATAAATTTATATTATCTGTGTAACGAAGAGAAACAGTCCTCGCTCCTTCCAACGGCTGTTTGTTCTCCTCTACGACCCGCGATAAACTTATTATTGTGACATAAATAATGTACGAGCGGTGTGTCGGGGCGCATCGTGGAATAATACCAATATGCCGGATGCCCGTTTTGTACATGGCAACATCATTAAAGTTACCATGAAGGAAATCTCATTTCTCTCATTTTTTTTTTGCGCTAACAAAGAACAACACTTCTTTTTAAATATAAAAAAGAAATGATGTTGAAACATTTTTAAATCGAAATAAATTAATTGAATAGGAATTTAAATTAAAGGTAAATCGGAAAATGCCCTTAAGGCAAAGTTTTCTAGCAAACGATGAATGTTTACTTGCGTCATAGTCGCTAATGCATATTATGTACTCTGAAGAATTGCGTACGACCTTATCTCTGACTTATTAACTAAAGTAAATATATCAACAATAAATTAATAATGAAACACATGTATTAATTTAATTACCAAGGCCTCATATAACACCGGCATGAAGTAAAAGCATCCATACTTCTGCCTGCTCTCCAAAACGTAGGCAAATCAACTGAATCCCAGAAGAGTCGTTGCTCAGATGATGATAATGAGTGGCAGTAATCATTTACTAAAAGGTAGACCCACTGCTTGTTTCCCATCTTCACTCGTATAAAAAAAAAATGCGCCCATAGACGTAAAACTTACTTTACACCTTTCAAAGATAGCCTGTACTGCTTTACTTTTAACGGGATATGCGGTCAGTTACATTTTTATTGAAAAAAAAATCACTATATATTTCACTTCTTTTTGATTTGAGGAGTTCCCTGATGAATCTCCAGAGCCCAAGCTTCAATAACAATTAAATTATTATGGGACCACATGGTAGGTAAAGAAAAAATAATTAAAAAAAATTATGTTTTCGGCGGTTGGTATCTAAAAATGTATATTTCCAGCGATGACTAACATGATGTTAGTAACGTAATTTTCGATATAACCGACAAATATGTTATCTACCGACATCAAATTAAACGATTCTTTAACATTGGTAAAAACTAGGTATAACTAGTATTAGTTAGGATTTATAAAACAGACTGTATTGGACACACAAAAATAACAAGCTGCATGGCAAATTATTATCAATTATGAAACATAATAAGTAATGATAGTAGTTGCCGAATCAAACCAGCATAGCAACTTCATTGCAACTTGATTAGAGCGGTCAGCCACCCTATAGATACGACTACGTTTCGTGTAATTTTATACCCCTGGCGACAAAAATTACGGAGTGTGATATTCAATAAATTAACGATTAGACATTTAGGCCGGGTATAGCGTTATGATATTTTAAAATAACTATTACCATATATATCACTGAAGAGATATCAAATTATAGTTCTGTACTTTATAATTGCGGATTCTTTTACTGTCTTCCCACTATTGTACTGACGTATATACGGGACCATATCATTTGTTTTCTTGTTTGCTGACATACCTACGCTAACAATGTTATAAAACGATATTTACGGCCCACTCATGACAACAAACCTATAAATCAGTTCTCGTAATGTACGTATTACATATACACTGTAATCTCCCCACCGATTTTCATTACCTATTTTCTTTTACCAGTTTACGAATTGCTTTTTAAAAAGTAGAGGATCCCACACAATATAACTTAAAATTATTTTTTCTATTAAGCAACTCTATTCTTAAAAAAATTAAAGAAATAAAATTGAGAATTTATTATAATTACTTTATATGATACAAATAATAGCTTATGACAGTTGGCAGTTGATCATAAATATTTTAGATATATTTTAGAGTAAATATATTCACAATTCGGTCACATTCGGCGACCCGAATGGCGTAGTGGGGTAGTGTACCTGCCTCCTGCGCTAGAGAGTGTGTCTGTGAATCTGGATATGGAAAAATATTGTGTGATGAACATGGTGTTTTTCTAGTGTCTGGGTGTAGTTTTTCTAGTAGTGGGGAATTGGCACATTCTGCAAAATGCCATTTAACCATGTTCTTATATTATGTGGATCAACTGTGTGAGAATTCGTCGAGATAGCATAACATACTTTCGCGTTAAATTGACAGGAACGAAGAGCAGATAAGGCCTGTCATAATTTATGTTATTAACCTTGAAAGCGGGGCGATAAAGGGTTGAGGAGATCTAAAAATAAATTTTCTCCACTCGAAACGATAGCTGCTTTCTTTGTTCTTAATCTCGCAACAAACGTTAACGCATTGCGGGAATCAATCAATAAGTAAGATCCGAGAACAACAATAATGGGATCCATGATTTATTACAACTGCTTTAAAGAATGTTTTTCCTGTCCTGTAAATAAATTTGTTTTCCAACAAGTTTAGACTTTCTACATATTTGAGTAAAATAAGCACAAGTGTTTTAAACACACGAGTCTAATATGCATTTCTGTAGTAGATGTGATAATTTTAATTATGTCACGTAAAGATAATTAACGTTAAGGGCATTTAGCATTACGAGAGATAAAGCAATTGACAACATTATGATATATAAGAATATGATAATCCATAGAGATTAAATGATGTATTAATTTCTGTTGAAATGACTAATATTTTTTCTTCGTTGCCATTCTTATATCTTTATCCCATATATGTGAATCAAGCTCAATTTTCTATAGGTCACATAAATACATTCCTTTGTGGGAATCGAATCCAAGATATTCGGTGCCAGTGCCAATAGCTTAGTAACTGCGCCACCGAGTTTTTTTATATTTCTTGATGCCTTTTTTAAATTTATCACCAGAATTCAAAAAATGAAACCTCTCAATACGGTTGCACTTGTTTTATTTATAACCTCGGACCTTCGTCATTTATGAATAGATTTAAAAAAATCTCACTGCATTGGGTTCAATTTAGCCATGTGACAGATTAATTTCAATGGTATTTGACCTTGGATTCAGTAGATACATCAGGGAAATTCTCAAATCAAACAGAAAATGTGAGCGAGACATTTAAAGTTGGTTATGTTTTTTGTTAATAGAAATGCTGTAATATATTTATAATTGATAAGTTTCTTTTATAACTTCTATAATGAGATAGTGCTATTTGTAGGAAAAGTGAGGTACCTGGAAGCTGGAAGTTGGAGTTGACCTTCGATGTCTCAGTTTAACCGCGGTCACGGGTCTTTCCCACAACACTTTACTATGAATTTTTGAATAAGAACGAAGAAGAGAAAAGTTAATCTTCGTTTTTTCTTATTTTTGATAAGGAAGCGAAGGGAAGTGATATATTATGAATAGTATTGCCAGTAATGAGTGATATGTGCGTTATAATTAAATATGATTGTTAAATTCATTTATCTATATACGTATTGCTAATTGATATTTAAAAAAATGGCCTAAACAATAGCTGTAGGGTGGAGTAAATTATCCAACGTACTCACATTTAACCGAATACTTGCTGCGTTGCGTACGTTATGTGGAGGAAACCGTCATGACCGCGGAACTGTTCGTAGGCCTGCGCCATTGTCATGCTGTGGCTCACCAATACTTTGTCGTTAACCAGCAAATATAGCGCCTAGGAAAACCAAACTTGCTTAATAATTTTGGTACTTAATATAGTTTTGATGATATATCGATGATATTTTTTCGAAAAACAATCTTGTCATAAAATTGTCTTAAAATGTCAGTTTTCAGATATTCAACCTTTAGGACTTATTTTCTTTCGGATTAGTCTTTCGGACGAATTGATGGCAAAGGAATGCAGAGACCGCTAGTTTTTATTCAATTTAAAACCACATATCAACCAAACATAAAATATATAACCGTAGGCTCTTAAAATGATTTGCTGTACCTGTGTATCCCTCAATTTCATTTTCGTCCTTATAATGTAGAGGAACTGGGACATTGTCAGCTCTTGTGGCACGAGGAATTTGCTTCTGCCCAGCGCCGGTACTTCCTTCTCCCTTGCGTATCGCTCTACATACAACTGTTGGATAACATTGTAGAGATAAATTCGGAGCTTTTGGGTCAAATTTAACATAATTGGGTTGCGACGTTTTTCTGCCGTATTGGTATACAGTATAACTTATTATTTTCGGCTATTTTTGGCTTTTCTTATTTATTTAAAAGTTTCTAGTTCATTAATCTCATAAAATACAGATTATATCAGAGTTCTGTTTGATATAATCTATATTTGAATATAATCGCATCGACACATGTTAATACAAAACTTAATTAAATATTCGCAATGTTCAATCATTCGCTAAAGCATGTATTAATACTTTTTTTGTATTATAGTTTTATACGCGTATAGAGGTAATTGTATTTCTAGCATAAAATCTTTTATGTATAATAAAACGAGACTTTATTTTTGATTTAAATTCAAATATACAAAAAGAAACAATATAAATACTTAAATAAAGTTTCCAGCAAGTTCTTTCATTATACTTTTAAAACCTGACCGTTCCGCAAATAAATGAGATAAGAGATTAACTATTTTTGCCATTTAAAACTCCAAACGTCCTTTACCGTTCTAATTGAAGGACAATAAAGGAGTGACCTGGTCTGGTTTATTATTATTTATTTTTTCCCCAATCGAAATAAGAACGTGTAGAACGATATTGTATTTAAAAATGGTTTATATTAGAGTCTTGCATAAAATTATTATTTAATTGTTAAATAACAAAGTCTAATTTCATTATTGTAGATATTTCGGTCAACAATTAAACAATGTTGTTTTTTTGTTTTGATAAAAGTCTTGATGCAAATAGAGAAGAGGATTGGAGGAATAAATTGTAATAACTTTGTTATACAATTTACTCCTCAATTGTTTAAAAAATAAAATGAGTTTTTATATTTACCGGAATTTTATTCGGGAAACGATGTCTGATCGCTTTGACTTCTTGACTTGAACCAGTCATATCTGTGGAGAAAGTACTTTCTTAGACTCTGTAACGTAAATCCCCGATGGCAGATCGCAGGTTCGAACTCCAGTGGACTACAAGCACCAGTTTTGAATATTTTACGAGTACAAATCTCTGGCTTCCATTAGCGCTGACTGTATTGCGACAGGTTGCCAACTTGTTATGTTTAGGTCTTAAATAAAGTTTGGTTTTGAAAACCGAGATAGCGCTATCGCTATCTCTGTCGTCCTGTCGATGGATTACAAGGCATGGAAGCTAGTATTGCGGAATGAATTAAGAAGGAAACTTGAACTAGGCATTACGATTTAAGTAGTTTTACAATAAAGGTTAATTGTAAATCGTTTCGTAACAATCTTTCACGAAAAGTACTTATTATTAAACGAATCACTAAACTTGAGTAATGAAATGTGCCCTGTATCGGACATTTTACAATTTTTACAGAATAGTCTGTCGTGGAAAAGCTGCTTATAATGGCGATAAACTTATAACCGAGGGAGTGATCAAGCCAATGTCGAATGACGTGTCTTGGTGTTGATCAGTTGGACAAGTGGTAGAGGTTCCGAGCACATACACTTGAAGACAACGACCAGTGAAGATTTCTTAATCGTGTTTGGTAGCACTTAGGGATGAGGCGTATATACTGGAACAGGTATAAATACCCAGTATGAACATGCCAGTACGCACACCGGGTATGTACGGCAGAGGCCCGTTCCATACCCGATAGGTATGGCTGGGTATGGCCGCCTCGTCCGACGGTGGCGGTATATAACGCTCGCGACAACCCGCCCGCACACCGGGTGTGACGTATGTACGGCAGAGGCACGTTCCATACCCGATAGGTATGGCTATTAGGGATGAGGCGTATATACTGGAACAGGTATAAATACCCAGTATGAACATGCCAGTACGCACACCGGGTATGTACGGCAGAGACCCGTTCCATACCCGTTAGGTATGGCTGGGTATGGCCGCCTCGTCCGACGGTGGCGGTATATAACGCTCGCGACAACCCGCCCGCACACCGGGTATGACGTATGTACGGCAGAGGCCCGTTCCATACCCGATAGGTATGGCTATGGCCGCCTCGTACGAAGGTGGCGGTATATACGCTCGCGACAACCCGCCGGCCGAATAGGTACGAAGTTCCCCGAACGCTTACGGCGGCTCTTTACGATCATGCCCGAATTGAAACGTATGATTTTAGTCATTTTATACCAAATATTTCCTTGAGATAAATTTATTCTTTATTTCTATGACAATTAGGTAGATAAATAATTGCGTAATAAGATTAAACAGTAATATTTATTTTCAATTCCTTTTTTTTTTGTAATAGGTTTCTTTACGTTGGTATAGATGGAGCTTAATTTAGTTTGATTAAATCTCAATTAAAAAAAATGATTGCTAAAAAAACATCTAAATGTTCCAATTCCAACCAAAGAAAGGTTCAATTCCATATCGGGTCTCCATTAGGAGGCCTGAACATAACTAATACCTATAGGTATTTTGATACTGGGTTTTAGCACCGGGTATACGGCGATACCCGTACCTTTGAGGCCGGGTATAGAATGTTCCAGGTATATCTCATGCCTAGTAGCACTTACCGTCTTGGTAGCCGAACACTTCTTGTGAGGCGTATGTGATATAAAGGAAGCCGTCTTCGTCGCCGTAGTGTTCGTACGCTTGAGCCATAGTCAGGCTCATGCTTAGCATGGACCTGTTGTTGATAATCAAGTAGAGTGCCTGGCGGATAAATTGAAAAAAATTAAGAATAAATTTGTACATCGAGGCGAGAGAAACGGATGACTGAGGTTTTTGCTTTAAGTCCGTAGACTATTTAAGCTCCATCGAACGCTGAACTCTTGGACTACCGAACCCATAAGCTCGATTCGGCCTTCGACATTGTGCTAAGGCCGAGCATGTGCTTATGTGTGCGTTATCTTAACCGAGAGGGATGTCACCTACAGGACATTGAGATACGATGCGGTCCGCAACCTCAATTGCTGTCTTAATTGGTGGCTGGCGGCGGTGAGAACCGCCCTGGAACACGGGTAACTAATTGTTTATACACTGGAGTGATTGATAAATATCTATGTACGGCGCAAAATAAGTAAGTTAAAATATATTATATTATACTGTTGGCAGTGAGTGCCGACTCGCCTAGGAAAGTCAGAAGTGTTACCTCTTCACTGAAGAGAGCATAAAATGTTTTGCCAATATAGGTATACAGTGTTATATAGATAAACGATAATACTATAAAATCTACTAGCTTGACCTGGCCACGCTTCGCTGTGCTTTTTATATAAAAAGCATGTAAAAACACTCCTGTTCAGTAGGTACCTATGTTGTGAAAAAATATCAAGTCAATATATTGTGTAGCTAATTATTTATAATACAACTGAAATTATTATGTAGGGTGCAATGGGGCATTTCCAAAAACGGGTATATTCCGAAATCGTTAAATTTATATTAATTATAATTATATTTCCCTACTAGCAACGTTAGGCTAGACAGCATATTTAATAACCACGCCGTCTCAGTCGTAGCAAGTCGCTAGTGACAATATTATGTGTGTGACAGCAAGTTTTCTTGAACAAGTGTTTTTCGCGTCAGTTTTAGTGATTCATAATAACCCCAATAAATTTATTTCGCAATTTTGGTAAGTTAAATGAACAAGTTTTCCTTTTAACCATAGATTATCGTATTTTGCGTTTATGTACGAGGAACATAACATTCTAATTGTTATTAATTTTTTTTTTCGGAAATACCCTTCCGGGTTTATTCCGATATATTATATTTTCCTTATAACCCCATTTAGCTTTCACATAGTAATTAGCAGTGGTTCTCAAACTTATTTTTATGTATTTGCATTATTAACAAATTTGTTTTACATATCTATCATGTCCCGAAATTACATAAGAAAGAAAATTAAAAAATACACTTCACAAGATTTGGCTCAAGCGATTGAAAAAGTTATAAAGGGAGACCTAACTTAATATACTGTAGCTCAAGTATATAAAATCCCCTTGACGACTCTTCATGAATACGTTAAGAGAAATAAAGCAACAGTCAGGTTTAATGCAAGAATACCTACCGTCATACCTATAGAAGAAAATAATTAGCAGAACAATTAAACTATGGAAGATGTTGCTGAATATGTGCAGGTAAACAATATTCAGACACCATTTAAGAATAATATCCCTGGTTAATTAATTTCCGGAAACGACATAAATTGTCATTTAAAAAAGTACAGCCGGTAGAATTTGTAAGAAGAAAATGACAGATCTATTCGTCATTGCAGAATATTTCGATTTGCTGGAAAGTATCTTGAAGAAAAAGATTATAAATTAAATAAATATATATTACATTCTTTGATCTTCCTCGTCCTTATTTATGTTGGTTTTTCCAATACTTTGTATTATTTAGTACAAAATAAGTGGACAAAACTTCTTAACAAAAAGTTTCCTACAATTGTAACTTAAAGTTTGAGAACCACATACACTTTCAGGGGTAATTACGAAGTAACAAAGCTGTGATAAATTAGATTAATGTTTCTATGGACAATATTGCGTATATTTTGTGTAACAGATAATTACGACTGAAAAAGTAATATGAACTTTAGGCCAGAGTTCAATAAATACAACTTTTAATACTTTAGAATTACCCCATGATAGTTCGTAATTATCCCTTTAACGAAAAGAATATTAGCTTAATATTTCAAATACTCTAATCCAAAAACCCAATTGCATTTTAAGAATTTAATAAATATTTATCACAGTTATTTTCGTAACGCAAACAGATGTAAAACAATTATGGTCTTAGATATAAAACTACTTTCAATAATTAATCGAAAACTGGACCTTTAGTGATGTTATACAAATTTATGTCGGAAATACCCCACTGCACCCTATAAAACAACATAATAAATAACTATGACGGGACAAATATGTGTGAATGGCGCGTCGTCTAAACTCTCAACTGCAGACAGTGTCCGCAAAATTTGCTATTCAATTAGATTTACCCTTATCTAATATCATCGCCCTCTATATAATAGTTGTCGTTTAGATTAATTAATTAACATACATTCATCAAAACCTGACACTTGTATTGATTATGCCGTTTTATATGTATTAGTGCAAAGAGACATTATATCATATTTATTGTTGCAATAATATATTTTTACATTAATAACTGATCGCACTGTAGTCGAAGTCAACCTGCGTTAATCTTTTTTTCTGAACCACATTCAAATAATTTATGAAACTCAATTTTGAAATTCTTTGACGACTAATTTCTACTTTATGCAACTGTTTGAGTAGAGACTATATTTGTTTTTGATATTAATGATAATGTTGACAAACTGTTTTATTTAACTGTGTCGACTGTTTTTTATTTTTTTTAAATGTGCTGAATACACCCGTAGACCTTTATATGCACATACATTTCCTTGCCAATAAATCTTTATGAAATAAAAAAATAAAAAATTTAATAATAGACTTGTGTGAAATTAAACTTTATTCAGAAACTTACCTGATTGGGCTTGATCCTTATTCTGTTTCTTATAATGACGAGAAATTGTGACATTGTTATATCTTCGGGAACCAGAAATTTTGTTTTGTCGAGTGTTGGTAAATTGCGTTCTTTATGGTATCTCTCAACTATTAACTGTAAACAAAATTTATTTTATTGACAGTTATAAATGAAGACATGAAACTTGAAACCAATCACTGAATAGGGTGATTATAATATATGTTTATTTAAAATAAGAACTTACCGGTATCTTTGTAGGAAATTTACTTTTTATAGCCATCACTTCTTCTTTCCTAGTTACTGCAACAAAAACACGTTTATTATACCACAAATATTAATGCTTTGACGTATAATGATACTCACTTGATAGAGGTACTAATTAAATGTTAGTTAAGCGCCAAATAACGTTTCTGAGTGCGTCCTGAAGACCAGAATGCAAGATTTATTCCTCTAGTTAAAGTAACAAATCACAGTTTGATTGGAATGTGCATTCCTTCGCAAATAGCAACCATTTATTACAGAATCAACAATTTGGACTTCGATAAAGACGTTACGTTGGCCAAGTCACGTATTTATAACAATACCAGAACGTAATAATTAGGTAGTCGGACGAATAGATAACATGTAAATAGTGAATCCTAGTTATTGTATCTGATTATGCATGGAAGCATTCGTTTGCTACAAAAGTTTATAGTTCATTGAACTTTAAAATGCAATGCGTTACGGTTCGAACCTACACGGAACGAGTTCTTAACTAATAGTGCTTAAAGGCATCGGTTTATGAACTTAAGGATATTAAAAATATGGATAAGATTAAAGATTGCCATGGAAAAAACCCTATTTAAGATCTTTCTGATATGTGACAAAAAAATATTAGTAATATATTTTTTTACGTTTAAACTCTACCTAACATCATTCGTAAAATATATACATGAAAATAAGAAGTTTTTTGAAAAGAACAATACGAATAACTTCATACCAATAAATATATAACTATATTTTACTAATATAGTTGCATTTATTGGTATGAAGTTATTCGTAACTATTTATATTTCCGTTAATTATTAAAAGTTTTATATAACTACTAGCATCAAATTATTAAAAGTTGCATAAACACTAGCTTTTACATAGGAATTTGTTCCCATGGAAATTTGGAAAGCACCTCACTAAATATTTCATAGTAAATAAGTATATATTAATACCATTAGGGTTTTACAGCTTATTTTCAAACGTTCATTTATTATTTTACTCTTTAAAAAAGTAACGTTTTTCTATTTTTTTATAACAAAAAGTTGCTTTAGTACAAACTCACTTTACCTATCAACTTTATATTAAGGGTGGAATTTTTCAAATTCTTCCTTACTGATTTTACGTACGATATAATAGAAAACCTCTCTAAAATATAAGAAATGAATTTAAAGTTATAGAATATACTGTTTATACTATTTATCATTAGAGAACTTTAAAAAAAAAAATATGATAAATTTAAAACATAAAAGCAACATTTAGAAATAAATATAAAAAGGAACATGGTTATCGAAAGCGTTTGTAAAAGAGACATTATCATATCTATTTCCTTTCACAAGTTATTATATGAAAGATAGTAAATTTTTAAAATATTTCTTCACAAATATGGTACCACTCATAGAAAAGTTAATGGTGACTAAACAAATTCTGTGAAATCCGTGTCAAAACCAAAGGGAATCCATCTGACCATATTAGAAGAGATGCGACTTACTATTTTAGGCTTGTGAAAAGGAGAGCAAGCGTTTTAAAAAAAATAAGTGCTCATTCAAATTTATCACACAATGCGACAGCCAGGTAAAAGGGCGCTAGGAATGCATAGTATTTTTTGTGATATATCGTGTTAGTACCTGTTTCAAATACATAGCAGTTTTAAAAAAATATAAGCAGTGTCTATTATTCGTCTAATATTTTTTTCAGTTAACGCGAATACTACACGTTGTTGAATAAAAGTAATTTATAGGATTACCCGTTTAATATTAGTTATTCTTTGCGTTTCGCACCCTTTATAGAGTCCACGAGACAGACTCAGTTAAATAGTGTTATTTAAATTTTAACAAATCTATTCGTAGCCGATGCATTTGTCTCGAACTTTCTGGACTACAGATGCTTAAAAATTTATAAATAGATTACAGAAATAAGCACAAGCTAAAAACCGTAATTTGAAAAAAAAAAGTGTGCATCTCAATTATTCTCCTATTCTGGTATACTGGTTTCTATTAAGAGCTTTTTTCTAAAAGTTTGTACGGTAATCAAAGTTTACCAGCAACTGATTGTAAATAATAACTTATTATTAATTTGAAAATGTTGTAATGTTAAAGTATGTAAGTACCGTCTACATATTTTAATGAATAAAGATGAACTTAATGAAATATGTGTTAAATTATAACAAAATGAAGCTTTGAATGTTAAACTTTAGGGGTCCCAATCAGATGCGAACGTGACCTGCGTCAAGTTGTACTCGGTGATTTACAAATTACACTTTCTAATGAAATACTCTCAACGCTGCATACAATTAAGTAAATTTCATAACATAAGTAATTGGCGAATTTTTGTTTATCGTACGAATGTGGGTAAACAGGGTTTATATTGAAATAAGTTTCGACTTACTGAACGGTTTTTTGGTTTTGAAGCACTGTTTCACATTATGGTTCACATCGTGTTTGATCAAGGTGGTTACGAAGTTCAGCTCCATGTTTTTTCTTTTCAATCACCGATCACTGTGGTATCTCCGTCGAGTGATGTCGCTCGGTGATGCGTTTCCACTGCGCCCGTTCGTCTGTCAAGATGTCCGACATGCGACTACGGCAAAGTAAACAACGTCCACCGCTTATATGAAACAACGTCAGCTCGCCTCGGCGTAAATAACATCCGAATCGGACGCTAATCGCGCCATTTTATTAGTTAGTAACTAGGAACTACGGATAATTGAGCGATAGTAAGTATGAATCGCTTGTTAGAATATTTTAGTATCATTAAAAATATAATATGTTTTGACCGCATGTTAGTTAATGAATCATTAATCGCACCTCATTAAGTTACATTCTCCGTCAATTTTTACCAGCAAAGTTAGAGAATCCGCAAACATTTGTTTTTTTCGCTCTTTTTACTTAATATTCAAGTGTACAAATATTAATAGGATTAGGTACATTAGTGGTAAATGAAGTATGTCATATGTATTATATAGGTACATTTATTCAAAGTATTGTTATAAAGATCTTCTAGTAAATGAACAAATTTCAACAGCATCCAGAGTAACACCAAAAGTGCATGTTTGCAAAACATTTTATCTTGCATGCACATGTGCATATTCATAACAGAACACATGTGATAACATCCGGTAAAATCTTATCTCAAAGCTCGTCACTAGGTGACGATAAATCGTAAACCCAAGATCTTATAAATTTCTTATGTAAATAAAATTTAATTATATTTAATGTACACTACAATAATTCTGTATCGGAGGCTTTTTTCTCGACACGTTATCGCCAAGAGAAACTACAATATAAGTCTTTATTTCTTTGATAAGTAGAACTATAACCAATAATTATAATAATGCATATAGTTAGTGTATGTATGTTTGTTTGTATATTTTTCATTGTACTAAAAGTTTGTACAAAGGCGAACTTAGTGCTAAGTAGCATTTTCTTCCAGTTAACCGTAGTTGAGAGCAAGTAACGTTATATGTATGGGCTTTTATGAACGTTACGTTCAAAAATAGTTAAACGCACGCATGAACACATGCGCGGCCCTACCCACAGCGGAGGGCCCAAACCAAAGATTACTCTAACTTTACATTGATGTTTCAATATATTGAATGATAATTTGAGAGCGTCTACGTGTTATTAGCGTTGAAAAAATAAGCTCGATCTATATAAACATTTAGTGCGTTAACAATAAGGAAAAGGAATAATAATTGTTACTATTTGATAAGTCCCTATCATTTGTTTGCATTACAGCTCCTCTGTTGATGGCTATTGACGCTAAAGGTGTCCGCAAGAATATGTGTAAATAAAACAAAGTTTTGTGCGAATAATTGGCCACTTCAATCGATGTTTTATTTTATTTTATTTAGTACACAAAACAGCAAACAGTAATATACACATCACAATAAAGTTCAATAAGGTAAACAATTACATACTGTCAGCCAAATGTATGCGTACACAACATGCTACGATATCATGGCAAAAATGTTTTCAACTTAATTTACACTAGATAAAAAAATTATAAACCAAAGCTGCTAAAAACAAAATAAAAAAAAAACTATAGAAATAAGAGAGGGAAAAAAAAACAAAACACATTATGGGCATGTGATAATTTGTTTGAATGCACTCAGTTTTTGGTCAAAAATATCAATGGAATGATTGCTGCTAGCAAGTTTATTGTAGATGGAACACATTCTGTAAATTTTGTTATTTTGCGCAAACTTAATTGTGCTATATGGTATGTGAATAGTTTAGCATTCCGACTTCGATAATTTGTGTTTATCTTTATTCTGGCTAATAGCTCAGTATATGTTATCGAATTAACAATTTTGTACAAAAATACTAAACAGCTGTCCTTAAATAACAAAAAACAAAACCAAAAAATGAATTTATAACAATTAAAGTTTGATTTCACGAATCAATGAACATTAGTCCTATATAAAGTTGTGCTTCTATATTCAAATAAATATGATCTAAAGCCATTCTGCGAGGGACCTTTATTCTTTTAAAAACTTTATTAGGAGAATTGATAACTATCATTCTTCATATGATTTTATCATGTAGTAAACTTTTTAATTGCGCAAAATAGATTAAAAGTACAATCATAAGATCATTCCCAAATGTAGAGATGTTTATCACGACTATTTTTCTTTACAATTTATTCTTCTCTTAAATCACAAACTGTGTATTATTACGCTACTATTCCTTAGACGTTTATCAGTTATGTAACTGGTAAACGCACTAGCAAAATTTAAAAGAAGAAATAACTTAATTGGAAAAGACATTGAGTTACATACCTGTAGAGTTGCAAAATATTTTATTTATACAAGGACCAGCCAGTCGGTAAAGTAAATTCTCACCTAAACGGTGGTGGTAATTGGGTTTTCTTAGTGTTGCTTAGTAACTCAATGGAAGTCAATTTACTCCTGAACAGATAGGAAACGAACACAGGCGTATTGATTAGAAACAGAAGTGAAATATTTCTTGTGTGCATTATTGTTAGTGTTGTTAATGTTGATATTAAAAGTAATTATTGTGTTAAATCAAAGTTCTACTGCTTACCTTTATTCAAACCCAAATGTCTGTTGCATTGCGTTGCATGAATCAAATCAAATTAAATAATTTATTTATCGAAGTAAGATTTACATTTCATCTATCTATAGTCATTTTTAAATCTACCACCGTTTCGTAATGAGGTTCCTCTAACGGAGAAGAAACAGTCGAAAGAAACTCTCTTTTATATCCTGTTATTTGTCATTTTTTTCCTCAAACAATTACATTTTTATACAGTACCTACATAATTTTTTTTGAAAAAATCTTTCATTCCCACTGTTTGTTATCATTGATGTATTCATATATATTATAATAACCCTTTTCAAAAATAATTTTTCTTTAATAAATTTCTTAAACCTATTAATAGGCAGGCTTTGCGCATTAACTGGGATTTTGTTGTCGAATCGTATACATCGTCCCATGAACGAGTTACTTACTCTAAATGGAGTCTAGTAACTGGCATTAAATACTGATTAAATAAAAAACTGATAACGTCACAGAAAATATTAAATTGGTGACCCGTAAAAGTGTTTACATATACATATGCATTGGCACAATGTTTCAAGAATGGCGTAAATAAGATAATGCGGTGAACAAAATCTCAAGTGGAATTTACTGACTTAAATTGATATGGTGGGCTTCTACACTTTTTCGTATTCATAACTATTTTTTCTGTTGCCTGTGCCGTGAACTGAAACTTAACATGATTGTTTTTATATAAATAAAACGATACAGAATACGGACGCATGTTTATTGATGCGTCTGCGTTAGCTCTTTTGATGCTTTGAATGCTATTGTATTAGATGGCTCTTAGTCCACTATCGCAATTGGTATGCTATTGGCTTTGGCATCGCGGTCACGGGTTCAATTCCTACACGGAACAACCTATGTTTCATGTGGCGCACATATAATTTTTCATGTGTTTCATGTGGCGCACATATAATTTTTCGTGTCAATAACATATTATTTGTATTTTATGATTGATGGTTTTAGTGCGTATTACAGATTATCATCAAATCCTCAAATTTTACCCAACACGAAAAGGGCCTAAATTGCGCATAATACAAAATATTTTACTTAATATCAATTGTATTAGAATGCAATTTTGTAATTGATTAATGTGTCTTTAGAATATAACAGGCCTACTGTATTATCAGTGGCTTAAATTATACATTTTTGTCGTGATTGAACTATGAGGTATCGCAGGCACTTTAATGTAAAATCTAGTCTACAAAAATAGGTTTTAAATAATTTTTTATATAGAAAGCATGTAACATTTTTGTGTTACTTTGTGTGCGTCATGTATAAGTGTAAGAGACAAACAGGGTGATTTTATAACGACGGACATTTAGCAGAGCATAATTATATAAAATTTGATTCCTAATCTGAAACCTCTGGTACCTCTGGTACTCATTTTTTTTTCAAAGATTATTTTTATATTTTTCAGACATTATGGACACCCTATTAGAAAATTCCTGCCTTACCGTCTCAATACAATAACCTATTCACGAGCACTAAAACTGTTCGCTGAACGCATAATAACTAAACCGCTTATAAATAGGGTGACCACTCTTATCGGGATAAACAAACAAGGTTTGAATTGATATTTTTCTGGTTATTTCTAGTCAAAATAAAATATTAATATTTTTTTGAATTATGGAATGATCAATTAACATTATGTCAAAGTATGTACTTAAAAACCGTCTAAAAAATTACCCTGTATGTTGACAAATTTATTTCGAATCTTCATACAATATTACACCATTTTTTTTATGCTGCGTGTGCACGCGGCATAAAAATTGGCTGGCAGCTCATTTCGTAAATATAGGAATATTTTTGTATTTGCACACTAATCGATAATGATAACTACTCGGTAATTATTTGTAAATGGAATATGTCTAATAGGTAAATATAAACACCCACTTTGACTGTTGTTTTATGAACCATAAAAATACGGTTGGAGATCTCAAAGTCGCAAATAACGAGATTGAAATGACACGTACGCTTACTTTATTTTACTGATGTTTGTGCTTTCAGTCTGTAGACAATGAAATCTTCTTCGAACGCAGAACATGTTACAAATTCGGATCCCACGACCTTGAAACGGCCCTCCGCATTAGGTTTCGGTTAGAGCATTTGGTTAGAGCCGCGCTTTTGCTCATGATCATGCATGCGATATCTATGGTGAGGAATGTCACCTACGTACGTACGCATTTTGTTTTACGTTATTCTTGAAGAACTTCTAGATAAAGGTAAGTCGAAAGTTTAAAACTAACTATTAGACAATGTATACCAATTACCAATCACTACAAAGTATAAAGCAAAGTCATCCCGCTATCTGTCCGTCCTTATAAATGCTAAGATCTTTAAAACTACGCAACGGATTTTGATAGAGTGATTCAAGAGGCATGTTTATATGTATACTTCATGCATAAGATAGTAGAGAAACACTGATAATTTTAGAGGTTTCTAATGCGATGTCGAAAAAAATACTTTCAGCATTGCACCAGTGCGAAGCCGGGGCGGGTTGCTAGTAATTTATAAAATTAATCTTAATTATTTCACTCTCAATATATGCCATCCTGTACGGACAGCGCAGTAGTTATAATGCCATTTGCTATTGCACCCTGAGTTATTGGGTTCGAGGTTCGATCTTCAAACAAACTAACATATTATTAAAATGTACTATTTCGTGTCATTAGTCATTAGTCCAGATTATCCTTTAGCTTTAAAATATGTAGAAAAAGTGCGAAAAGATTGTCGCCGCTGTGGGAATCGAACCCACGTCTTCGGCATTCGCGGCCTGACGCTCTAGCCACTGAGCTAAATGGCTGATTACCACACCGACGAAAATCTTAACGCATTCTTCTACATTGTTTTCTTAGCATTTGAAGCAATGCTTGGCGCCATCTATTGTTATATACTTTCCAGCATACAAACAACTTCGAATATCCTTTTACAACGATAATTCGAACGAGAGATGTCGCCATTGCTTTTTTAGAAATTTAAATTGTTTATAGTACTAATCTTTGCACTTAAGATTGAACATTAAAAATTAAACAGCGGCGACAATCTTTTCGCACTTTTTCTACATATTTTAATGTTCAATCTTAAGTGCAAAGATTAGCACTATAAACAATTTAAATTTCTATCCTTTAGCTGTTTTTATCAAAAAAAAAAATGAAATAAATTTTTATTATTGAGTAAGATTTGGTTAAATAATGAATAAAAATAGACCACACGCCTGAAGTAAAACTTCTTAACTCAATCTATATGTATGAATTGTATATATATATCTATAATATATACGTATATACACATGTAGATACATATATTAATTTTCGACAAATATTAAAATTTATTAGAGGTTTTCCTTGATAAATTAATATTTTTCAACAGGTTTTTTTTTAATTTTTATTCATTATATTCATTATGACATACATTAGTAATTACTGTGGTTAATAGTAAGACTGAAACAATAGGCTTATTGTATGAGAAATAAGATACATATGGCTAAGAGAGAAAGAAAGCCATTTTCAAAAGGTCCTAAAAGGTCCCTAAAAGGTTTCCATTGTCAACGCATCTGGAATCCTATTATTATAGGTATTCACTTAACATCAGGTGAACCGTCTGCTCGCTCTCTTGCTCCCACACTGTGAGACAGACATACATGCCTGCACTGTGTCTTAGATAAACGAAACGTTACTGGAAACGTAACTGGCTATGAGAGAAAAAGAGAAAGAAAATATGTGTTCGCACCTCTCTCTCTTGCCCTTTCGAAACGTACTTATATACGAAACGTTACTCTCCGTCTTTCCATCTTCACTAATTTATATCTCGCTCTCAACTTCCGTTCACTTCGCCCGATCTCAGTTTTCGCAACGCTCTCGTCACACACCAATCACCTAATAGCTATCGATCGAGCCGAGGTCCGGCCCTCTCGGGCACCCTCGAATCGGAATGCTAAACGCGTGCTGAATGACAGCCCAAGCCGAGGACCCCTCTCGGGGATCCTTGAACCTGATCACTCCATGGAGCGCCCGCCAAAGCTCGCTAAGATTTTGGCGGACTCGCATACCGGTGATAATAGTGTGACGGCCCGAGCCGAGGCTCCCTCGGGAGCCCTCGAGCTTAGTCACCATAACACGTAATAATAATACGCCGAGGTTCAGGCTAGGCGCCCCGTGCGCCAGCCCAACTCAAGCCCGTCGGAACTGTGAAGGCCCCTAAGGCCAACAGTGGCTCATCCAGCCCAAAAAAAATCATCACGCATTCAACAGCTACTCCCTAACTCAAGCGTGTGTAAAAAAGTTTTACTTTAAAATAAATGGAAACTGAAAATCATGCCACTTGGTTTAAGCTTTGATGCTTTGCATATATTAATATATGCGTATATAAGAATCTGTATTAAGTTCAGTTTCATTCTAAAATTAGTTTTGGCACATATGAAATCATAGGTAAGGCGTATCGAACTTCTGAATCTGAACAAAACGGACAAATCGTTTATATAACAACACTACAACAGGCTGTTTTTTTGCTCATCTTAAATATGTTGACTGATTAAATATTAGGTTGGGGAAAAACTCTTTTCGCCAATAGTATGTATGTACTTATAACTAATATAATCTCTTTGGCTATACATATCGATAACGTATCATTAAAAAGTTTAAATTTTAAAAAAGATAATTCTAAATTCAAATTAGGAAAATGTGTGATTTTCATTTTTATTGATGATTATGATGAGTGATTCTAATGAAGAAATTCAATACATTTTCAAATGTTACTACAAAAAAGGTAAAAATGCAAGGCAAGCCGCGAAAAAAATTTGTGATATTTATGGACCTAATGCAGTGTCTGTGGGAGTAGCACAAATTTGGTTTAAGCGGAAATTTTGATGTCAAAAATGCACCTCGCTCTTGGCGCCCTGTTACGGATATAATGGATGCCATTTTTGAAAAAGTGGAGCAAGATCGGCATATCAGTAGTTACGATGTAGCTGAAGAACTGGGAATTGACCACAAAACAGCTTTGGCGCATTTGAAAAAAGCTGGGTACACAAAAAAGCTCGATATTTGGGTGCTTCATGAGCTCACTGAAAGAAACCTAATGAACCGTGTACTCATTTGTGATTCTTTATTACGACGTTTACTTTTTTTTTACTTTACTTTTTTTTTATTACGACGTATTGAAACCGAACCATTTTTGAAAAACCTGATAGCTGGTGATGAAAAGTGGATCACGTACGACAAGAACGTGTGAAAAAGGTCGTGGTCAAAGGCTGGTCAGGCTTCACAGACTGGCAAAACCCGGGTTATCTCGCAACAAGGTAATCCTGTGTGTATGGTGGGATTGGAAGGGCATTATTCACTATGAGCTGTTACCGCCAGGCAGGACCATTGATTCTGAACTTAACTGCGAACAACTGATGAGATTAAAGCAAGAAATCGAGAGAAAGCGGCCGCAATTAATCAACAAAAGAGGTGTGGTCTTTCATCATAAAAACGCTAGACCTCACACATCTTTAGCCACTCAGCAAAAATTAAGAGAGTTTGACTGGGAGGTGTTAATGCATCCGCCGTATAGTCCTGACCTTGTACCATCAGATTTCTACTTGTTTCGGTCTCTTTAGAATTCTTTAGGCAGTGTCTGGTTAACATTACGAGAGGACTTCCAAAACCACTTGTCGCGGTATTTGATCAGAGGCACCAGAATTTCTATAGCAATGAGATCATGTCCCTACCTACAAGATGGCAGAAAGTTATCGAACAAAATTGCACCTATAAACTTTAGTTAAATGTAAATAAACTTTACTAAAATATGTTTTGAATTTTCATATAAAATGCGAAGAAACTTTTTCCCCAACCTATTACAATTATTGCAACTATGGATTTCGGCATGAGCCTTTCAACGCGATATCATGCCAATGCGTCCAGTCGATAGCAGAAGTAACGCTAATGACACAAAGCTAATTATAGATTAACATAACCTTTATTATTGACAATCACGCAAGCACACCTTATATTGTGAAAATGTGAACGAAACCAATATGGAGTACTTTACACTTTGAGTAATTTAAAAAATGTAGGTTTTGGTGCATCAACCGATCACAGAGCCATCTAGATATTATTTTTGTTAACTTGCAAGGCCTATATGCAAGATCAGCGTACCCGACAGATAACACTACACACACAGATAGTGCAACAACAAACACCATAGTTCGTCCTCGCCTTCGAGCACGGCGAAACCAACACAACGTGTACACTTGGTACACCCGCGTTCCAGGGCGGTTATCACCGCCCCCAGCCACCGACTAACCAAGCACAGTTATCGGCTATCGGGGTCACGGTTCACACCCAACCTCGATAGCCCGTAGGCGACACTCGTTAGCCAACGCACGCATGAGCACATGCGTGGCCCTAACAACTGTGGAGGGCTTCAAACCCGTGGGTTCTGGCTAGCCCACCGGTTCTGCGTTCGATGAAGCTTTAATAGTCTCGGGGCTGTCCGTGAGCCATTCGAGTAAATGGAATAAACTATTAAATATACAGTTTTAAAAAAAGTTGTAATTACAAATTTATTAAATGATCTCATCCTTTAAATGATTTCTAAAAAAATTGTTATTAGAAAGTGTGGCATTATTTAACCTCATATCTACTTTGGCAATTGATTTTAAAGTAACTTAACTTGTAATAAAAAGTTATAGGTTTACTTAAAGAAGGTTATATTGACCAGATCATAATTTTATACATATTAGATCAATATATCTAACGCGATGAACAATTCAGGAAGGGAACGTTGCATTGCAATGCATTGACATTTAAAACCATTATTCATAATTGTGTTGTCTGTGGTTGATCGAATATTTTAAAGTACGAAGTGTTGAATTTTTAAATTAAATTTATTTTATGGATATTTCTACATGGATTTTGTTATGAATGATACTGGTTCATTGCTAGATGTTTTTTTTACGAACTTGTGAACTAATTGAGAAATATTTTTTCTTATGTACTGTAAATTGTCCATATATTGCAACGCATTTGATGAACTCGTATAATCAATAATTTAATACTTAAGCTTAAGTAGTTTTTATAATTATAACAACAGAATTACACAATTATAACAACACAATATGATCGTATAGCTCACGCAACTCGATTCTAACTTCGGATTAAAATGTTATTTACGCCAATTTATATTGCAATGACTTTTATTAAAACCTGGCGTATTCGGTCATTTCGGGCCCGACTGCTAGAGTTCCTTAGCGGTAATACGAGTGTCGCGTTTTGTAAAGTGCCTGAAAATGCGGCGGGTAAGTTTTTCCTTCATCTGCTATATCAGTATTCTTCAGTCATGCATTCAAATTGCATTATATAAAATTAACGTAAATGACCACTGTCCTTATAACACTACAAGTTATATTTTATTTTTGAATGAGTTTTTGTAAAATTCTAGGATCCTACTACTACAATAAAACAGAAAAATAGATATTAATTCTAATTGGTCATCTATTTCCAGAAACACCAACACTAAGTTCAAAGCTTTGCATCAACCCCAAAAATGCCTATCTTTGTGATTTACTGGATTACACAAATGCATCTAGAATCTGCAGTATGAAGCCAACACAATGTATAGAAATAGATGATTGGGTGTCATGTGTTGGGGGACTACCATTGGGCTCATGTGATAGTTCTCCAGTAACAGATCTCAATGTTGAAGTACTGTTTGAATGTGAAATGGAGCCGCATGAAGGAAGCTCCCATCATGATATAATTTCGGTACTATTTATTTTATTTTATTTTACACCGTACAAAGGATTAATATCTTTTACCCAATTTAAATCTTCAGAGCTTTCTTAGTAGGGTATATATTATAAGGCAACTAAACAAAAAAATCCTGTTGTTTTATGGAACCCACATTAAATGACAACTCTATTGGAAATATTCTAAAAGTGAAAAGATTTTGTCCTCCTCTTTAACTATTGTGAAGTGTGTAAGGTATGTGAAGTATGAAATTGTTTCATTAACAATTTCATACTTCACGTACCAGCAATATAATGCTTGGTATTACGTCTAACTGTTGTGATGTGATGATTGTAAGCAGTGATTCATATTGACAATCTTTACACAGTTTCTTGAACAATTTTTACTAGAGATTGATTTTTCATGTAATGATTTCATTTAATCAAGAATTTTAAACACACAAGTAAAAAAAGAACAGTTAAAACTTTTTACTTATTGATTTTTGTGCTTTCAATCCACAGACTATATAAAGCTTTATTGGGCACATAGCTTGTGGAATCCTAATCTTCATTCTTGTTGCACTGCTTGAAGTTAATATGTCTGATTTAGGAATTATTTAACAGACAAAAATAAATATGAATCAGTAGAGATAAATGATTTCACAAAAATTTGGTGACAGCTGTAACGGAAACAAATATGGAATCATTTAAAAATATTAAAAAAACTATTTATTCCCCTTTTATAGCTTAATGTCATAGACTTATAATCTGTTTAAACTATTATATAACATATATAGATAGCATAACATTGACTTCTGCTAATCCTGTTTTATTGGATTGGTACAAATTCAATTTATTTAATTTTAGTTACAATCAATATAAATTACAGTCAATTTCCTGTAAGAACTGTTTTTATTACATCAAAATAAAATTTGACATTTATTGAAAAGTATTTAAATTAACCACAGTTGGAGTCAATGGGGCAACCGGTGGCATGGAAAGCAAGTTCCCATTTAGCAATAGTGTTAAAGACCAATATTGAACAACTCAGTGTGGTGGGCTTTAATTTTATTGGTGGAGAATTTATTATAGATCACAAACTGCCTGTTGTTAGGATTCAGAGTAAGCTATTTTATTATAATCATTGAAACAAACAATAATTTACAGGTGCCTTAATTGTATTTATTATTTTAGCCGTCCAAATATCAGGGGAACCGAATAAAGCTACTGATGCATCAATGAGAGGTTTAAGAAGTGACATACAACATGGATTAAAACATTTTCCCGGAGAATTCCAATGGTCTGTACATGCTGCTCTGTTAAGGAAGTTGTCGAAAGTAGTTGATATAAAATCGGACATTCGTAATACAACTATAGAAATGAATGGGGGCAGTGATCAAGTTTTAGAAACAATTCCACCAAAAAGAGCTGTCACATTAGCTGATGTAAGCACTATAACAACAAAATCTCTGTCAGCTGAGGAAGAATTCGAGAAACCTGAGGAAAAGTTGAAATCAGTCGCATCAGAAAAATCACCTGAGAAGAAGAGTAAGGCAGAATCAGATGAGAGAGATAGAGAAGTAGTGGTGGAGAATGTCACTGTGGAGATTCAACATAACATAACACCTAAGAAATCAAGTCTAACACTAGACTTGAAGAAGGGCACCAGCCAACTATCAACATCACTGTTGAATATATCTAGTCAAATTAAATCAATTACCACCCACAAAAGAGTGGTCAGTACCACAGCACCAAAGAAACATCTACCACAAATGGAAGCAATAGCACCGGTAAAAGAAGAAAATATGAATAAATCCCAATCACAACAGAGCACACCTAAGTCGTTAAAAAGTTCCCGTCCATTAGTAAATACAAAATCGCCCAATGTCTTAATATACTCTGATAGTGTTGTAGCTAGGGATAATTTGGAAGCCTCCTTGAGGAAAGTTTTGGATTGTGACAGGTAATTATTAAACACTTAAAAAAAATTAATATCTATTTTATGAAATTTGCACTTTATAAGCATTCTGCAGATATGTTACAATGAAAAAAGTATATAGGGTGTATATTATCGCCATATTGCTGTACAGTTGCCAACAACGTCGGTACTATGCGAAACTCCATTATTTAAAATATTAAGAGGTCTTGTTAAACGACTTTCACTCGACGGTACATGCCAAACACGCCGGGCCAATGCTCGGGTGTGCTTAATTTTGCACATCATGACTACCGCACCTTCGGCTTTGACTATAATACTATGTTGTATTTCATATTGGATTTCGTTTGGAAGGGGTTGAGTAGTAAGTCCCAACGACCACTGACACCTAGAAGCATACAACTTTACTGACATAAATTTCACGCGGACATACACCCAGATCCGAATGCACGAGTGGATCAAACAAATGGTTGTCTTTGATGAGAATCGAACACACGACCACCGGCGCTAAGACCAATATCAACTGTGCAGCGGGGTCATCGAATCCAATGTTAGTTGGGGCTGATTTATTCTGATGACGTCAGGTACACGCTGTATAGCGTGTCGCGCGAGTCCTTGGAAGCGGGCGCGTGGAGGGGGCGGGCCGCTCTGGTGGCGGTGGCTGGCTGCGTGGGGAGATGCGCCCCCCTTCTGCTGGCGCACCTCCTCGATGGGGGCAGACTGCTCGCCCTCTGCTCGGACCTTCTCCACACCGTGCTCCCGTATTACAAGACTGCCGAGGCACGCCCCTATCTATTTTACTGCGTAGGGCCAAGCGTTATATTGCAGCTCCGTCAGAGGAAGCACGGCCTCAGAAGACCGGCGTGAATTGGATGTGTTATACTTTTGCGTTTCGTCACGTGAGTGGCCGCGGCTCACTTTTGGTTGGCAACGCATCTACGACCACTCTCTCTGGTGTTGCAGATTTCCATGGCGCTAGTCTTAATATCATGTGAACCGCCTGCTCCCTTGCCAAGTTTAAGCAAATTGTATGCTTGCGTTAAAAGTGATCCAACCCATAGACATTATTTATTTTATTATATAGTCTTTTATTATTGACGTATACATTAGCTTTGTATATTGACGTATTAAATGTTTCTTTGTATATTAAATGTTTTTTTTTATATGTGTATTGTAGGTACGCGAAAACGAGATAGTACAGTTCAGTTACGACAAATGGAGCTCTGTTAAAATGAAGCACCATATATTTTGCTACCAAGCATCGCCTGCCAAGAAACAGTTCTCGACTGAGAGTGATAGGCAGTAAGTACAAAATTCTTATGATGTATATGTACCTAATTTAGCGAAAAATAAGTCATATATTTCTTAAATAATTTTACAGAGCAAGCCAAGACGGCAATTTTGGCCGGTATGCGATATAAATATTTTTACGCATTATTTGCATTCTACGATATTCTTGAAATATTCTAATCTGAAATACTTTTTGTTCACATCATATAAAAGCTTATTTCATATAATTTGTGTAGAGATAGTACATAAATATTAGTTCATCTGTCTACTAGTAGACCGTTGAGGCATTTCAACATTTATAGTTGTTAACCAAAGTAAATTAATAATTGTTACATATTTTTCATATGCTGTAATATAGAAATACTGCATGTAATTATAATTATGCTCATTAGTTATTTTCAATTAGTTCTTCATAAAACATTCCCGATCGTTTATATTATTTCGAGCGATATTGTATTCGCTCGATTTACAACCAATTATCTGCACGCAAGACATTTTCTCGTAAATCTTATTGACCCATTTTTTTTCATAAAAGTCACTTAATCTTATTGGTTCTTTCGCTACAACTTTTATCATTACGTAGAGCAGTGATGGGCGAATGAAAGAAAGATATCGATATTTATGGAAAGAACCGAAACAATGTTCTTATACAGACAAAAGTTATCGATACTTTCGAGTGAAAAATATTCATATTTTGTTCTTTTTTCGTACGAATATTCATAAATTTTCCTAGAACATTCAAAATTAATGAAAATATTTCGCCTGAAGAAAACAGGATTTCTTCTATGCTTGAAAATTTAACAATGGTTATATAAACCGGAGGTCAGTTAACAATATGCACCAGAATAAATATCGATAGCTTTGTAAGAAAATATTGATATTTTATTATACATGTATCGATATTCTTTACCCATCCTTAACGTAGAGTACTTTAAACATAATATCGCGTAGGAAAGTTAAAATGAACGACCCACAACGGTTTTAGACCATCCAAATACACTGGTCATCCGGGCCACGAGTTGGACATCCAGATCTTGGCGTCGGAGGAAACGTGGCGGACGCCGTCCTTGCTACAAGCGACCGATTTAATCAACAACGGGGTGGCGATTTTTTCACAGGTCGGTACTTGTTTTATGTGGCAAAGTGACAAACTAGCTGGTGGTTCACCTGATGTTAAGTGGGCCCCGGCTACTACTCACCAGAAGAAACGCAGAAGTGTAATATTTCTACTTCACGAACGTAATAGATCCTTTTTATAAATAGAGCAATAAGGAGCGGAACCCTGACAGCTCAGTGACCGGGCGATCTATTTTAATTCAATGCGAGCGACCCTATTTCAAATCCCCGTGTCGGCACCAATAAAGTTGTTAGCTTTAAATTTTAGCGCTGACTTGACGTGCTCAGCGGAGAAGGAAAACGTCGTAAGGAGACCTGCATATTTTCGAAATGGTAATAAAAAATGTTAAGAGTTAAGGATTGGCGTCCTCGTATATCTTATACGAGGGCGCCAATCCGCGGGGCGGACGCGTGGTATACTATTCCCTCTGTACGGTGGAGACCCTCCGATGGGAAATGTAATGGCTGTTACTTTAATTTTTTCTTTAAGAAATACAATTGAATATATCACTTAAAGTTACGTTAATTGAAATTTCAACAAATTGTTATTCTAATCATTTTTTTCGTCAAAAGGTACCAAGTTATCAGACGGTTCATCTGATTTTAAGTGATTACCGCCTCCCATAAACGTGTACACTGCTACAAATGAAAATCCGTACAATATTGCCAGTAGTGTCAAAATTTGACACTATCTAAAGCCAATCCTTACTTCCTTACTAACATTATACCTTTATCATATTAGTAAGGAAGTCAGGATGTAAACGAAGGACGAAAGTTTGTATGTATGGATGGATGTTTGTTACTCTGTCACTCAAATACTACTGATGGAAGAATGGATTTTAATGAAACTTTACAATAATATAGCTTATACAAGCGAATAACACATAGTCTATATATAGCTGAAAAAAAATCCAGTCTATCCCTTGAAAAATTGGAACATTTTACAAGAGTCCATCTCTTGTAAAATGCTCGAATCGAAATGTAGACTGTTAACACCACAATCTAACGGGAAAATCCGTAAATATAGTTTTTTTTAAACATACACACGTGCGGCAATTTCAGATACACCTCGAGGCCGACCCCAGCGATTATCTGGGCGAGGAGGGCATGAAGAGCAATGAGGCCCGCCTGGGCATCATCCACAAGATAATGGGCGAGATCCTGGGCCTCCACGTCAAGGACCCCAAGGAGATAAGGAACATCGACCACACGACTGGATACTTCCTCGGAAATCACGTGGTAAGCTCCCCCTAAATATCTAGAATCTAGATCATACGTTGCGTTACGCATCCCCATCTATCCATTGTAGATCGCTCGGAGACGTTTATTTTTATGTTATACGTAAAAGTACATACGAATTAATACGGCGGTGGCTTACGTGACAACACTTTTACGTTGTTGTTAAACGGCTTTATACAACAATTGTAAAGTGTTAATAAGTTAACAAATGGAAAATTCTGAATTAAAATTTTATGTTTTCATAAGGCGTCAATATATTTTTTAGAATTTTTATGGTAAATTAATACATTAAAAAATAACATAATCTCGTCTTTGATTTCACATTTGTCTATGTATTGTAGAAAATCAGTTTGACATTTTTAGAGTAACAGATGATAAAAAAAATAAACGTCTACACAATCCGAGATACAGATTACGATAGTGCATTTGTTATGTTATAATTGCATAAAATATTAGAAGTAACATAACAGTGACCACGTATCTTTTTAAGCTTCGAATAACACCGTCATCTGGTTTCATTATCATTACACGACCGACTCGACTTCTATTCAAAATTTCAAGATCATGCTTTATCTGGACTTGGCAATGTGTGTTCTATGGACTATCTAAGAATATAATGCTATACATATTTGAAAACATTTAAAGTTACAAAAAAAGGGGGGGAATTATTTAAAAAAACTATTGCCATTAAACAATATTAAATTCGTGTAGTCTGTATATGAAGAACAAAAATAGGATTATTCTAAATTGTCTGTTTCTTTAATGAGGTAAAGGCAAATAAATTTGGCATAACATTGATATATATAATTAAAATGAACTTTAAGTATACTTTTGTCACCACTTTTACTGAATTTTCCCTAAACATAGTTTCATTTAGTCTACTATTTTAAAGTCATGATAATGTTCCTAGTCAACTTGAATATCTAATTTTATACACAATTAATAGTGTCTAAAAATACTAAATAGAAATTGAAATTCGTAATAATTTCTTGTAGTAATTACGCGATTTCATCGCGTTTGATTATAAATTTCAATTACGAGCATTTTGGCCGCCACACTAAACAGACTCCATTCGCGAAGACTATCTCTAAATATGCTTATATATAGTTTAATTCACCATTACTACATCAACTAATGTCGCAAAGCCGACGCTTACTATATTAATACATGCGAGGCATTTTTCAAACGCCGCTCGGAAGCGTCGAGAAGCCACAGAGCACACATAGTCGAGGGAAAAGACACAGAGAACAGTAATGTGGTAACGCGGCGTGTTGTCCGGTAGGGGGCGTGGGCGTCGCCGCGCCACGGCCCCGGCCACGTGACGGTGTGATGGCCGGTGAGACCCGCCTCGCTTTGCGAAACCCAATGTGCATCCCGAAAGTGTTCTTGTCTTTGGAGACTTCGAGAATTTTCTATAATATCCATTTAGCCAATATGTACCCCGAAACGACCTTGTCTTTGGAGATTTCGAGAACCTTCTAAAATATTCATTCACCCAAAAGACGTACTTGTCTTTGGGGATTTTGAAAACATTTATTTATATTATGCATTTAACCAATATGCACCCCGAAAACGAGCTTATCTATGGAGACTTCGAGATCCTTCTACAATACCCTTTTACCTAATGTGGACCCCGAAGATCTTTCTATTCATTATATCATTTTTAATACTTGTCTTTGGGGATTTCCAGAACTTTCTCTATTATGCGTTTAACCAAATGCACCTTGAGAATGTTCTTGTCTTTGGAGATTTCGAGAACTTTCTATAATATCCATTTAGCCAATATGTACCCCGAAAAGGAACTTGTCTTTGGAAATTTCGAGAACCGTCCATTCCTAGTCTAAAACTTTACGCGCTCCTCGTTGATTGAAAACTTTCAGCAGTTTTTTTTTCTTTAACACATTATATGAATTTTTTTTAAATTTGAAGGTGAGGTGTTTGTGGGTTTAAAAGGCAAGCCATAGCGAAACGATAGGATTTTTCAAACATACTGTAGATTCTTTTGTGGTAGAACTAACCAACACCTATTGACGCGTGTATAATATGTATGGGCTGGTTCGTTCAGGGAATTCCTATTGCCACAATCGTTTGGTGAATGAGGTAGCCGAGACCCACCCTTTATAAGTTTGGTAGCGGAACTACAGACCCTACAGTTTTGTGAATGCCCATGGCCTGCTATGATCACTTCACATCAGGTGAACCGCCCATTTGTCTCACTCCTTTTCACACAAAAACCCGAAACGGCAAATGATGGCGTGTCATGGCTTTTCTCAACCTTTACATTACAAAACCGAATAATGTTCAAGGAATTGTTATAGTTCGTTCTTGAAGTCTCCAACATCAAGGGTTCGCTATGCTTTGTCGCTGGTCGTTGCATGTCAGTAATGTTTTATATCAAATTGTATTATTAATTGCGCTGGCATTCCTATGTATGTATATTTTACTATGAACAGCTTTCGCGTAAGTATTTTTAAGTTGATCCTATGACATTTTGGAAGTATATGTGTATATGGTGTATTTATATTTCTGGCTAGCGAGTATTTTCAATCGAACGGGACTAAGAACATATTTCTCTATCTCTATATTTTGGTGTTGTTGCTTTCAGTCGTTTTACTTTATAAAGCTTGATTGTATCAGAGTTAATTCTAGTGATAAAGGCACTGTTGGCTTCTAAAAACTAATACTGCTAAGTAACTTCTTACGTAGCAACAAGTTACATTTACGCGAATACCACACTTGTAACGTCACTGCTCAAAAATAAGAAAAAAAAGGTCAGGAATTTATTTTTAAATTAAACTGCCCATTCTGCCCTATAATCAACATCCAATGGGATAAAATTAACAAAGTATTTATCACTCTGAAACTTGACTTAGCAATTAACTAAGTAATTTATTTCCATTCCGAAATTCACTATTAAAGACCAACTAATCAGACTACACTTGACAAGTACAAAGTACAAGTAATTTGATGCCAGTTAGACCACATGTCTGAGTTTACTACATGTACATCACGTTATTGAAGAAACAGCTAGAATAACGGTAACGAATATTGCCTCGAGTGCGCCTTCCCTGTGCTATTATATAAATATAGTGTTTCGAGCTATTATTAAAAGAATGGGATTAAATAACATTAACAACAACTGTTTATATTTTTAAAGTGTTATAATTAAAGTCTGTTAGTACAACCACATTTACAACATTATAGAGATATACTACTATTATTATTATTATCAGATATTCGCTATAATGTTGTAAATGAAATATTCAAACATAACATAACTATGGAAACAATATTTATGTGGCAACTATCAACGGCAGCTTGCGGCGAGACGCTTTTGTTATGCTATACACGAATATGTTTGTATCGGCACTGTGCTATATTTACACGGATTAAATTAATTGGGGTAGCAAATCAAAATTTTTGCATGTTACCCTATGACGGAGACTTTTATCAAAGCTCTTTCAAATGTAAATGCTAACAGAGTTACAAAATAAAACAGTTTTGTACATTTTTACTACTATAACAAATTTCAAAAATTAAACAGTTATATTAACGTTTATAAAAGCTGTTATTGTACATTGGCACAGTGATATCGTAATAATCTGCCTGTAAACCGTTGCCAGTTTCTCAATCGCATTTTCGACTTTGATAATAGTCTCCGGTCGAATGGCATCGAGTTCGTTAATAATTATCAGTTCTTCGGCAGGACAAGCTCTCGTTAGTGGATAAGTGGTGCCCCCCCACGGAAGAAGGAAGACGCGTGCACAAATTGGAGAATCTGACGATACAGTGGTGTATGAGGGGGGAGACTCCGCTAGAGAGCCCTTCTTCATCCTTTTTACCCGTTTGCCTCTACGAGTGCCCCGACAACTTCTCCACCGTGAATATTTCGATGTGAGTGAGATATCGTTTACATCTGATCCGTTTGAAGGTCGAAAGGTCGAGATGCGTTTCAACTCACAACGTAATATAATGGCGTCTGTCTGACTTTATGGTAGAGGACAAGAGATATAAGGTTTACTTTAATCTGAATTCCGACGGTCGTCGAATGTTCTGGGGAACTGAGTACAGCTTAGATGCAGGCGCACTATCCAGACCACTTCGATTAGAGCTATTTCCGGTGCGAAACGTTATGTATAAGGTCAAATAGGGTGCACTTGGAGGGTCTAAAATTCTTATCCCAATATAATTTTGGAATATCATAAGAAATATGTGTTTTACAATTTGATAAATTGCTTCTTATTGTCAGAACCTCACAAGCAAGTCGCTGGGTCGGCTGGTTATATACGCTGATGTGCTGGACTCCACCACGCGGGTGCTGGACGGCGAGCTGGCTCACGGCGTGGCCAGCGTGGCCCGTAGACAGCTGGCCGGCATCGGGCGCGGTGGCAACGCCTGGCTGTCTCCGCCGGGCCAGGCCGCCGTCTCGCTGCAGGTGGGACTGGCTCAGTATCGACGCAACCGAAAGCTTCTTTCTATGTGGGAAGGTGCCAATCGAGTTGGCGGTTCACGTGATGTTAAGTGATAACAGCCGCCCACTGACATTCGCAACACCCGCAGAGTAGCAGATGCGTTGCCACCTTTTAATAAAGTGCGCCCCGGCTACCTAACTCGCTAAACGAAACGCAGAAGTGTTAGCTTCTACTTCACGCCGCTCTTCTGTCAGGTCGTGGTACTAAGCATGTTTTTAAACCTTTTTCAAAAATTGTTTTTAGTTATGTTTAAATATTTTAGTTGTGGTATTAAATAAATCATTTATTATAAAAAAAAAAAAATTTACCCGAACGGACCTGCCCATTCGTACCATTTCATTTAAAGTGGTTTTCCATGGGTGACGGTCATCACTTAACATCAGATTACGCAATTCTCTTCAATGTAGGTGTGGCGCAAAATGTCACCCGAGCTATCGCTAATTCAGCACGCAGTGGCGCTTGCGGTGGTACGCGCCTTACGCACCGAGCCCGCTTACGAACACGTCGACATCGGGTGAGTTTTGTGTATATTCGTTTTTCATTTCGAAATGGCAATTGTTCATTTCGAAATGAAAATTAAAAAAAAAAAGAACAGTTGGAGATGAAATGGTAAATGATAATTTGGACCATAGTTGTTGACGAAGCAACAGATGTTAACAGTAAAATTAGAAAAGTCGAAATGTTATTGAATGTTTTAAATTATGCATATAGAAATATAGAGACTGTAAAAAGACATGAACGAGTGAAATGAACAAAATGATTTGTTTTTGGTTTACTTTTCATATCTATTAAATCTTACACGCTTGGCGGATTATTGTGCCATGTTTTTCAAATATCATTGTTACAATCTGTTGTTTCGACAACAACCAACAGTTCACAGAAGACTGTCGTGAAATGGAAGTATTACGCTTTTGCGTTTTGGTTTTGAAGTTTGATAACGTATCGGCAACTCTAATGTTGTAGATGTCTATGGGTGGCGGTGATCATTTAGCGCCAGATTTGACAACTTTTCACATATAAGCTCTATGCATTTTAAGGTCTGAAGTCTTCAATGGGTTCTTGACGCTGAACTACACGTTTTTTACAATTAAAGTCATAATAGAACCCTGTGTGTGGCCGTTAAATTCAAAACGTGATATTTTATTTTGGTGATATGCATGAGTGGTTATGCAGCTAAATTCTAACATTACATTCCCTACCTCTTTGTAACAGGATTATGTAAAAATAAAAATAAACATCTCGTTAGTCCAATTAACGACGCTAGATAACTTTAGATTCGTAATACAAATAGTTATTATTAATATGGCATTATGACATCAAACACAGATGACGACGTCAGAAAATGTTTGAAACGTCCACAGTCTAAAAAAATCAACAGTAAATATACCTAAATATTTGTTTAATGATTTCCACTTTAGTTCCAATGGGTATATACAGTTAACTATTGACTTTAACTACAAAGTCTTAATGTTCTTATTATCTATTTCTACGTGTGATATTGTTCCTTAGAATAAAGTGGCCAAACGACATCTACTACGGGCGCGACGTGAAAATCGGAGGAGTCATCACCAAAGCCAGTTGCTTGGGCGATAAGGTCATTTTGCACATAGGTAATGTTTAATATATTTTTGTTACATTTTTTTGATATAACGAACAAAACAGAAAATAGTAGGCATGTAAATAAGTAAATATTTGACAGGAGGTTGAAACGATACGTCTTTGACAAGACTACGTTTAATTAAAAAAGGCAATCTAAAGCCCGGTTTCTGAAACACGTAGAAATTAACTAATCAGCTGTCAAATGGCTTGTCACTCTGAACATTTTGATCAATTCAGAGAGTTTAACCATACTTTTGGCAACTCCAATGACATTTGAGAAGCCATTCAACAGCTGATTAATAAATTTTTACGATGATCTCGTTTCCGGAAACCGGGCGTAAGACTTTCGTCCCGACGCGACTTAATTTTGTCGAAAAGTCTTTTGAGAACAATTTTCGGTAAATGAATTCTGTATTCTATATTTGAGAAATAAACACCGATCTCGCTGTATTTTTAAAATTACATAATCGAAAATATGTAATAAATTAGATAATAGCAGATCGCTCCTTAGTGTTCAAAACTGCAGATTTTTTTTACTGCCTATTATGATATTAAAAGATATATTATTTAAATACCTAAGAATATTATTGTAATCATTAGACTGGCTAAAATTTTCATTTGTTCCTGACCCCTCAATAAAGCACTTTTGTTTCCATCTCGTGAATCAGTAACTCCTTCCAATATTAGAATCATAAAATATGTTTCCCCAACATGAATAGAGTCACACTTCAAAAACTTCAGGCGCAGGCGTGAACATATCGAACAGCGTACCGACGACTTGCGTGAACGACATCATTGCCGAGTACAATCGCGCGCACGGCACATCACTAGCCGCGTTGTCGATAGAGAAGTTCTTGGCGCGCTTCTGCTCGCAGCTAGAGACGGTCCTCGATTGTATCGATAGCGAGGGCGGGGTCGAGGCGTTCCTGGAGCATTACTACCAGTACTGGCTGCACGAGTGAGTGGACAATGTTTTTTTTTTTAATTAATGCACAGATAGAATATGTAACCGGTGTGTCATTGTATCTGTACACAGTTAATGATGCTTAGCTAAATTTATTTTAAGCTGTTATTTTTATTAGTTTAACACAAATCTACGGTTACATTTTAAAATAAAAGTTATTTATAGTAAAATCACACCCATTACAAAAAATCTTTCGAGGCTACTAAGGATGGGAAGTATTCATGTCATTAATTTAAATACAATAGATATAAATAAACATAATTGATTAAATACATTAGTTAAATTATGTTTATTTACTTATCTATATCATATTATATGTTCTATTGATATTTATAAAGTGTTTAATGCGTGTGTACATTTGTTCAGTAAGTACTTTACCTACACTCACTTTTTAACACCATTTATTTTGTCAATCCAAATTAGCGGTTTGTTGTTGCCTATTGCACGTTTAAGTTGGCAATTGTGTATTTATTACCGTCTAATGGTCGTCCCGGCTCGTTTTAGCGGCGAGGAGATTCGGCTAAAGAGCGGGGGCTCGGACAGCCCCGTGGAGGGCACCGTAGCGGGCGTGGACGGGGCGGGCTGGTTAAGGGTCCGGCTCCGCCCGGGGGACCGCGAGGTGAGGGTCGCCCCGGACGGGAACACCTTCGACATCATGAGCGGCCTCGTCGCGCCGAAACTGTAGCCGAGCCAGCCACTGTTAGACTGTCAGTTGTGACAGCCACTGCCCAATGATAATTATCTATGACACTGCAGGGCCGTTTGTCAGTTATTTGTGACAAAAGCGCTGTTTGTTGATACAACGCTTTGAGTCACAAATAACTCGAATCTACTACGAATAGTTGAAATAGTTGATATTGTAACATAAGTCAGAATTTGTCCGTCAATAAGGAGGGGAGGGGGGGGGGGGGGGGGGTCACTCGGGTCTATAAGTTGTGATCCAACTGTGTAGAATAGTTGTACCACCACTTGGGACTTATTCACAAAACGAGGCGTGTCGGTCGTTTGTGACCTGCAAGTACAATTATATTTTTCGTGATTGTGTAATTTAGAATGTGACGGCGCTGTTAGCGATGGGATTAGATCGTACGTAGCGGTATCATTTATATTTTGTCACAAATTAGGATTTGACCTGTCACTGAGAAATTAGGGGTTGGCTTTCTACAATGCGCCGGACTGTATCACAGTGAATGGAGGGGCGGGGAGGGGCAGGGGGGAACGATAGATTAACTCGAAGAAAAGTCATGTCATGTCTGTATTGGAATATCGCGTTGTTTTTATAAAGGCGGATTGCGCAAGACGTTTCAATAGCGAATGGGGGTTGGAGGTTAACTCAAAGAAAAGTCGACTGTGTGCAAAGAAAGGTTTAAGGGTTATTTATCAAAGGCCAGAACGCGTCAGACCTTATATCCACCAATGGGTGAGCCGATGGTAAAATGTTTCATATCACGTGGGTACTAAGCTTTTAAGGCGGAGAACGTTTCGTGTGCTACACGAATTCTACTAACGATCGAGCATAATGAGTAAAAATAAATAACGTTTAATTTATGCTAAGCACTTGATTATCTACCCGGATTTAATAGAGATAGAGTGCAATATCAATGGCCGCACACAGCGACAAATAGTAGACAGGATTTAAATAATGACAAAATAATTTATTTGCATAATGTAACCAAATTGAATACAATCGAAAGGAAAAGGTTAAGTAAAAAGACATTAATCACCTGATTGACTTCTCTGAGTACGGCCGTGGGTATTCGTTGTAATGTTTTATTTGTATATTAGATTGATAACAAATCATTTAAACCACTGGTGCTTGGTAGGGTTGACTAGGGATCTGGTTCCAAGATTCGTAATGATATATATTACGTGAAACTTCATTTTTATTAGTAATTGTAATAGTAATCTTTCATTATCGTCCACTAGCATCGCATTATTTATATATCTGTTATCTTTAAGAATCTATTGTACTTAAGAATCTCCTTATATTTATGTATTTTATAGTAATTGGCCTCATTCGAATATACTTTCAAAATTACTGATGTCTCTGTGTATTTATTTCTAAGAGACTTGAAATATTGGCATTTTATCAATCAATTAACATTAATTGAGTTATCTTTTGATATATATAATAATCACAACTGATCAATCATTGTTAATGTTAATCACAATTGATTCCATAATTGTTATAGATGTTACAACTGCTTACAACTGTTAACTATTTTGAAATTTAGAATAATTTAGAATTGTAGACATTTGACTACATTGTCGATCTTACTGTTATAATATGTATAATTAATTATTAATTATACACTATTCTAGGTTGTTCTATTTATCGTCTATGTAGGAGTCATGTGATATGTGGAGCAGCCAATTCACTGCCAATTGACCTATTGTTGAAGACATGGAAATGCCATGTAAATATTTAATAAAATGAAGGAATTTTGATTAAAAACTCTTTTAAATATTATTGATTCTACGTGACATCGCGTCGACATTTTGATTCAGTGTAACAATAACGTATATTTAAATCCATAAATGCTTTTATATCACTGTATTCTGCGCTTTAAAATATACAATTGTTTCATAAAAAATACACAAAAAGCTATCTATACAAAAATTAATATTCATATATATCGATGTTTTCGTATTTACAATACGGTTAAAACTAAAGTAGAAGTTATTAAAGTCATATATTATGTATGTACGATCTGTTTGAATGTATTGTTTATCGTGAAATAGGATATCGTGTTCAAGACCTAGTCTTAACGTTCATTTGTGACGTGCAAACAGCATTTTGTGACAAAACACAAATTTTACAGTGAGACAAAAATGCGTGAGTGAATCCTTGAACGCACTTTTGGTGTCATGAACGATTGGATGTTTTATTGATTTGGCGTGGTAGGACTAAATGCTTTATAGTATTGTGTAGAATTTGTTCTAGCGATTTTAATGGTGTAAGAAGAATAATTTTGAAAAATGTGGAGTTACTATTGTATGCCTCTGAGGTACAGAATTATTAATAAAGAAGTCTATACATTTTTGATCAGTATGTTCATATTGAGATTGAAATTTTTGAAACACCAAAGAGAAGAAGTTCTATGAATAGGTTTTAAAATTATGAATGTATTCCTGACTTTTTTATTTAAAAAAATAAAATATGTCTGAATATATTAATATATATATATATATATATATATATATATATATATATTCGTTAGTAGCAAGGCTCTATTTTTCTTTTTGTATAATGGCGCTTAAATTTGCCTCGCATTAAGTAAAAAATTAAGCATTTTCCTTTTCGAATTCCATGACGTTGCTCTCAGTTAGATATAGGATGTTTTTTTTTTTATTTTATCGTTTAAGTATAGCAAATAATAAAAGTAAATGTATAAATTAAAGGTTATTTCGTAAGCAGGGAATGTGGTTAGGTTGGGGCAACTTGATTTTTTTATTTTTATTAAATGTACGAGTAGCATTCCATGTGATGAGGGTTCAATAAATTTTGTATCGTATTTTAGCAAGAAGGCTTGATATAGTTACCATTATATTATTTATTTTATGGAAAGTATTTGTCACAATAGCAATAGCTTCGTAATGTTAACGCTGTTATCAATTTTATGTTATTTAGTAAGTTCTCATACAATTAATAAGTTTGCTGAATTTAAATATGCTAGTGAAAATATGACTAGTGAATTTTTATTGCGTTTTAAGATTTCAACGGGTAATGATTACACAAGTATAATGATATGAAAATGTTCACATTCGTTGTTTTTATTTTTTTCACATATTAATGTTGGTGCGTAATCAACGAATATTTGGCTGTTCGTGGCCTATTAATTTTAACGTTAGGTTTTTAAACTTTCGGAAAAATGACTAAAAACAACTAAACGTCTTGGATTCGTTGGAGCTGTTGGAGGTGATTCCATCATGCCTCACATTAATCTAGATAAGTTAATTTGTTGATTTTTTTGTTTATTATTATTATCAGCGTTTCTAAGGTTTGCATGTTTTTAAACGAATTAATTCTTGTTTTCACCTAGGTTGTGAAAATACTTGTAAATAATTGGAAATCTTAAAAATAAATTATGGTTGTCGACGAAATATTCGTCTGTTATCAAATTTTGGCTCATGTTTTAAATATTAAAATTTTGAATGTAATGAAAAAATTTGTCGTAAGGATATGTGTTAATAGTCAATGTCTTTATGATCTTGTCATCATAATATCTGTTTTCACGTGTTGTTTAATTTATTTGAAAATTATAACTGTTAAACCTTTTCTTATTAAATTTCTATCGTTGTCAACTGAATGTCCTTTAATAAATTATTTCACGGAAGCGGGATTTTTAATTAATTGTCCATTCGTACATTTATTGTCTATCTATAATTTATATAACTTTTATTTTGACAAATTGAAATACTCATACATATTTCTTATTTTTTTATTATGGCCATCGAATAAATACTGATATTGTCTGACGATTGTTCTTAAAACTACCATAAAAGTCAGTACGTCTTATAAAAGACAATATAAATTATAAGGAAATGATCGGCTGTAATTAAAATACAAAGCCTTACAAAAAGTAACATTTATTATCACAAACGTATACTTATAGTTTAAATTAATTACGCAATAGTAATAATAAAAAAAAAACTAATTCCAGTTTCAAATCCCAAGTTCTTATATATTACAATTTTGTGTGCGCGCGCCCCTTGACAAACGTCAGTTCAGTTCCGTGGAGGATAGAGGTAAGGAAAACAATCTCTGTGGGTGAAAAATGTCCGTCGAAAAGCGTTAAATTGATGGCGCTACGGTAGCAAGTGGGTACTAAGCAGTGGTGGGAAATTAATAGTTACAATGGTTACCGGCTATTATAATTCAACTCGGGTAGTTGGAAACTTATCCCCAATAAGGATTGTCCTTATCTCCACTCCATAGTCAGTTCGTTTATCTGTGGTCAATAAGAGTCTGCGTTGTCGAAACGGAACGCGTGCGTTGGGGCGCCCCTGCTGCCGGTGGCGCGTATAGTGAACAGTGCGCCGGCCAGGGGTTCCGAATCCGTTGCCGCGCGGCCCGTAGTGACGAACAGCTCGTCGAGGTCCGGCCCGCCCCAGCACACGGAAGTGGTGCGCGACACCGGCAACTTGTAGCCGAACACCACCTGCCGCTTGTCCGGGTCGATGTGCAGGACCTGGTCGGCGAACGTGTTTAGCACAAGTCATTTTTTTACTAACGAAAAACAAAACCGACTTCAAATATCTCGCTCTGTATTCATTTTATATTTGATTTTCCGGATCCCAAGGTCCAATACCAATGAAATTAATATGGGACCACGTGGGAAGCATCAGTTTTCAAATAAAAAAAAGAATCATCAAAATCGCTCAGTTTAAAGTTCTAAGGTAACAAACATAAAAAAAAATACAATCGAATTGAGAACATCCTCCTTTTAAAGTCGGTTAACAATACCACTCTAGTTATAGGCCACGCAGTATAAATGCGTCTGTTGTGCAATGCGCCCGTGCTGTGAATTCCTGAATTGGAGCAATAGCTTTAAAAAAACTAATCCTATCGAAAATCTAAAGTGACTATACAAATCGGAATACAAATAATTCTGATACATTTATTATCATATACAGCCATGACTTGGTTGACCTCAGTCAATTCTTATCGAACATGAGTAAGAGTTTTTGATTTGACAATGTATCACTGAATATATGATATTGATCGAAATAAAATATGGTCTCAATCCCTAGTATTCTCAACTACAAAGATTTATTCTCAATTACTAATGTAATAATCATATCATAGTTGGGTATGGATGAGATCTAGACTAGTCTGAAAATATCTAATAAATTAAATGCGTTGCTAACGTCAAAAACAGTGAAAAAATCATGGCAAAAAACTTACGGAGCCACCAAACATTAAAGCGACCCAGAGGTGTCCCTTGTTGTCAATTGTCATTCCGTCAGGGATCGCATCGTCGTATCCGTACGTAGTTAAATCAATGATAGTTCGACGGCCGCCTGTAGAGGTATGGAAAATTTTACTCTAAACTTTTGAGAAAATATCATATAGTACATACTCGGCGATAAATATTGCATATGTATCTCTGGAAAGAGACAATCGATTAATACGGTATGTGTTTCGTGGAACGTTATCTCTGTCGCACACTATTTACCGGACTATTATGTTAGTCGTTATTGCGATAGAGTTAAGGCTTTATGAAGCCCAAACTACCTATACCGTTTTATACCACCTAATTTCCAGATAAGCAAAAGTGAACCGTAAGTTCTGTTCAGGGCCTAAATATAGCTCATGGTTGCACTGAAAGTTTTAAAGATTAAGACGGACGACCTAGTAAAGATCGCAGGGACGCGTGGGATACAGGCCACTAACGACCGGTCGAAGTGGAAGTCAATGGGGGAGGCCTATGTTCAGCAGTAGACGTCCTACGGCTGATATGATGAGTAATTCTCGTCTACTGGAGTCTTATTAGTAAGTATTTATGTTTGAACTCCACAAACGACTTTGATGGTTACGCGCTCTCAATACTGTAAGACAATGCAATGTTGTCTCGCTTTCTTGTCTGTCGGTTTGTTTGTAAGATTTGAGTTTCAATCGATTTAAAGCACCGCAGTAGTACCGAAGAAGTGGCTCGTAAGCTAAGTGGCTGCACCGTATTGTCTATGATAATGTCTCTTCGAACTCGATCAAAAGAGGACATATCGTCTATTCATGAGGAAGCTTCACATAATCCATAATAATGAAACATCTATCAGGAATTAAATCGAAAGCAACCACAAACAGCACTAACTGAGCTCTCCCCTCAGCGAGTCGTAGTCGAAGGCGTCTATCCTCTGCGTGGGCGAGTCCACGTAGTACATGAGCGAATTGTTTGGCGCAAACGCTATGCCGTTGGATATCGAAACGGGTTTTAGGTGCGTGCGCGCGTGAGTGTACGAGTCCTGGTCAACGCTGTACAGCGCTCCCCTGTCAGGGACCACGTTGTCGCCACTCTGCGGGCCCTTTGTCCCTGGAAACAACAGATCGTAGCCACATAGGACACGGAATCTCGAAAATGCTGTTACTCTATGAAATAGTGTCAACTGTCTCAGTTGGTGCGATTTGCCAATGTGTTTGGAGAGGGAAATGATACGGCGGAAAGATTTGCTTGTGTTTGTGTATTATAAGGAGAGTAAGTTAATAAAGTGCTACGAATGGAAGAATTATGTTTGTATTACATTTAAAATGATAAAATTACTACATTATTAACGGAGGAGTAATTCGAAACGTCTTCTTGATTCAAAAACCAAAATTAAACTCTGTAAACTATGTAGTGTTGTATCTATAGTTGTATCTGTGTAATACGAGCAAATATTAGAAATCATTATTTGTATTTAATTCAATTTGAAATCCTCCGGATTTTCTACTTCAACCGACTATAATTCGACTCGATTTGTGAATAAACGGCGAATAGGGGGCGGTATGATTTCACGCACCCACCCAGAAGCGGCCCTCCACGTCGGCTTTACCCTCATTGATCTGGTTGTCCGGTTGGCCGTCGTCCAAGTTGGTGAGGAGTCGCAAGGCCGCGTCGCCAGCGACCATCCAGTCAAGCAGGTACAGGCCGGACCTGACAGACACCAGAAGGCGTCGCGAGCCAGATATAAGGGACACAACGTTCACGGGTCCATAGCCTACAATGGTTGGAGAAAAAAACTAAAAAATCCGGCTACTATTCGAATGAAATTTTGAAAACACATTTTGGCACTTAAAATTGATTTTTTGAAGCTCGATTTTGATAATATTTAACAAAAAAAAAATTGTGTGTCAATATAATTTTTATGTAAATTATAATAGTAACACTCGCGCAATAAAGGCGGATCTGGTGACATAATCATTCATCAAAATAGGTTCAGACGATGTTCTAGGGAACATAGGACTTACTGTAGGATAATGTTTATCCAGCGTCGTAAGGACATTGCTTCCGCAAGAATTTTTACACCCGTTTTTAATTGGGTTTCACCTATTTTTTAACGGAATATTATGACTGTATGTATATAATATAACATGAATGTAGACTTTCGGCGTGTTACCCAGTAGACGTTGATTCGAATCCTTGCAGTGCCGAATAATTTCCGACAAACATTTAACTCCTTTTTTGGCTTCGCCGCAGTCGGGTAAAAAGCGCGAAAGTTTGTCCCTTGCCTTTTAACGTAATAACAAATAAGTACCCAAATTGAAACTAAAGCCATTCGCATTGACTTAAATTCTAGCCATTGCTTAGGATTTCTGAAATATGGAATAATTCTCTCGAGTTCTTACTCGAAAGTTGCGTTATTTTATTTTTTCGGGAAAAAGTAACCCATAATTATCTTCATTCCAAATTGCATGAATAATACTTTAGCCGCATTGGAATTTTTTGTGTATAAAATATTGCGCGCTCGAGTCTTCGACAATTCGGGGACATTTTGCTGAATTCTAATCTAGACTAGCTCAACGCTTCTGTCATCACATTACTGTATAATACTTACCAATATGTTTAGTTGATATTTTTCCTGTGTTATAATTAAGTCGATGGACATTCTGTGCGTGCACGTCCACAAAAAACAGGCTTTGGGTGTCTGCGTCCCATACCGGACACTCGCCGTGAGCGAATAGAGCAGGATTTTTGGGGTCGTCATTTGATGAGACCTTAATTACACAAAGTAATGTATCTATTTTAGAGCATAGTACATAGAGTTTAAAAAACGTACGAAACTTAATTATGTTATCCTTAATTATATTAAAACATTTAAGTAGAAAAAATTAATCTTGGCTAAAGCTTTGGAATTTCCGACGATATTTGAAATTATAGAACATTTGCCGAACAAGCATAGACATATTTTAGTTGTGTAATTCGTTTACTTAATTTTGTTACTGTTGGAATCTTCAACAGATACCGTCTCCTAAAGAAAACACGGACAAGTGTGGTTTTTACTCAACAAAACCTCCTAGGTGGCAAACATTTTATATCCACATGTGGTCTCTTTACAGGTTTGCCATCAGATTGTGAATATATCTCATTTAAACGAAGGGAGTTGAAGTTCAAATGTTTAGAAGCCAAAGGGGAACTAGTTTGTAAATGTACTCTACTTTTAAAGTATATTTTCTGGACTATAAATAAGTTTTGAACTAACGACCTATGAATCACTGACGTCCCTTCAGAAAATGCGGCGTTAGTTTTTTAGTTAAAAAAAAAAACTATTTACTTACCATGGAGATTTTATAGTACTGATTCACAGATTTGGTCTTGATCGCACCCACACTTAAAAAGCACGAAACCATTATATGCAATAGCATATTAAGTTTTGTTTTGAACAATTAGTTAATATCCAAAGACACCACCATTGTGGCTTTACGATTGGCGTATCTCTAATGAACGCTTATCATTGTTTTCGTTTGCTTAAACGAATAAAAAGTAGATCATAATAAGATGTATTGGCGGCGATCGAAACAAAGCGATTGGCAACGCCAAACATCCGAAGAATGGAGACTAATGGCGGAGTTGCAAAAGGAACATTAAAACAGTCGTTAGTTCGCAATCATTTATTTCTACTCGAATTATACCTACGTTTCTAGATTAAGAACCTAGATTTAGTACATTCACCGCACAGTGGAGAAAATGGTTTAGTTCCAATTATAAATAATTTTAGAAGAGAAAATTACTCAGTGGTAATAATCGATACAGCGGCGTTATCACGCACAAGAATTATTTATTCTAATTATTAACATACACATAAAAATTGAATATGTATTAAAATATTACAATAAATCGTACTTGTTCAAATATTTTTGTTAATAACATTTAATTTTGGTATTGTAATATCTTCATTTATACTGTTGTTTTGTATAAAATAAATAAAATGTCATGTTTCAGTAATTTTATGGTATTTTGAAGTGTTTCTTACTCTGGATTTCGCAAAAAATTACCAGAGTAATATTTAAAATCGTATCCAATGTCGATTTTTCACGATCTCTATATCGATTGCAATCTTGACCATTAAATTTTTGAAGTGATATCTATAGAAATTCTCGATAATGTTATGAAAGAAACCGTTAGAGTGTGTCCGAACCAAATCAAATAAGTGAACATCATAATGATAATTGATTACAAAGGTTATTCTTTACAACTAAGTCATATCTAAACTTCCCTGCCATTTTTTATATATTACAACATACCATAAGAAAACATGCTTAGCTAACCCATATATATCTTTTTTGTAATAAATATTGCTTCAGTGAACGAATCAAGAGAAAGAAAATTATATGAACAAGAAAGTGATTCTGATTTAAATATTGCTTAATTTTTTAAGCACACAGAATATATTTAAATCAGTGAAATTCGTAATAAATTCGAGCAAAAAAAATTAAGAACACCACCAAATTCATTAGTTTAATTTTCCTTGTCGTAAAACCTTACGATCTCTTCCAGTCAACCGATTGGAAGAGATCGCTCTTTAGCGATAAGACCGCCTTATTTTACCAAACTTTAAAGATTATTTTATATTAATTGTATTAAATTCTTTATGGTCTAAAATAAAGTATATATAAATAAATTGTCAAATAAAATTATTTAAGGTATTTTATCGCGGGAATATAATAAATATTGGAAGCGATAAAATTTGTAAAATATTTCAATTTAAGAATGAAAAATAATATTAATATTGTTTATGTATAATAAAGGAATACATTAGGGTAATGGACAGTAATGGAACACGTAAAATACCATTATCTAAATATTTCTAATTGCTTTAATCGGCGATTATCAAGCATATTTACCTAAGAGTTAGGGCTGAAACTTTACGATGGGAATACATAAAAAGCTTAATGGACAAATTAAAGTTTTATATTTGTTAAAAAACACAAATTTAAACATATACTGTTAATAAACTATAAAAGAAATACTGATATTCCATACACTCAATTGGTCTTACTGTTCAACTCAAATACGAAACAAATCATATATCTCGCGGAGCAGATTTAAACAGAAATCAAAAATATAGAAATAAATGTCTTTAATTTTAAAATAAAAGTAAATAGTTCTTATCACTAAGTAAATAGTTCATATCACTTCACTTATCATATACCACCTGTTGTATTAAAACAGGATAAGATCAAATAAGAAAAGGTATTGAGATGTCACTGTAGCAGGCCACCGTATACCGCATCTGTAAAAACGATCGTTATTAGTGATGTCATTTCATAGGGCGACACGAAAGGAGAAATAGCTGGGACTTGTTTTTTTTAGGCCGGGAGTTCGAATCCGAGTAGCTTACACGAATCCCAATCTATTAAGTATTACATTCAATACGTAAGTGTCGTATTTATTTATTTAAAAACTTTTTGAACAGTAGCAGACTTAACACCTTTAGATGTTCTCTACTCAACCGACAAATAAGTAGAGAAAATAAGGAGCGAAGTGAGAACAGTTTCAAAAATCACCACAAAAAGTTATCTTGTTGCACTCGATGAAAGCGAAATATCCTTTTTTTTTAGAGAAAAGTTGATTAGTGAGCAGGCGTTCAAGTAATTTTAAACTATTACCACCGCCTATGGAACCGCCTCGATTACCTCATTCACCAGACGGAACGCGAAAGTATAAAACTTCCACTTCGCGTCAGTCCCGTGTTAGGCTGTAGTACTTCTCCGACGACCCTGCCCATACGTGAACAAGCAGAAGCTGCTAAGAGGCCCTACCACATGTAATTAAATATAAACACATTATATTAAATTATTACGATCAAATTACATCGTAGGCTTCCTTATTTTCAAGTGGGTACAAAATTACCAAACGCAATAGAAGATTATAAAAAAAGCACTACCTATCTTAGCTCTCTTTTTATGTAAATTGGTGGGGGCAATTTATCGAATGCGACGGAAGTGTCTAACGGGAAGTTTTTCGTATACAAATCGTGAAAATGTGTAGATAAAATAAAACATACATAACACATATTTAGTGTATGAATAGATTGATGAAATTATTGTTTAATGGAGTCGATATCTTAGTGCGATTACCGCGATCGGCGTTTGCCGAGTGCGGTTTAGGCGTGGTGCGGTGGCGCGGCCGTTTGCGGCGGCGCGTCTGCGGGCGGCGGCTGTTCCGCTCCCGCGCCCGCGCCCGTCGCCGCTCCGACCACTACGGGCGCCACGCCTCCGCTCTCCGCTTGTAACCTGCACGCGAACAAACCCTTTAAATGTTTGACTCGTCATTGCATTGAATTGAAAAATGTAATTCTTAATTATTTTAATTTATTTTTTATATTTACATTTTCTCCAATTTAATATAAAAATATTTTTCTCAAAGCTGATATCAGTGTATCATATTAAGTAAACATGACATTGTTCTATGATTATTTTTTATATTTCGTGCTAGTCTGCATCATAATCCTATGGAAAAGGATGTTCAAATTCTGCCATATTATACTAGCTACAGTCAAAAATCACCAATTGTTGATTAGAGCTTCCACCGTTCCAACGTCGAGTTGATGATTAAACAGTCTTACAAATCTGTATTATAAGCAAGAGAAACCTTCAGCTCGGAATATAAAAATATTAGCATTCTGCACTCCTTTTCTGTATAAACTTTAAGTGTGGGAAATTTCATATACTCCTCCGTACGCACAATTTTCGTAAAAATGGGTACAAGGTTTTTGCTTCACGTATTAATATAGAGATATTATAAATGTGATTTGTAAGTTTGTTTGTTACGCTTTCATGCCAAAATTACTATAATATATACAGACATATATATATATATATATATATATATATATATATATATATATATATATATATATATATATATATATATATATATACATATATTTATTAATATATAGGGATTAATAATTAGGTGAAAACGTAGGTATTATTATTGTATGAACAATTGGAAATAATTGCCTTAATTCGATTATGTTATGTTATAATTATACTTGACCGTCACCTTACGCATTTACTATTGAGTTTTGCAGGCAGTTTTTATGCAGAAAGATTCAGTCACGATGTCTGGCACTTGAATTATCATCATTCATTTACTTTTTTATGCTAGTAAATGTTGTTAATAAATAAATAACTATTTGAACAATGCTCGTAGTCTAAAAAGTTAACCGTATAGCCGTCGACATATAAAGCTTTGAAATTCAAAGAACAAAACGCGTCGAAAATTATAATCAAGTCGTTATTTTATTTAAGTTTGTTTATACACATATAATACGATAGGAAAATGAAACAGACTTACCTCTGGTGCGCTTGATGCCTGGCGCGGAACTCTGCAGCCTTCAGCTGCTCCAAGTGGAACTGCTGCCTCTCCTGTATCAACTGCTGCCTTTGGTATTCAAGTCCTGGTGGGAACGTCACGCGGTTATTTCCACAATTCGTATATTATAGAGAAACAGGTAATCGTTGCTATCATCATTCGTTAGACCTGTCTTGAATTAAATTCGTGTTATAGAGAAGCGGGGATCGTTCGTTTGACGTGGCTTGATTTGTTTACATCGATTGTTCGGTTAAATTATACGTGTCATCGCGTTTCCAATTTTTAACGGAATAAAACTTATTAGGCACAAACTTTATCATTCATTACAGCGGAATAATGTCTACATTTGGTTGATCGGTTGACGCGGTTGCCAAAAAAGGAGGGGCCATTGCCACTTTTACTTCAAGCCGGTCTTCCATGAGAGCGCGGTTCTTCCCCAGAAGAGCCTGCCCATTCGTAATAGCAAAAGTCGCGTCAGTCTACCACAGACAAAATGATACCACTCGGTAGGGGTGAAACATCTGGCTCTTGCCACAGTGGCTGGTGCTGACCTTTCGATGCAGGTGCCGACTGGCTAGTTAGGGGTCGTCCATTAACCACGTGATGTTTTTAGAGCATCTTTAAATACACAGGTAGGAATAATATAATTTAATTTTGGAAAATTAAGAATCGTGATAAAAATGTCCTGGCATACTTTTTTTCTACCGGGCGGGTGCAACGGGGTTGCTAGGACCTAAAGAGAATATATCTATATCTTTAATCTTTATGATTATATTATGATATTGACGACCCGAATAGCGTAGTGTATCTGCTTCCTGCGCCAGAAGGTGTAGGTTCGATCCTCACTATTTAAAAAATATTGTGTGATGAACATAGTGCTTTTCTAGTGTCCGGTCGTTTATATATGTATAACATGTATTTATTTACAAAAGAAAAGTATATTTAAGCATAGTTATTAGTTATCTAGTACAAATAGTAAAGTATATTTATCAGTTATCTAGTACCCATAGTACGCGCGTTGCTTAGATAGGGAACGTTTAAAAATGTGTCAGATGATTTTACTGAAATTTACTCTGTCCTCAGGTCGATCCGATAATGATTCAGATTCTCATTTTTTAGATTATCGTATTTAAGTCGTGCGTACAGCACAACGTCCGCCCGGTCCGCTAGTATCGACATATATTTCTTCATGCGCGTCTCCTCCGACTACGCACCCTCCCTCTCGCGCTCCATGGTCGCCTCGAGCTCCTCGAAGTGCCTGAGCTTGATCTCGAGCTTCTTCATCTGCGTCTCGACCAGCAGCGCGACCAGCGACTTGATCTTGCGCTCCTCGACGCCCGCGAGGTGCTTCGCCTTCACCGCCGCCGCGGCGAGCGCGGCCGCAGCAGCGGCCGCCACGCCCGCCTCCACAGCGCCCTCTGTGCCACAAATACAATCACTCCGACTCTTATATTTGTACAGCAGAATTAAGAATAAGCGTTTCAAATCGGATAAAAGGTGACCAAAAACATTCACTCAGACTCTATATTTGTACAGCAGAATTAACAATAATAAAATAGATATTCCACAGGTTTTAGGTTAAAAACTTATGATTCCGATGGTACATAAATTATTGAAAGTCCGAAAAACGTTTGTCCTGGTACTCCTACTATCAGCTTAGATTTGTGTAAACTCCTTTTGAAAAACACAAATCGGAATACTGTTCTTTGAGTGCCAACTTTTCAAACGACCGCACAAGATAGAATGATATAGCTAATAGGTAGCTACTTGGATTAGGATGCAGATTTATTACTAACCGTAAATTGACACACTCGTGCGTACAGACCTCACTCATGCATACACCACACACATTTTTTTAGAAATAATTTTTAATATACATTTAATTTTTTTAATCTTGATATTTCACAACCCTCATTTCTTCACAACACAAGCACGACACTAGCGATAGACTACCGTGTGGTTCGGACGTGACGCTTATCTATAAAAAGTCGCAGCACTATAGAACGGGACTCACCGGGAGGGGGCGTGGCGTTTTCCTTCCTATCCTTTGTCTCTTCAGCTGGTGGCGCCTCCGAGGGTTCGTCTTTCACCTTCACCTCGCTTTCTTCAACCTCCATCGGTTCAGACTTCACGTCCGACGGTTCCTCTTTCTTTTCGCCTGCACACAATGCACCCTTTTCACACGGTATTACGTTTGAGGGGAAAAAATGCACGAGTAAATAAAATAAATCAGTTTGTAAAATAAATTAGTGGACATGTTGATTAATGCCAGTATATCTTTCTGGCGTTTTACCGCGGTCAAAATAAAACAATTAAAATTTGCGGTAGGATTCAACTTTTTAAACAACAGAATCTCGAAAACTGTAATCGCACATACTAAAAATTATGAAAAGAAAAGTATAATTTATTTGGATCATCAAAAGGGGATAACAAATTGTAAGACTATCATCGTGTAAGCTTCGATGATAAATTCCAATCTTTCGTTTCGTTTCATTTTACTCTTCAAAAACAAAGTCAAATTTTTTAATTTATTTTTGCCTGACAGCAAAAAGTCACGTCTATTGTATTGGAGCGCAACTTAAACATTTTTTATTCCGTTTTTTAGTATTTGTAGTTATAGCGGCAACAGAAATACATCATCAATCATCTGTGAAAATTTTAACTGTCTAACTGTTACGGTCCATGAGATACAGCCTGGTGACAGACAGATACAGACAGCAGTCTTATACCCGGTTCCTATATTAAACGAACCAACTTTAGTTACATAAGTTCGTAACTTTCTAAACGAATCGTTGTAACGACTTCATAATGACAATGTAACTAACGGCCGTTCGTTTAATATGAGAACCGGGCTTTAGTAATAGGGTCCCGTTTTATCCAATGGGTAGTACGGAACCCTAAAAGGCATCCGCCGCACCTGGCGGCTTGACGTCCGGCGCGGTGCCGGCGATGCCGGTGGCCTGCAGCGCGGCGGCCGGCCCGTGCGCGCCCGCCGCCTTCACGTGCGCCTCCATCATGGCGGCCGGCACCTCGTCCTGCATCGAACGATAAATAAATAAATATTTAGGACACATCTTTACACAACGTTCTCTAGTCCCAAATTAAGCAACGCTTGTACTATGGGTGGTAGATAACTAATTTTCTTTTGTTTATAAATACATATCATACATAATTATATAAACACCCGCAAACTAGAAAAAAACTATGTTCATCATACAATATTTTTCCAGTAGTGGGGATCGAACCCACACCCTCTGACGCAGGAGGCAGGTACACTAAACACTACGCCATTCGAGTCGTACGTCGTTAGCGTCACAAGCTCCTAAGGTTCTGTCGCAGAGCAAGGAACAGTATCGTGCGAGCGTGACGGCTGTATATTCGCGCGAGAGCAACAGAGATGGCAATAACAGAGCACGAATTTGTTCCGCGCTACCTAATGTTAGTTTCACCTGTCGTTCTTAAGACGGCGGATATTGCATTTAGTATCATCATTATGCAGTCATCGTGCTCGTACGACGACTATATAATTAATTTGTGTAGTTAATATAATTTTATTTATGCATCATAATCTCAGTGTCCAGGCGCTCGTCTTTAACTTAACATACTCGAGACACCTGGGTTTGATCCCCGGTTCCGGCACGAATGAAATTGTTAATTTTAAGTGCTGTCTTATCACATGCTCAGCGGTGATGGAAAACATCGTGAGGAAACCTGTTTTCGATATAAAAAAAAATATTTCGAAGACTCGAAGACCTACCCCCTGTACAGGAGAGGTCTTTGCCCAGCAGTGACTTTGACTTTGAATATGTATAGACTGTTACTTTACTTTTCTTACTGTTACTTGTCAGTGTTCAGTCCGACCCGAACGATATAAAAATAAGGGCGATAAATCCGTAAAATTAGTTTAACCCACCTTGATTGCAGCGAACTCGTCCATGGCCGCCCTGGTCGCTTTGGAGGCGATACGAGGATCGACGACCGACGCGAGGAAGGCCACGGTGCTCATCACCGGGTTGCCCACTTTGCTGAACGGGATCGGCTGATAAGCGAGAGGGCCTAGCACGCCACCTACGATTCGATTTTTGAAGTTATACTTCTTATGACGCGTTTGAAAAAAATTATGAGAATAAAATTTTTGAAAATCCATTTGACAGCTGATTAGTTGACTTCTACGATGATCAATGTTTCAGAAACCCGGTGTAAGTGATTTTTCTTTTATCACGCTAAAGAAGTATAATTTCGTACGTGCATAGTATTCACTTTTGAGCAGGCGATTCACCTGATATTAAATGATTACTGACGCACGTTGACTTCAATAGCACATGTTGGGTTCAAACCATCATTGTGTGTCATGATGTGTTGCGAACCATCAAAGAAGTGGGGTCGGTCATCGGTTCCACGCCAACCAGACGCGTAAGTTCTACTCGGCTAATACTTCCACTTTGTGGCGGTCTTCCGTGACGCCGTGGTACTTCCCCGGACGAGGCTGCCCATCCGTGCGACAGCACAAGCCAATGGCACAGTGAAAAGGCGGTACCGGAGGCGGCGTCCTGCAGGTAGGGCTCCTCGATGGGCAGGCGCAGGAAGTGCAGGATGCACTCGTCGTGAGTGCGCGTGCCCACGTGCGCCGCCACGCGGTTCCAGTCGTCTCGGTGCAGCTCTAGCCCCTCCAGCAGTAGCAGCGTCTCCTGCTCGGTCCACTCCCGGCCCCGTGCGCCGCCCCGATACTGGACCAACAATTAGATAGTTGATGGTGCGATGCTTCTCTGCTAAACACACGCTTCTATACTGTAGACGGTGAAATAAAGTTGTTGACCCCGATGTTTCTGTTTACTTCTTAGTCATAGTTGAAAATGTAATATTAAAACAATACAACGAATTTTATTGTTCAGATAAACTGTCAATGAAATTTGCAGTAGTCGGCACAAAGGTAAAAAAAAACAATACATTATTAGGCACACATTTGCAAATAGTTATACAGACTAGTCATTTGCAAATAGACACATGTTTAAAGATTGTCTTGCACATAGAGCCTGCGCAAATTTAAATGCGCCCGAGTAAAAAGCTATAATACGTGCAAATCGAACACAGAAATGGTTCAATAATTAACATTAGAATATAATTCAAAAAACTAAAAAACCCGACTGCGTTTCCGTGTCATTTTTTATTTTGATATACCCAGTATCACTCTCTAACGACACCTCTCACGCTAAAATCCATCAAGCCGTTCAGGCTGCAGAGGGTGCCAAACAATTATACATACACACTCTCGATAAACACAACCCTCCTGTCGGGTGAGATTACACAAGTTGTTGGTGTTTTAGGCGGAGTAAAGTTGAAGCGGTGTAAAAAAAACGCGCGACGTCACCTGGTCGAGCTTGAGTCCGGGCGCGGTGCCGAGCTCGAGCGCGGGCTCCTGCTTGAGGCCGGGCGCGGCTGCGGCGGCGGCGGGCGCGCCCGCGTCCGCGCCGTTCGGCAGCCCCGCCTCCACCTTCGGCACCGCCGCGTTCTCCGCTGAGGGCGCACAGAACGATTCGTGGAGATCGGGGGGCCACCAATCCTTACTTATCCTTACTAATATTATAAAGGCGAAAGTTTGTACGTAATACGCAAATACTACTGAATGGGTTTTAATGAAACTTTACAATAATATAGCTTATACATCAGAATAATACATAAGCTATAATTAATAAAGATATTATGTGAATTATCCAAAATATAAATATAGATGTCAAGTAAGTAGAAAAAAAATTCTGCCATCTGCGAGCTATTCATGTGTATAATACAAAAACTCATTGTTAATTTCCTTTTACCGCGCGGCCTAAACCGCGTTTAACAGCTAGTGATAAATACACAACACGAAGTGGATATTGACTAAGCATAATATTTATGTAGTTATCGCTTTTTTCTCGTTCAGAATGCGATACTTAAACTTAACACTATCTACGGTGCGGCGTAAAGCCGCATCTATATACAAAGAATCTCCGTTAGTTCTAAACCGAATGCTCAAATTGTGGTACAAGTACAACGTTGCATCGGTATCCGCGTGTTTGATATGGCGATGCGGTGCCGACCTGGGCGGGGCTGCGTGGGCCTGGCCTGCAGCGGCTGGAGGCCCGAGGGGGTGTCCGACAGCACGTGGAAGTGCGACGTGGGCGGCGGCCCCATCGCCGTCGGCCGCGACTCCGCCTCCAACTGTGGTGCGAAGAAATTATTAAAATCCAACGTACTACACCTATATAAATGTTAGAATAAAATTGGCTATATTACAAACTCGAAAAATCCGAAGAAATAAAGGAAAAAGTTCTAAGTTAGTTTCAATGCAAAAACTCTTAACTTGGCATTTTAACAAACATATTAACACATATTTTTCTAAGTTATATGTAAATTTTTATTGTAATATATAGATTGTCGGCCATATTTATAATCTATGTGAAAGGTTTTGGGTAGTAAGTCCATCGCAACCTTGAAGATCTGTTATAGTCTTCCCTTCGAAAACATTGCGCGCTACTGTAGTATAATATAATGCCGTGTTGCAAGGACGTTTCACATACATAAATTACACGTGGATAAACACTCAGATCCGAAATAACTATCTGTGGATCACATATCAGTTGTCTCGTATGGGAATCGCACCCACGACCCGCACCGGAGCCAATGTTGTAGAGCATATAATGTAATACCTGGTAGTTTATTAGACCCCATTGCTCGAGGAACCCATGGACGCGCATTATGGCGCACACATCACCCGCCAGATTGCGTCGGCTGGCTGTGCTCGTCAAGTACTCGGTCGGGTTCAGCCGGTATGTGTCGATCATGAAGTTCCTGCTCACAAAACATCACTTAGTGAGATACAATTACTTTGTCACTACAACATATTTAATCCATTTTATCAAAACAAGTAACATGTGTCCCACTGCTGGACAAAAACCTTCTCCATATAGAGGGAATGAAAAGTATTTTTATATATTTTAATTGCCTCAATAGCTCGTTTAATTTTTTTTTTATTCTTTATCACTTTTAAAAAAGTCAAGTGTCAAGTCAAAAATCTTGTCAACGGAGGATAATTATGTAGAGAAAATAATTGATACTATTTATGAAAATAAAATTTCACAATGTCACTCACTTTTACCTCATTTAAGTAATAAATTTTTAGATAACAGATCGGAGTTTTGAATCGCTATTTATTAGACAATATATGAAAAGTTGGTGTAACATTTATAAAAATGTCAGCAAAGGGTATTAGTTTGTGCGAGACTTCACATACCTGTACGCAAGATAGATCTCGGGTGTTTTCGATTTGTTCTTCCCATTGAAAAACTCCGGCAGAGCTCGCTTCTCGATAGTGTGAATTGAGTTGTAGTCAAACCAGGCGGAGTATGAAGGCACCACTATATGATGCGTTTGGTCAGTGACATTGTCTTCTAGCTCCTCCTTTGTCAGCATTTCCTGTTTTTTTCAAATGCCTATTATTTGTAAATTCAGTTATAATTAAAATATGAGAAAATTGTTTTTCAACAATTAAATACACAAAGTAAACAGCAGATATTTCTTAAATTTGATTTCACAAATCAAAATTCAAGAATCAAAATTAGATATTACCTGTGATTACAATCAGTAAAGTGGTTCTCACTCAACAACGGCTCTTTACTTTCAGTTGCGATAGTTAATCATCTTATAATAAGATATTAGAAATGCTTAATGTTTGTTAAAAATGCTACTGCAAATGGTTGTACGTTCATTAAGTTACATGTGTTTAAGTTCCTATTTAAAACTGTAAATGGAATTTTACAATAATTCTTATATTGTAGTTTCAATAAGGGGTGATATGAAGTTTATACCAATAACATTTTTCTTTGTTGGCATTTATCACCCATTATTAACTCACAAATTGTGATAGGGCCATGGTTGTTTGGGGAAGTACCACAAACTCATAGAAGCCAAACCTGATGTATCGTGAGAAATCACATCTGCAACTCATCTAGAATTGATGATGACCAGCTTGCATACCGCCCACTCACATATAAGAAAAACGGCAATGCGGTTCAACGGATGTTAAATGTTTACCGCCGCCAATGGGCATTCGCAACAGCTGTTGCAACCTATTAATAAAGTTGACCTCGGTTACCTCACTAACGGCACGAAACGCGGAAATATAGCCTTCCACTTCATGCCGGTCCTCTGTGAGGTCGTGGAACTTCCGCGGACAGTCCTAATCGTGTTACAACGAAGACTATTGCGCGGCCCTACCACTGGCAACATTTCACACGAGGTGATTTGCCCCTACCACTTGTCAACTTTTCACATAAGACGTCTTGCCCCTACCACTTGTCAACTATTCACATAAACAAAGGTGACTTGCCCCAACAGTTCGGCAGCTTGTCACGTAAAATTCGGGAAGGTACCTGCGTGTTGGAGTCGCTGTGCTTGCCCTGCGAGTCGTCGTGCGCGTCGAGCGGCGGCGCGGGCGTGGCGGGCGCCTCGGGCGCGGCCGCGCTCGACGGGCCCACCGCCGGCGCCGGCTCGGCCGCGGACGCGCTCGCTAGAACGTGCCACGTACTGTGTTGTGATACGTTTTACGTACATAAATTTCAAGCGGACAAACACCCACATCCAAAACAATTATCTGTGGGTCAGAAATAATTGTCTCTAGTGGGAATCGAGCCCATGACCGCTGGTGCCGAAGCCTAATAAGGGAGTGACTAATGTTTAAGGAAAATCCAGATGGCGCTACGATCGCGGGTCGCATAAACATTACACACCCTCCTAGCCTCGATCGTAGCGACGCCAATAAAGAGGCCCAAGTGGTAACCACAATTTGGATTTGTGACTGAAATTTTCAATGAACAAGTCACGGGACCTCACCGCAACTGAGATTTCCAATCACGAGATCGGGACCTCATCGCCTTACGAAGGCGGGACCTTCTGAATTGAGATGGGCCCTCACCTTCAGCCGATCGCTCCGTGTCCGGAGTGGGTGCGGCGTCCGTGTTGTCCCTGGACGCGTTGTCCTCCTCGTCCTCACCCTCGATGTCCCGCCGCTTCGAAAGGCGGCTACAAATAAGTTTCCTTATAAACAGTTATAGCCACGATATTACCTTTGTAAATTATTTTGTTCTTTACTTTTACTTTTGAAAAAGTTACTTACTTAAATACTATAGAACTTAAGTATTTAAGTAAATAACTATATGCTTTACTTATTCATCTATTACTGAAAGAGATATATCATATTTGTCATAATATATTAAAAAAATTTAGATTATTTTCTGTTCTTTGAGGAAATATCACATGAAAAATTAACTTACTTAAAATACTGAAATTTTGTACGCTTTACTTATTCGATCTTTATTAAGTGCGTTAATGCAAAGAAATCTTTTATGTTACCTCTTCCTTTTGCCATGTTTCTGCGGAGGCGGTGATGGAGAACGCTTCCTTTTGCTCTTTTTGCCTTTGCTAGATGGCTCCGATCCTGGTATCAGATCTTCAACCGAGAGTCGCAGTTTGTGAATCTGAAGCGAATTCAAAATTCTCCATCATTCAAGTCATCGTTAAAAATGCTACAAATTAAAAGTTTTTGCCATAGACTTTTTGTACAGATATACATTGTATTAAGGGGGGGGGGGGGGGGGGTCGCTAGTGTTAAATATTAGTTCTCTAAGGATGTAAACTTACAAGCCTCTGCTATTAATAATATTAGTGAATTTCATAATGACAACATTTACTGTTCGATTAATGTACCTTAGATAAAATGACTATGATTTGTTTTTTGTATTTCCATTTATTAAATAATTTGTAACCACATAATGGTACAAAGATCTTTGTACGATGTTTAATAAAAACATTTATACCTTCACCTTAAAAGTACACCTGCATGCATCGTATACCCGCCTTCTTAAAAATATGTGATAATAATTAATATCATATTCCCCTATTCTTGATCACTGTAGAACAGGAGTTATACATTTGAATAGGCACAAATAGCAATAGTCCTTAAAAGGAATGAGATATATTCCAACGCGTACGAAAGAAAGAGATAGCGATATCGGTCGTCATCGTACCTTCTTCTTGCCCGCGGAGTCCACTTCGTAGTCCTCCTCGTTCATCCACTCGTTGTACTGGGGCAGGTCCAGGGCCCACGTGGCGGTAACTCGCCACACCTCAGGCCGCGTGCAATCCCAGCTCACAGACTCCGGTACTTCGACCTAGGGGCATGTATAGTACATTCGCCATTCGTATAAAAGTAAAAAGTAAAGTTGAATCGTACATATGTCCCATTGCTGGGCAAACGAATCCTATGTACAAAGGGTATTCAAATTCGTGGTCAAAATTTCTTCATTCAATATTATTTTACGCTTCAAAAAACAACTAACGGTTCATTAACTAAACCTAACCAAAAAACAACAGAAAATGTGCGGTCTTGTTATATTTTTTTAATGATAAAAGTATATAAAATTATTTAGGAATAAAATCCAGCATTAGCCAGGGGACCTGCATGTTAAAAGCAAAAGTCAGTTCCTCATCCTTGTCCTCAATGCATTCATCGACTGTTCAACAGTGGATGTCTTGCGGCTGATGATTGAAACACTGCGGATCGGCAGATTTCAAATATCTTCGAAATATTTAAGGGGCTGTGCTATAATGCCGTCAAGTTGCCAGCTCGTCATCTTAGTTTTTTTTAATTTCTTTTTAAAACATTGCCCTCACTTTAGGATAACATTATCCTGTGTTGTAAGGACGTTTTACTAACAAAAATTGCACGAGGACAAACACCCAGATGCGAAACAACTATCTGTGGGACGCACAAATAGTTGTCCCGTGTGGGAGTCGAACCCACGACCCCCGACGCCGAAGCCAATACCTCGGCAACTGCGCCACGGAGTTATATACATAACAAGCGCGTCTGTTCCCTCGTCTCACCGGCAGGTCGGCCTGGGCCCAGGTGTCGTGGCTGTCGGGGAGGTAGTACCAGTGCACCAGCACGCTGTTGCCTCGACGGAACACCGGACGTGCGTACTCCTCCTCCAGGGGGTCGACGGTGGGGTAGATTATGTGCGTAGCGTCCTCTTCGTCCTCTGTCGATAAAATATTTATAATTAGCTACTGCTCCCGACTACGTCTGCGGAGAATAGGCCGAAGGCGTAACATTCAAACAGAAAGACAGATATACATAAAAATATGTATATAAATTATAGCCTATGTCTTATTCTGATGTATAAGCTATATTATTGTAAAGTTTCATTAAAATCCATTCAGTAGTATTTCCGTGAAATAGTAACAAACATCCATCCAGACATACAAACTTTCGCGTATATAATATTAGTATTCATAATAATTTTATTATTCATAATGATATTATTGAATACTTATTCACCATTATTTTTGATGTGAATGCGACAGATAACAACGGCTGATGGCGTAGCGACGCTATATGACTCCCCTGAAACGGGGTAATAATCACTGTGGAGCAAAGTCTGCGCAATTGCGTAACTCACCGCATATCTCCCCCTGGTGGTTGCTCACGATGTCCTTCACCTTATTGGCGGTGGCTTTGTCCACGTCCGGTCTGATGAAGACGCACGGGGTGCGTATGATCTCGGCGCCGAGCAGTGCCGACTCGATCTCCATCATCATTTGCACGTTGAGGTCCTTCCGAGACGGGTTCTGGAAATAGAGGGAAGCGGGGGGAGGGAGGGAGGGGAGGGGGTCGACTTTAGTGCGGGTTCGAATTGCGATGTTGAGTTATAAAGCAGCGAGGTCCGGTTCAACAATTTTAATTAGCAAAGCTGAATAGTGTTTATAAATAAAGTTTCTTGATCAAACGCTGTGGATTATACATCTAATTGACACCGAGATTTTTAAATCGATAATGTCATCTATGAATTTATTTTAAATCAACTAGCAACTAAAAGTCCAGTCTATGGTTTTGGTTTCGAGACGAAATTGAAACTGGCTTTGTTTTAATACTTGTTGGAGGAATGGGATATATATTTCTCGTTAAATGGGTAGCTACACAAAAGCTTTTCAATCATTTTTAAAATAGTAGGGCGATTAAAAAAGAACTAAATATTTTTACCAAATTCAAACGGTTTTAGTGAAAATAGCAAAATTATGTGTTCAGTTCTTGTTTTAGTTTTCCCAATTTTTAAAGAAGACAATCTCAAAACACCAAAGTTACAAAAATAGGTCCTCTTTTCAATTTAAAAAAAAGTTTCAATTGAAAAATTTTATGACGAAAACTTAATATTAACGAAAGAGATGGAATAAATATTGTCTAAATTAAAAAATCTAAATATCGTTATGAAACTTCGGATGAAGAAAAAAAACGCATTGCGGCATGCAAACACTATATAAGTGAGTTTCACAAGAGTTTCACGAGTTAGTGACAAAACACAAAACTGTTATTTTTACAAAAAAAAATATGTTACAGTTAGCTTCCTGGGTAGTGTAAGAGTCCAATCCATTTGCCGATGCGTACAGAACATTGAAACAAACCTTTGTCTCCCAAAAGAAGCCATTTGCACAAGATGAACCATCGCATGAAATGGAATAAAAGATGAGGTATGTCTGTATGGGGTATACAAAATAGGTATTTATTTGAAATTAATAATATAAATAGAAACGAGTGAAAAATTTTACTTTTTTAAGACTCAGGGATTTGGAAACTATTTCTAGGCTAGCTTTTCCGATTACGTAGTAACATGAGTTTTCTTCAATAGTGCAGTTTGTTTGTTGTTTTTCATTACAAAATAAACTAATTGCTTAATTCACTTTAACGTTTCTACAATGTCTAAGAAACAATAGAAACAAAAGATATTCAAACTTACTAATACTTCTCGCTGAAAATTAATTTGTACTGTAAATAGTAAAATGTTAATGAAATAAATCATACCCTTACAAATCGTGCGATTGGTGCAACACGCGTCTGACGTATGACTGCGCAAAACCTAATTATAAATTTAACAAAATCCATTGTCATTATAAAGCAACGTTCATTATGTTTATTTGTCAGAATGTCTTTTATGTTTATTTTGTTAGAAATTGTTTATATTAACGGAACATCAAATACCTAACCTAACCGTTTCAGATTTTAGGGTGATAACAGGTTTTGAAATTCAATTTTAATAGTGCTATTTATTAACGATATATACCTTCTAGACGTAATTGCCATTCTAGCAAGATTTTCGGGGACTTTCTTCCTAATTTAGATGTACTTATTTTTTATAATATGTCATTAAGATGTTAGCGTAATACGATTTCATTTCTTTCTATGGGAATGTCCAACTCTTACGTTTACTCTTTTTTGTGAGTTCCCAGTGAACATCCTTAAAAAGGGCGTAGCTATCGTCAACCGTCAAACGCGTGCAGTCCAACGTGATGCTGTTATGAGCCGCGTGGTATGGCGGGGGCTGGCCAGGCCGTCTGGGGCTGCGGGGGGGGCTGGGGCGGGGTCGGGGGCGTGGGGCGGCGAGCGAGGCGGGCGTGCGCGCGAGTGCATACCTTACCGACCTGGAAGTCGAACTTGCGCCACCGCTGCTCCGACTTGAAGCGGAACATGGTGGCGAGCACCGTGCACAGCGAGCCGCCCGGCTTCAGGTCCATGAACACTTTCATCTGCCGAGGGAAAGGGGCCCTTTTGAGAAGTGCATAAACGCTTACCGATCATAACAGCCGCCTGGGGACGTTGGCATTTGCAAGGACTGCATCCTCGCCTCACTTTACTGTGAAGGGTGACAAGAGAGATCAGTCCATCTTCGCAGAAGCTGTGATAACTGTGGTAGGGCCACGCAACAGCTTCGGCTGTTTCACGAATGGCAAGTCCGTCCGGGTAAGTACAGACCTCACAGAAGAACGACGTGATGTGGAAGAAGAAGTTATACTTCTCCGTTTCGTCTGGTGAGTGTGGTAGCTGTGGCCCACTTTATTACCCTACTGGCCTCTGGCCGTCCGCTACTTATTGCAGTCACCACGTGAAAAGAAATAGTATGAATACTTTTACTTTACATCAGTCGTGCCAACCCATTAACACAACAGGAAAGCATTCATTTTATTATATGTAATAAATCGAAGTTGATAAATCTATTAAATAAAGTTCGAAGCAAATACAGAGAAAAATAAGAGATAACCGTCATAAACAAGTATAATATTTACATAGTAGTAAATGTTAGTTTAGTGTTAATGTGATACAAAAAAAACTGATTACAAATAACCGAGAAAATTGATATTTGTTTTATTGATCCGCAAAAACGCTTAAGGCACTGAAATATATAATTAGAACTATAAAAAACATAGCACCCATTACGGATTCCTTATATGAAACAAAATAAGGCGCATAATTTTATGGTGCCCATGTTTGAAATGGTTCAATGGTTTTCGGGATAATCAAATGAATGAATTTTAACGTGATTCAGAGTGAGTGATAGTGAATTTAAAACGTTTTAAACTTTATTCAATGTCGAAAGAAATATTAACTTTTTCGGCCGGTTTCAATATTTTAAATTGTAAATTCTTCAAATTCTTGTAAATTTGATTACTAGAAATTGAATTTTCACATAAGTATTATGGAGCTAATGTCAAATACCTATAGCTTTTAACCAAATCTACATATAGACTAAAGAATATTGAAACCACCTAAATCTACCACCGGATGACTATCGATAAATGAAATGTAGGTATATTTCTTATTTCGATGAATAAATTATTTGATCCCATTTGTTAGAGACAAAGAAATACAAAAAGATAAGTTTCGCCTGGGTTGAGGGCCGAGGCATCGAATTCCCGATACAGATTAGGTTAAAATTTTAAATGTAATTCCTGAGTTTTGTTGAAGACAAGTTGATTAGATGATACTTGATTAATACTTGATTAAAGTTATTTAAAATTTAACAACACAATGGGCGGTTAAAACTGCGCCATTAAACTATAAAAAAAATATGGACGACGTAACGTTTATGCAAGTAAGACATTTTAACGCGGACAGTTATCATCTTTTGTAGGTGCCGCAAAACGGATAGTAAAAAGGTATTCTCGTAACAAGGACTGGAGACATTCAGATTCGAGCCTTGATGTCTCTTCGCGGATTTCCGCGGAGTTTTTACATTGATCCGTTGCGGACATCATTTTATTGTGTTACATCTTTACAGTTCGATTATATAAGACTTTTTTGAAGATGTCAGATGTACATAGTTGTAAGCAATCCAACTTTAAGAAAAGTCTCATTCTATACCAATTTGCACATCATCACCGTGAGTGTGAAATGCGAATTTGACCTTTTTAAATGCCTTAAACTTTAAGTGGAAGACATGGTGGGTTCAACGGACCGGAGTATTATATTTAATTTTTTAGTTAGAATAGCATACAGCAAACGCATAATTTAATCATCAATAGACTAGAATGTAAATAATATACATATACAAAATATATTTAACGAACATTAATATATACATATAAACACAATGGTAGTTTTTTTGACGTTCAATAAGAGCTTAAGTTACAAGTCTACATTGAATAAAGATACTTTGACTTTGAAAATGAAATCCTTTAAAGGCGAGTATAATCCGTGCAAGATAATAAAATGTTGAGTTTTATATCAATAATAAATTTAATTACAACTGTTCAACACGCTGATTGTTTGATTGGACCGTTATAGAATACCCTGAGATCATTGAGCACATTAAGTGACGCCACAAGTGAAGGCAATTAATACAGTTTGGAGCCAGTCACTGGCCAGGTATCGGCGACCAGTTGTCACCACTAAAAACACGCCAGCTGCGGTCGAGGACGGACGTAGTTCTTGTGCGACATAGCCTTAAAGTGCGATATATACCGATTGAATTAAGTCAAACGATGACCAATTTAATACGAATATTGGCACTTATTTTGTCGATAGACTTCATTTACGCAATCAGATCGACAACGCCGCTTATTAAAACTGTAAGTTGAATTTTTTATGTTTGATACCTACTAAAACAAAAAACAAAAGGCTAGTTATACGCGCTATAAAAAGGACTTTACTCTCTGATGATTTGAAGTCATTATAATGCTTAGGTTTAAGTAACTTCGTGCTTATTCTAAGTGGCAGTGACCCAAATGTGTATTTTCTTTACTTCAAGTACAATACAGTCGATCAAAACTCGTATGGTTCTGTTTTTAAAATATGTAGTTGTTTGTAAATAATGATCTTTATCATAATCAAAAACCGAAGAAAGAGTAAACAAATAAATAAATAATTTGAAAAGTACACATGATATAAATTTTATTCAGCTGAATTAATAACGCTGCAAAAATCTAAACATTGCTGAGTGTTGACAACCGTCTGTTCATCTGTCTCTATATATGTAAGAAGTTCATTATCATCATTTCAGCCTGTTTTAGTCCACTGCTGAACATAGGCCTCGCCCATAGACTGCCACGAAGTACGATCCTGAGCCACCTGCATCCATCGACTTCCCGCGCAATTGTACGAAGTTACTCGTGTATTAATATATTTATAATAGTATCGTTCACGTTATAGGTACATCGAGGCGGGACACATTTTGAAGGGCCCCACTGGTCGAAGGAGGAAAATGCACTCTACTGGGTCGACATAATGCAACAGAAAGTACACCGATTGGACTCCGAGACAGGCAACGTCACTACTAGAGAAATAGGTACGAAATAGTAAAAAAAAACACATAGATAACGCACGCGTGAGCAAATGGACGATCGTACCCAATGCGGAGGACCGTATCGAGCCCGTGGGTTCTAGTTAGCCCACGACCTTTGCGTTTCATTAGGCGTTAAAGGTCCACGTACTGAAAAGAATAATACAACTAGCAGTTGGTAATACTAAGGATCAGAGAAAACCACGTGTTAAATAAAAGTACACATTAATTGTACACATTTATTAAACTGCAGGAAAATGACTGTCCACATATTAACACATTCTATGAGCGTAGATTGACTGAAAGTTTAGCTTGAATTATTACTGAACCGTACATATTACAGGGTTTAATCAATAAAACGTATTAAGTGACTTCGAAGTTACTAAAATGAAACAAGAAAATTGATTGAGCCAAAAGTCAAGAATTCGACTGCTAATCTAACGACATATCGTTCATCAAAATCAGCCGTTTAGTAGCTACAGGTCAATAACATAAACCACCTTTTACGTTGTGGTCGAATAAAACTAAGGAATAAAAGAAATTCTCACATTTATTAATGTTTGTGTAATGTCTACAGGCTACGGTCCGGTGTCTCTAGTTGTCTCGATAAAGGACAAGCCGGGGTACATTGCCGTCACCGTCCGAGCAGAAATTTACATCATGCCCTGGGACGAGTTCGTAAATGATAGCTCTTTGAGGCTTCTTAGCATCGTCGACTTGGGCTTGCCAGACAACAGATGCAATGATGGAAAGGTCGACGCAAGGGGTCGACTGTGGTTCGGTGAGATCGAATTCGTAATTTTTTACCATAAAATGAACAACCAATGAACGGTGGCACATGCGTTGCAAACCTTCAAATAAGTGGGCCCCGGTTAACTCAAACTCACTCACCAGACGAAACGCGAAAGTGCAGTACTTTCACTTCACGACTCTGTGGTAGTCTGTCAGGCCGTCGTACTCTCCCCGGACGAGCCTGCCCATTTGTGCAGCAGAAACGCTGATCCGTATCACGGTAAGAAATTAAATTCAAGGCAAAACTGACATCATTTAATCTGAGAAAGTCAGTTGAAATGACTATGATTTTCGCAAAAAAAAAAAAAATACGTTTTTAGCCAAACTTATGGAGCTCGAAGTCGCGAATGCTTATATTATTTTTATCAACTCTTGCGAAACTAGTCGCGAATATTTATTTTTAACAACTAGTGATACATAAGTCCTGAAGTGAACCCCATGATTGTGTTTTCTAGGCATTAGTGATTACACTGTTACTGACCCCGTTATCGTTCTAGAATTACCATTAGATTAGATTAGTTGTATCCATAATTGATGCGGGTCAAACATTTAATTATGTAGAATAATAAATTTGTGTATATATTACAATTTTAAATATAGATTACAGAATAAATGTAGAGATGTTGCCATGATTCCACTTAATGTTTACATTGTCGTATATATTGCTACACAATCGGTGGAGCAAATAGAAATAAAGTCGAATATCCTTGATTGAGTGAAATCTATGTTATCCGTGCTGAAATTCGTATTAGCACTTTTATAAACCATAATTCTAAGTTTAACATCTATTGTATATGCCAGAAAGGCATTTTCTAATCTATCCTATGTACATGAACTTCATTTATGATCACAATTTTTTAATCTTTTTTTGGTTTAATAACTCGTCAATATTTTCGAGATATAATTGACTGTTTAGTAAATTCAGTCAAATAAATTACCTATAAAGTAGTATCTAAATCTAAATTGGGTATCAATCAATATCTCCATACGCTAAAGGTTGTTAAAGGCATGTAGCCTTGGGAGCTCCATAGTTTCTTTAACCCTTCAAGGAGCAAGAACATTATTTATATTAATTGTACAGAGAGTAAGTGGGGAAGAGAGGAGCAAGTGAGGAATTATTAATAGGCAAAAAATAATTGAAAAAAAAAATAATACAACTTATTCGTTTATCCACCCAAACTGGCCTTTGGTTTTCAGCCTATTCTACGCAGACATAGTCGCGGGCAGCAGCTTGTTAGAGAATATATCTCAGAAATGTATTTCCAGACTATTCCCACATTCTTAACATTGGGTGTCTTCTTTCGAAATTGATTATGACAATTTTGTTATATAGTTGTACTTTGTTAGTTAGTAGGGATCGCCAGCTGCGCATCGTTTTTACTGTCTACTATAATCTTCAAATTTATACCCATATCCGGATGCACCACATATAACAAAAAGTTTGATTCCCTATTTATTTATTTATATTTTATGTGAGAAAGTGGCAAACGAGCTTGCGGTTTAACTAATGTTAAGTGTTAACGACACGGACATTTTGACAACACCGGTTGCAGATGTGTTGCCACCTTCTAATAATGCGGGCCCCGGCTACCACACTCACCAGACGAAACGCAGAAGTGTAACACTTCCACTTCACGCCGGTCTTCTATGAGGTCGTGGTACTAACCCTGACGGACCTGCCCATTCGTGCAACCGCGAATACTGTTGCGTGGTCCTACCACCTGTAATCCTGGGTTTCTCAGGTAAATATTATTTCAGAACACTTCGTGACTGTTGTACGCATGTATTCCTCTACACATAAATGCATTTCGTATGGAACTTTTTTTAAAGTTTGCATGGAGTGCTTCTATCGAAGATCGAGTTTCATATAATCCATCAGGGTCAACGTAGCCATAATATGGTAACGTCATGTGTAACATTTGCCAAAGTAATTCGAATCGGTTTGAGGGCATCGTCTCTGGCTCAAAGCTAATATTATGTGACCAATATATTTTTATATTTGTATTATTTGAATACATGTAGTAATATACAATACCAATAAATCGGCGTATTTCTTGGTTAGCTACACTTACAGGTTTATTAGCATCTTTCTGTACAGAGTATAAATTAGTCGGTCTCTTATAAGGTGGATAATATCTTCAATGAACAAATAGGAAGATACTTCAAATGGAGTGTCTAAACGAAGTATTTCTGGAGGTAATGAGTCAGATCCATTAAAGCGTTATTTCTATTTTCCATTGATCCATGAAAACATACATAGTGTATGAAGTCTCTCAAATATATAACAGAATAAGCTTTTAAAAGATTACTGAAGTACGTTAACAAAGAATTAACATAATTATAACATTTTTGTGTTAGCATAAAGTAGTAATACTTCATATGTTTCTTATAAATAATAAACACACCTAATTAGAAGTAAAACAAATTCAAGATTCGCGTCATATTCAGTAGCGCTTATACTTGTTATTAATTTAAATTACTATTTTAATTACAGGTTTTGCTTGGGCTATACATACTTAATATAGCCCCAGCAAAACCTGTAATTAGTAAGTGTGGATATTTGACTATAAGAGAATAGTATATAAGAGAATATGAAGAAAATTGCTCACAGTAAAATTTATCATAAACCAAAGTCATGGCTTCATAGAGGGCTAATACCTACTCTCAGCTTAATTCTTTACAGCTGAGCAACATAACCTTTGTATCAGCATCAATTTAATTGTCTCATATTATTATTTTACTTTTCGTTATAAAGGAATAGTTTTATTGAAGAACCCGTAAACCTAACAATTAACACAAATATATGTATCTGATTGACACCATTAGGGGGCCTTAAATTATCACATCAGGAAACAGTAAAAGTTTATGAGGGCACTACCCATGATCAGATAAGTTTTCTAAGTTATAGGCAGTAAAAAACATTATCTACCCACCAAACTTCTTCAGCAATTTTTTTAAATCATAAATATTAAAACAAAGTGTGCGTGCGCGCGTTTGTGTGTGTGTGTGTGTGTGTGTGTGTGTGTGTGTGTGTGTGTGTGTGTGTGTGTGTGTGTGTGGTGTGTGTGCGCGCGTGCGTGCGCGCGTGTGTGTGCATGTGCGCGCGTGTGTGTGCATGTGCGCGCGTGTGTGTGCATGTGCGCGTACGCGTGCGTGTGTGCGTGTCTCAATTGAAACAAAACATCAATTGAGCCGCCAGCTGTTTGCCACTTTCTCACATAAGTTAGTTTCATAAATATTCCAAACATTTTACTTTCATAATTTATGCACAAAGAAGGTATAACTTCAAAAAGTATGTTAAAAATAAGTCCCCCACGTCAATACGTCATTCTTATACGTTTACCATTACCAATAATTTTGTTGTAGGTACAATGGGCAAAGAAGTAGGATCTGTGATAGTCAAAGACCAGGGTACATTGTATGTCATGGATGAGCACAACTACCTTGAACCAGCAGTGCGAGTAAGACCAGTTTCAGTATCCAACGGAATCGCATGGACGAGTGACAACAAATTCATGTTCTACATTGACACACCGACTAGGAACATAGATGTCTTTGATTTTAATTTAGATGAAGGGACTATATGTAAGTACTCAAATCAACCCTTAAGTTTTCTGTGATCATACTAAAGTAAAAAAAAATGAGTTTGCGTATGTAAAGTTTGTTACAGTACAGTAACAGATTTCTTTATTAGTACATTCTAGTTTATATTATACACTAGTAAAAAACGGTAAGGAAACTAAGTTTCTTGTTTTTACGAAGGTAAATTTGAAAATGAGAAATTATACAACATAAATTTCTTGTTAACAAACACTCCGAAGACTGCGTGGCGCAGTTGCCAAGGTATGGGCTTTGGCGTCGGGGGTAGTGGGTTCGATTCCCACACGGGAAAATTATTTGTGTGATCCACAGATGGTTGTTACGCATCTGGGTGCTTACCCGCGTGAAGCTTATATTTGTAAAACATCCTTATAACACAGGATAATGTTATCCTAAAGTAGGGGCTATGTTTAAAAAACAAACTCAGATTCACAGTCACACAAAAAGAGGTCCCATGTAAGAATCAAACCCACTACCAACTGCACTGAAGGCAGCTGCGCCACGGACTCAAAAATAAAAAACGTAGGGGTACCATACCATTATCTTTAAATCACCAAAAAAAATCATGTCTGTTGTTTGGGAGTCTCACTTAGCCTCACTTATTTTTTTCTGTTTTTTACTAATTAATGTTTTAGCGGCAACAGATATACATCATCTGTGAAAATTTAAACTGTCTTACATCCCACAGGGCGAAAAAATTATCAACAATTTATCTAGGAAAAATTGACTTCATCATAAGTGCAGATAGCATTAATGAAAAAAAATCCAATACATTTTAATGTTTAGTCACTTTTTAAGAAGATCAAAATTTAGGAATTAGAATAGTAACAATGAAGTCTTTTTGGCTGTATTTCTTTCTGTATATATATATATATATATATGTAGGTATTTATTTGTACTTACCACATTGTCACCAAGATTTCTTAATGATTTTAAATGGTATCTTTAGTTAATTGAAAGTATTATACAGACTAATGCAAATTTTATTTCTGATTACTTCCTTCAGGCAACAGAAGAACACTTTTTAGTTTCCAAACAAACAATGTCACTGGTATGCCTGATGGAATGACTATAGATCGAGATGGAAACTTGTGGGTTGCATGCTATGATGGTGGAAAGGTAAACAATATCATACAGAAAGCATAGAACTAACAGAATTATTTTTTTTACCCCATATTCATTAAATGGCTTTGTCAAAAAGCCAGATTAATGAAAGTCAGTATCTATTGAAAATCTTTGCCTTTTCAGATAAATAAGTAAATATTATTTAATTAATACTTATTACACCTACACTTAATATAATAATTTATATTTACTTTTATCACTCTTACTTGATAAAAAACCTTTTCAGTTTAATGATTTACTTTAATACAACATTTCTTTGTAGCTTATTTATATAAAAATTTTATAAATAATTAATTAATAATAATAATTATAGTGACTAACATTTTTTATGTATTTAAATATTCCAGGTCATCAAAATAGACTCTAGAGCAGGTAAATTGTTAGAGCAGCACAAATTGCCCGCAAACAAAGTAACTTCAGTAGCTTGGGGCGGCCATGATTTGGAAACTTTGTATGTTACTACAAGTAATGTTGGTCTAAACCCTGTCGAGCATGCTCAGCAACCAGACGCAGGATCTTTATTTGCAATAGAAGGCACAGGCTCTAGAGGACTACCAGAAAATCAATTTATATTTGCTAATGCTGATAAATACTAAATACTGTTTTTATTTGTGAAATTTATTCTTTACTCACTATTAATTTTCTAGTACATTAACTATGTGTTATGGTTAATGATTTATTGATTCATCATAAAACTTTTGTTAACAATTATTGAAAATTATTAATAAACATGAAGGGATTTTAACATTTTTTGAATTTATTTTTAAATAAATTTATTATTTTACTTTTTATTTTAACTTATTATTTCAAATAAACAGTGTTGTTAGTAACAGGTTTTTTTTTTATGCAAAACATTATAATTATAATAAGGTCACTTACCGGAAGCCTCAGGAAAGGTGGGTCAGATGCATTCTTCCCTAATTTGTTTTCTTGGTACTGAATAAGTTGAACTACAAGCTGTGCCAATCCTTCTTTAGTTGGTGGATCAGTTTGAACATGCTGCAAAAAATCAATAATGTTGCAGTTAAAATTCACTTCAAATACAATTTATTATACATTAATTTACATGTATAACAAATACACATGTATTCATTAATTAAATTAAAATCAAAACAAATAGTTTCTTCATATTCAATTTTCATCATTGTGACAATCCTCTTGTTCCTATCCCTCTTAGGTGGGGTCATCACAAAATGAAAATTATGTATAAGTGGTGTTTTGACTAAAACCTGCCAAAACTTGTTAATTCATTTGTTCATCATTTCAATTGATTAATCAACCCTCCCTGAGAACAAACTACCACCCCCAGCAAATATGCTAGTCATCAAATGCTTAAAGATACTGAATTGATAAAAACACAAACTATTATTAACTTTAGTTTGTTTTATACTGCATCACTACTATCATCAATTGATAGTAGTGATGCAGCATATGGTTTCCTTGCTTATGCCTGGTTAGCTGAGCCTTTTTATATAAAACATGTGTAACTGTGAATAAATATTGTCAACTTGTATTAATAAAGGTATTAAATATGTATGTATTGATACATCTTATCCTTTAAACAAGCAATTCTTGTATATATATATATATAATCGGAATCTCGGAAACGGCTCCAGCAATTTTCATGAAATTTAGTATGTGAATAGATTCGGGGGCGAAAAATCGAACTAGCTAGGTTTCATTTTTAGAAAATGTCCTTTTATCCCCGTTTTCAGGGAATGAAAAATATAATTCGAATATGACGGTAAATTTCGCCGCAAGAGAAAATGTCAAAATAGCTCGGTCGGTAATCGGGCGGCCCCAAAACAGACGGCCGTGGTTTGCGTCACAATCATTTACACATTTATTTTTGTACTTTTTTTTCGATTCCAGATCATTGCTTTCTTTATTTTTAATTTTTTATCGATTTGTTATTTTGTTATTTTTTTCCCTTTTTTTTTAAAGTTCTTTCTTTTTTGAAAAACATCAGTTCATATTTTCTCATTATTATGTTGGTAAGATCGAAAAATATTATGCATATTTCATTACTCAGTACTTTGTATCTAAATGTAATTTCCAAAATACATGATTTACCAAAAAAAAAAACAAACCGGCTCGGTCCTCCGGGTACTACATATTTACACATGAACACTACACATAAATAAACAAAACTATTTATATGGAAGATATGAGTTCGCTGTAGGTAGATTTCGATATGTGTGTACAAGGTACATAGGTATAAAGTGAATATGCGTAAGTAACACGGATCTATTGTTTTTTAAAACAACAATTTCCAATTAAATATTCATGGTAAAGGAGCAGGTTGTTGTGTATTATTTGGAACATTGTTATTATATTGAAAGAATTATGAATTTTATGGCCTGAGAATTCTTATATTGAAAATTCCATAGACGTAAATCAAGGGTTGATCATTTTTGATGTTTGGAATCTCAAACTTGACATTACCAGAAAACTTCGCCTGCAAGATATAGCAAAAAGAAACAATTATAGAAAAGGTACGATGAATATCTAGTTAACTAACCTTCTTGCAATTTTTCTGCAGCCAAACACGGATTTGATCGAATTGTGCTAACGATTCCGGTGCCTGGAAGAATTCCACGTTGGGCCCACCATCCTTCTTGGGCCCTAAAGTTGCCATATTGTCAAGTTTGAAAAAAACTAAAACACTATTTTGCCCTTATTTTTAATCAGTATTCACTTATTCAAATAACATCAATGCAAATTCTAAACAAAAATCTTAGCAAGACGGCGTTGCTACAAAATGACAGACTATGTGGTGTTGCTATTTTATAAAATGATGACAATGATCTCTACTCTAAATAAGAACTTAAAAAATCGACATTTTTCTTAGCCCGGTCCTAGATAAATGTACAAATATTTATTAAAATGTTTTCGGAAATATTTGTAAAATACCCGAACAAAATCTTTCAGCTCCTACACTTATTTCTCTTCATATTTGTTGAACTAGCTGCTGCCCGTGACTACGTCTGCGTAGAATAGGCCGAAGGCGTAAAATTCAGACAGTACAATACATGAAAACATGTCTTTAAATGGGTTTGTCTTATGCAACATAAGACAGACCCATGAATTGACTGGGAAAACTAGAACTTAAGTCAACACCACTTATGTCTGTTCCTGAGACTTATTTATAGTCACGAAGCAAGCTGCTGCTGAAAATTGTGTGCGCTTGGAATTGGAATAGGAAGTTATTGGGAAGTGGTATTCACAGAATATTCTCACTTTTACCTGAGCCAAAAGAATTTTTTTTAATAAATTCTTGAAAAATGCTAAAAACAACACTATTCTATATTCCCGTACAAAAGATTCGTAATAATAAGTCAGACTTAAAAGTCAATTTGAAATTAATACCATATCATAAAGTTTAAGTGCTAGTGGAGGGGTTCCGGGACGGCAAAACAAGTGAGTGACTGTGATAAAATGTCACTTGAAATGTAAACGTCTCTTTAGTATGCATCACTAAATAGTATAACTATAAAACAAAGTCTTCCCGCTGTCTGTCTGTCCCTATATATGTTTAGTCTTGTATTAACTGATGTTTTTGCTTTCAGCCCCGAGACTATTAAAGCTTCATCTGACGCAGAACCGGTGGGCTAGCCAGAACCCACGGGTTTGGGCCCTCCGCTGTGGGTAGGGCCACGCATGTGCTCATGCGTGCGTTTAACTATGGTGTGTCATCTAAGGGCCATCGAGGTCGTGGTTCGGACCGAAACCCCGATGGCCGTCGACTGTGCAATTAGCTAATCGGTGGCTGGGGGCGGTGAGAACCGCCCCGGAACGCGGGTGTACCTTGTGTACGCGTTGTGTTGGTCTCGCCGTGCTCGGAGGCGAGGGCGAACTAGTGTGTTTGTTGTTGCACTAACTGTGGGTGTAGTGTTGTCCGGCGGGAACCCCGGCAGTGGGTCCGGCGCGTGTCTAAGTCCCCTTCCTCGACCGGATCGATTAGGACGTTTCGCGGGCGACGCTTGTTGACGTTCGCGTTTTTGGCGGGTTGGTAATTTGCTGCGCTTACCACCAGAGGGTTGGGATGATGTTCAATATTAAGGCAAAGGTATTGAAAGTAACTACGAAAAAAAAAAAAAAAATATAAAAACATTATGTGTCAATTCTTTTTGAAACTAGCTTCGAATATATCTACTGATTCATCAATGGTTGTAAGTTTGTTGTACAAGGAACACATTGGGATGATGTTCGGCTCTATCGAAGAACCGTTTGGTCAGGTCTTTAAAATATTCGTGCATCGTCGGGAGTCTGCAATCGCTGTGCAGGTCGACGTTGCGTTGATACCACTGCGCACCGGTTGCGCGGCGGATGAACTTATTTTGTACTATTTGCAACTTGTACAAGCGAGTAGGGTGCGCGTGTGGGCGAAGGTCATGCATGCGTAAGACATAATAGGTCGTACGCAGGTCTTATATAATAATAATTTGTGCCTTAAGGGCATTTTACTTTTAACGTTAGTTAAATTGTGTAGCCGACCGGAGACGAACGCGGCTCTATTGCTAACGTTATTAATGTGCGTAGTAAATGACATACGCGAGTCGAAAGTGACTCCTAAGTATTTGACCTTTTTCTCCCAGGGGAGCGGTTGGCCATAAAGGGATATTTGCCCCAACTTTCTGCATTGACGAGGGCCATTGTAAAGATGTGACGGGTAAGTACTTCGTGTGAAGTGAATCGCCACACTCTTTTCGGGATTTATTTCTATTCTCCATTTGCGGAACCAATCGCCGAGGCGGTCGGCAGCGCTTTGGAGTCGAGTGGTTAGTTGTCTAAGGTTGCGGTCTGAATAAAAGAGCGCCGTGTCATCCGCGAAAAGCGCGAGATTGACGTGGGGGTCTTTAGGTATATCGCTCGTGTAGAGCGTAAAGAGCAAAGGTGAGAGGCAGGAGCCTTGTGGTACGCCAGCCGTGAGGCGGCGGCTTGTGGAGAGGGTGCTTTCAACTCGATATCGAAAAGAGCGGTTCGACAGGAAGGCCTGCATGGTGTGTACGAGCCTATCTGGCACTTTGAGTGTGTACAGCTTGTAAAGCAAGCCGTTGTGCCAGACCTTGTCGAATGCTTTTGCGACATCGAAGAAAAGAGCCCCTGTACTAATATGTTTAGGGTGATTTAGGCCTTTTAGGATATGTTCCGTTAGCCGGAATAGTTGATCGGGACAGGAATGTCTAGCTCGAAAGCCGAATTGTTCCGCCGGCAGAAGGCCGTTGGAAAACACGTGCTCATTGAGCCTGTTTAATAAAAGCCGCTCGTAGAGCTTCCCCAGGCAACTGAGGAGGCTGATGGGACGATAACTAGAGGGCTGGTTGGCTGGTTTATTAGGCTTGCGAATGCCGATAACCCTGGCTTCTTTCCAGTCGTCTGGAAAGGAGCAACTGGAGAGTAAAGTATTGTAAATGGTCGCCAGTAAACAGATAAGCGGCCCAGGGAGAGCTTTAAGAATTTTGTTACTAATATTATCTGGGCCCGGGGCGGATTTGGGTTTTAAGTTTTTAATAATATCTTGAACCTCTTCGGGGGTCACTGAATTCAAAGGATCGCCTTCCGGTGGAAGCGCAGCCCTAATCTCGATTACGCGGTCCACCTCCGTTAGGTGGGCTGTATCGATGTGTTCGCGCGATGGCGTACATTGCTGCTCTAGGTTGTCCGCAAGGCATTCGGCTTTTTTTCGGAGTCATCTAGGGCTACTGAAGCGCTATTAGGTCTAACTAACGGCGGTAGAGATTCGCGGGGGTCTGCTTTCAGACTGCGGACCAACCGCCAGTAGGCGGTGTGCGATGGCTCGATGTCCTCTAGGAGAGTGTCCCACGTTGTATGTCGGTGTTCCGATACACGATCTTTGACTTCTAGCTGAAGGCGTCGAAGTAGGGTTCGGTTCGATTCCGATGGTATCGGTCGAAAGCGCGTTTGGCTGCATTTTTCTGCCTAATTAGGAGTCGCAGGTCGGGCGGAAAGTTAAACCGTCGGTCGCCCGACAGTTTCACCGTCCGTTCCGAGTCTGCGACTGTGGAAGTGATGGTTTCTCGGAGACTCGCTATCGCTCGATTTGCGTCATCGAACGTAGCTATCGTCTCGGGTAGGTCGACTAAGTCCTGGGGGTCCAAGGCCTTGAGTTTGACCTCAAGACGATGCCAGTCCACTACGGATTTGGTCGGAGGGACCGCGCCGGCGTTCTGGCCCAGTTTACACAGGACGGGCCTGTGATCTGAGTCTAATTCATGGATTGTCTCTATCGACTCGATGTCGAGCGAGACCTCCTTGAGTAACATGATATCTAGGATACTCGGTGTCGCGTGTTGGTAGTTGTCCACCGTAGGATACCTAGTGGGAGTCGCAGGAGCAATTATGCTAAAGTTTAAATTATCGGATAAGCTAAAGAGATGCTTTCCGTTGTTATTTGGGATGCTGTGGATGTCCCATGAGCCGTGTTTGCAGTTTAGATCTCCTGCAATTATCACGGAAGGGCCTAAGTTGAGTAGCGTATCTAGGTCGCTTTGTAATAGGTTTTGTTCCCCGAGAGGTAGGCTGAGACTAGTACAAGCGGCCTGTGGCCGGTGAGCGCTAACCTACACGCGGATGCCTCTAAATGGCTTAGCTCTGGAATGTCGAGCGGGCTACAGTGCAAGGACCGTTTGTAATAAATTAAGGTGCCTCCCAGACGGTTTGCTAACCGGTCGTGGCGGACTATGTTGTAGTTTGCGATTCTGGGATCGCGTACACTCGGTTTTAAGAATGTCTCTTGCACTAGAAAAATATCTATGTTATAATCGCGAAGGAATTCCGCGATTTCGTCCCTTTGACCCTTTATGCCGTTTGCGTTGAAATACGAAACAACCAGAGCCCGAGGTTTTGTTCTACCTGCGGTTGTACTTCCCATTAAAGTTTTTTATGAGTTCTAACTAACGACGCGGCGGAGCGCGGTTTTATTGCGCGGACTATTAAGTTTATGGTTGGCTTGTAAATGCCCAGAGGGCTTCTACAAGCATTTTATGTTCGCTAATGGCTTTAAATCGCGCGTTGCCAGATGTGGCGGCCGCTATTTTAGCGGACAATACGGCGAGTTCTTGTCTATTAATGCGGTCTAATAAGGCGCAGATGTTGGCAATTTGGGCGAACGGATCGTCCTTGTTTTCGGCGAAAACCGACGGTGTCGACTGCACCTGCGGCGTCGGCGCCGTTTGATAGGCGGGCTGCGATTGAGCGATTGGTCGTGAGGCGACCGGGGGCGCAACTACCTGCGCGGCCACCTGGGGTTTCGCCCAGGCGTTTACGACGGGTACGGGCGCGGGAACGTATTTCACGGGCGCGGGTTTGGGCAAAGTAGATTTCGCGGGAGCTTTTCTCGCGGGAGTTTTTTGGGGCCTTAGCGCAGCCCCTGTAGCTAGCCGGGTGGCCGGTGGTATGACAGTTAACGCAGTCCGGTGGATCTGCGCAATCTTTTGGCCGCGTACAATCGGGCGTGCCGTGGTCACCGGTGCATTTGACGCACCTAGGGTGAGCGAAACAATTATTAGCCGTGTGGCCATAGTGTTGGCAGTTGTGGCACTGCGCCACAACTCCCGATCTTCGCGGGGGCTCGATCACGAGGTCGCTGAGCCCACAGACCCTCTTCAGGTTGAA